ATACCGGGTCACCATACCAAATTATCATACCGGATTATAATACCGAATTATCATACCGGATTATCATACCAAATTATCATACCGGACTATCATACGAAATTAACATACCAAATTATAATACCGGATTATCATACCGGGTCACCATACCAAATTATCATACCGGATTATAATACCGGATTATCATACCGGGTCACCATACCAAATTATCATACCGGATTATCATACCAAATTATCATACATGATTATCATGCAATCTTACCAATTGAATCTTCACAGGTGTCATTGTCCCAGAGACCATTTAGGAGAGGTAATAGGATATCTAATTATATATCTATCTTCCAGTTAAAAACGCTTTCCTTGCAGAATCAATTGTTGAGCAGTAAGTTCGTTGAAAAGTATCCTGATACACGCCAAAGGAAAAAGCCTTCATCTAAGGCACTAAGTCTCTTCGTCAAATATCTTGAGGTTTTCAGAAAGGTCTTGGTAACTGCAGTGACAAAGAGAACGCTGGCAACACGAAGTTCTATATTCTTTATTATTGACAATTTTCCTTACAATCTCCTTCAACAATCTACCAAACAACAGGACGAACAGCAGAGAGTTGAGGGAGACTAGCATGATGCCAAGTCCCCACTTGTCTTTGCTTTGCTCGAGAATGTCGTCATCACCTATCGCACTGTTTTGTGTTACACCATAGCACAGATTCACTGATACAATCACTAGTGCCAGTAACTGCATCAAGTTGTCAAACTTGTCTTTCATTGGCCATATTCGAGCATGAGCAACAGCAAACAAAATGCTAAAGATAATAAGCCCAAATAGACCTATCTTTATATTGTGCAGCATCAAAGCACTTGCAATGCTAATGATCAGTTTTCGGATCATTTCAGTCACCTCCCAGTACCAGCTCTCCGGCTTGTAGTTTCCGTAGAATAGTCTAAGCGCCTCAGCTACAACAGACTCCTTCGCCGCTCCCTCCACGCCAACATCGTTGATACAACCGGTTTGCTGCCGATGTGCAACACCAGCGTTGTTCTTCTTTGGCGCTAAACGCCAGAGAAGAAGGAACAGCAGCAAAGGAAAGCCAAGGGGTAAAATTAAGGCTGCGTATGCAGCATTAGTTACAGTGACGTCATCACTCGTGCCTGATGTACAGGGAACACGATAGTCCGATCGCAAGAACGAAATTCTGTGCAAGCACTGCCCGTCTTTTTCCGATGTACAGAGTCTATGGCAGCTAACTGGCTGGATTTGGAATATCTTGCTCGATGTCAATGGGTAAGTCGCAAAAAGGAACAGAAATATGGCCTCTAGGCACTGCTTAATGTTCTTTCTAAGCTTCGTTTTGAATATATCTGTATTCCTGTCACAACATTGAGAGAAAAGCAATTTGATGGCCATGTAAATACAAATTATAAAAGGAACAGTTGCGGTGGCACTGACGGCAAACCAGAATTCCTTGAGGGCATCCATTCGCCATTCTCGCTTAATGCAGTGCAAAGCAGGTACATGCAAGATTGAAAACTGAAAAAATTCAAAAACTCTTACAGCTTTTGTAAAATTTCCGGGCCAGCGAATGTTTGGAAGAGTATGTATGATTCCAACTGACACCTGATAAAAACCAACGATGATTTTCAATGTTGACAGAATCAAATCAGCAAATGTTTTGCTATCGTTTCCCGCGAGCTTCAGTTTATCAACTTTGGACATTACCCAGCAAATAAAAACAAATGCCAAAAAGAATGCTACACACTGTATCACTCCAATGACTGAAGAGGGACATTTCGCGCATTCGCCAAAGTTTTTCATGTATCCCTCCTGACAAACCGCACACAATATTCCAGTGTAGCCTCGTTTACAGCGAGCCTCTATGCCACCAAAACAGGAGCCTTTCAGCGGACATTTGTGTGCCGTGGGCATGTGACAGCCATAGTTGATCGTTGCCCGGTTATAGGTATCGTTCTCTGTATCCAGATTCTGCATAAAAGCCTTGTACAAACTCTTGCAAGATGTATTTGATGCAGATCGCATTGTTTGCCACGACATCCAATAGCCTTCACTTAATTCCTTGTAGTCATTTTGACAGGAAAACCCTTCTTGGGTACATTTTGTGCATCCGTTAAAGCGATGACTTCTTGCAAAACCAGGTAAGCATTTACACGCACGAAAACCTGCAGAACTGTTTGTGTTTGTCCCGGCAGGGCATGTGAGGCATTGCAATGGGCTTTTGCCTGGTGCTTTATCTAGTGGCACAAACTGGCCTGGCGGACAAGACTTGCATGCAATGGCTGCCATTTCGTCCTGATAGAAGGCCCCAGCTGGGCAAGCTAAACAACCACTTAGACCATAATAACCAACTGGACATGGCTTACAGATGCTATAGTCTTTATAAGCTTCGTCTGCAACACATGCAAAACCCTCTAGAAATAATAATTGTGTTTTTATTACCAGTCTGCTAGATGGGCTACAAATTACTTTTGGATTGCCATCAAAATGGCTTGGGATCTCCTTGAGATTGATACACGATATATAAATCTCAGAGTTATTCGGCATCTTCCTGAAATCTGAGCTTCTTATAGACTCCAACTCGTTCCCAAACAATAAAAGTAGATTTGGTTGTCTTTTCATATCCTGAAAGATTTCATCCACGGTTCTCATATTGTTGGCAAACAAGAACAATTTTCTTATAGATAAACCCCTAAAAACGCCTTTTGGGAGTTTCATGAGTCCATTTCTTTGCAGAAACAACTCCCCAATGTATTCAAAATGTTCGAAAGTATCTACTGGGATTGTTGTTATGTTATTTCTTTGCAAATGTATTTGGGAAACGGTATTTAACTTTGGAAAACAATGTTTGTCAATCTTTTGAACTCGATTGTGTGACAGATATAATTTGAGGAATCTAATTCGTGAAACGTCGAAAGTTTCAATAAAGTTGCTTGACAAATTAAGATAAACAATTGATCTTACATTAAACTTAACAGCTTCTTTCAGACGATTTCCTTGCATCTTTAGGTAGACAAGATGGCGAATGCCGGTTAGGTCTGGCATTGTTTCAATCTGATTTCTCTGTAAGCAAAGTTCGTTCAAGAGGCTGTTGTATTGAAACAGTCTATCTGGTAGGGAAGACAAGCTGTTGTAACTCAAGTCAAGTATCCGGAGATCTTTGAGCTGATCAAGCGCTCCTTTATCAATGCTGCGTAATCCGGTCGATGATAGGTCAAGTGACCGGAGTTTCTTTAAGTTGTCCAAATCATTATTACATATTCTCTGCAGTAAATTTCCATTAACGTTCAGTGTTACGACGGTTTTGGGAAAAATTGAAAAATTTCCATCTAGAACAATTTTGTTGTTTTGCATAGATATTGTCACGACTTTCGGTGTTCTGCCGTCTTTAAACAGCTCCTCTACTGCTGCAGCAGACAGTTGGTTCCATGACAGGTCAACAATGTGCAGGCTCTTTGGAAGAAAAAACGGAACCTCTAAACAACATTCTCGTAAGATGAGCTTTTCTAGCTGTGTAAATCTAGCAAGGGAATTATTTTGGAACTTTATTAAAGGGTTTTCAGAAAGATCAAGATAGCGAATGGATGGTGGTATCTCTGATGGTAGTGTTTTAAGGTCAGCCCCAACACACTGGACAGTAATTGGAGAACATTCACAACGTTTGGGACACTGATAACCCATTGTGCCAAGATTGGAGAAGTACAGCAATGTCATCAGCAGCAAAGTCAATATCAAACTATCCATCATCGTATGACGTAACTGGCATCAGTGTAATATTGGTCAGGGAGATTTCTCCTTCACAGCTCTAAAATCTCTTCTTATTCGCAGTACAGTTCTTTCTACTGACATTCTGGCACAGGAACAATCTGAAACGATATTAGACAGAATTTGTCACGATTGTTCTGGATAATCACGAGGGGCGATTCACTCTTGCAAATAGCGTACAAGATTTTGCCTAAAACAAAAGAATTTCTGGGGTTTTTCTGATAAAACAATAGGATTTTCACAAAAGGTGTACGATTTTCTTAGAGTGATTTACCCTTCCTATGGATAATCATACACCAATAACGGCCCGTCTATGACGAAAGCAATTAGAAAGACAATCATGAACAGAACCCTACTCAGAACTATATACCCTAGCAGCCCCTATAAAAGTCCAGCCTGTATAAAAGGCCAATGGGGTCATACCTGCGTATAGGCCAACTGGGCCTTCAGTGAGAGACTTGTCATTTCGGGAAGAGGGTGTAAAGGATGCATCTGAATAAAGGATACTTCGAAAAAGATCAAATGATATCTCTCTTTCTGGTTTTTTTAAGATTTGTATCTGGTCTCTTAAGAACGGAGCTTTTAATGCTGCTATTGAAAAATCGCTCTCACCCCATCGTACTTTTGATAGAAAGCCACTGTAAAGATCAAGAATATAAAAATCCGATGGAAATAGCATTATCACGATTATTTTGTTTCAAGCTCCTCCGCAGCAACAAAAGTTCTACTTCTTCATTTTGGCTCGAAAAAAGCTCAGTCTAGACTCCTTAGGTACCACGCCTGCAACCTGGAAGTAAACTAAGCGTCTACAACAAAAAAGAAGTCCTTGGAGTTTAAATGTCTTGCTCTCACGCTTGTAAAGCAAATCAAAAGACATGATGATGACAAAATCAATCTTTGCGCGGAATCTTGAAGCGAAGAAAAAAGAAGTTTTGACATTACAGGTTGGGAAATTTTAAAGCTTTAACCGAGTGTAAAGGTGAGCAGATAGATCATGAAAACATTGCATATGTCAAAATAAAAAGCTTTTCTTGTTCTAGGAGAGAAATGAAATTAGGTGTCCTCCAAGGATCAGTCCTGGGGCTTCTCCTTTTTTATATATATGTATTAATGATATATTCATTTTGATGAATGATAAATGATGAAAGAGACTGAAATTGATAATTTTGCAGACAATACGACAATTAACTATTCTGATAAAGCTAGAAAGTGAAACTGCTGAACTGAGCAATAGGTTTACACAAAACTGTATTTGGCGAGAAAAAAGCTTAAAAATCAAAACATATATATTTCTCTGTCATTAAAGAGAGTGAAGAAGAAATAATTCAAGGGCTGCAGTAGCGGGGAGGGGTTGGTCAAAACATTTTTTCCCGCATTTTCCCTGTTATCCTTAGATTTACCGAAATCTAAGAAGGATTTCAATGGAAAACATAGAATGGTTGATGTAATATATTTTATCTCAATTAATATATATATAAACAATATAGTTATCTATATTTAGATAACCGTATATTTAGGTTATTGATACGTGATCTAAAGTTGTAAACTAAGAAATAAAACACTTTATTCCCGAGAATTTGTCCTAATTTTACCACTGTTTGGAAATTTTGTGGGTTGTGACCACATTTCACCCCTTCCCCACACCCCCAGTAGCTACGCCCCTGGCTCATGGGTGTTTTCTCCTTGTTACCAAGGAAACGGAATGATGAACATTACGTCATTTCACTTTTTAGGGTATACATTCACCATTTTAGGGATATAAAGTGATGATCAGTGGCGTACCCAGGGGGGGATAGAGGGGCCCGGAACCCCCCCCCACTTTTCTAAAATATGATCCTCAAGATCTGTCCAAAAACGATGTAAAACTCATTGTGGGGGGGGGGGGTGTAGTACACTGTATGCTTGTGTCAATAACAATTGTAAAATACTTTGCTATTTACCGTAGCTAACATGAATCAAATAATGGGGGAAATTTGGAAAAAAGGCGTTTCCCCGCATTTGCGAATGTTTGAAGGGCGTGGTCCAAAAAAATTCTGGGGGCTGCACCGCAGACCCCCCTACTGCAGCCCTGGGTACGCCACTGGTGATGATTGTTATTTCTCTTATGCCTTGTAATCATAGTAATACATTAATACAATCTTCGGGTAATTGTTTAAATCGAGTGTTACTTGTAATGTAGTGTCAGTGGAGGCGTTCCCCCCAGCAGTATGAATTTTGTATTTCGTCTTAATTCGATGCGAAAATGTTGGGGGAGGGGTAATATTTTGACTAGGTACTTTTTGTGATGTAATCCTATGATTTTCAAACTGCCTTTACGTAACCAAAGGTTAGTCATGGGCTTTTTCTCCAGGTAAAATTCGCGTTCCCAGATGGTAAAAGGGCGTTTTCTGGTGCTAGAGAGGGCGTGGCCTAGAAATTTTTGTTTTGTCCCCCTCCCTTTCCCCCAATTTCAATTCGAAGGAGCTTCTTGGGAATAAAATACACATTGATTTGGTTTTGTTATTGATATTATCACGCATTCTATTATCACGCATACAACTCGGAGGTGTCCATGTACACGGCAAGCAGATCGAGTCGATTCCTTCTGTATTTTCGCCCAATAGGCTATTTGTTCATCGACAATGTTATCAAAACTTTACAAAGGCAATTTCAATTGCAACTAACCAATTCAATGACCGTAAAACTTCGCCACTGAAAAGGAGAAAACGGTCTGCACACGATGCTGGAATCCTGTTTCCGAACAAATGTATGAAATGTGACACTTCAAAACCTTTAAAAGTTAAAGGAAAGAAACAGGAAATCAAAGTTGTGCAAACTGTCTCGGCTTGCGAATCCATTCAGGATGCTGCAAAATTGCATGAGGACCAAAACATGCTTCTTAGAATTACAGGGCAAGACTTGATAGCAAAAGAATTCAAAATGCATCCTAAATGCTACAGAGAGTATTACATCACAGAGTACTACAAGGATTACATCAAGAAAACCTACAAACACGGACGTCGTAACAGATGATAACACTGTCCCAGATTCCAGTACTACAAATTTCCCCTCCGTTTGTGACTTCATAAATGCTCACGTGATCGCTGGAAATCAATTCGCTTCTCTGAAGGTCTTGACAGAGATTTATGGGTTCAATAAAGATGACTGCAGACTGCGTGGTAAAGTAAAGGAAAGGCTTCAAAAAGAATTTGGCGATCAAATCACTTTTGTCAGAGTATCATATCATGAGGCAGAAATTGTGATAAGTAGCAAAGCCCTTCTCACAACAAATTTTGCCCAATTTACAAAAGAAAGCAAAGAATTCATCTTGAAAGAGGCTGCAAAGATTATTAGAGATGATATACTTGCGGTGATAGAGAATGCATTGGAATTACCCTGGCCCCCAACACCTGACTCTTTATCAAAACAAGATCGCCAGCCTCCTCGCAGTGTCCAAGACTTTATCTTGCGAGTTATCCATGCAACCCATCATAGTCCAGGGGATGATGTTAAACGTTACGTCGATTCATATTCACAAGATCTTGTGCATGCAGTTTCAAAAGGTTCATTTCTTACACAGAAGCATGTTCTTGTAGGGGCTGGGCTCCACAGCCTAACTGGCCAGAAAACACCGATCAAAATTCTTGCAAGACTTGGCCATTGCTGTAACTATGATAAAGTTAGACTAATTGAGACGGCTCAAGCCGAAGTAGTCCAGAAATTGCGTTCCATTAAGTATCCCTTACCACTGCAACCAGCAAATAGCGACATGTCTGTGCTTACATATTTTTGGTGGGACAATTTTGACGTACAGAAAGAGAATGTTCCAGGAAGCCTTCACACAACACACGGCATCGCATTTCAAGTAGAATCACCTGGCTGCATCAAAACCCTAACCAATGTGGAGACAGAGAAAACCCAGAGAAGAACTGTTAAGTGCAACCCACTTGCGCTGCCACAAAGAAAGATTGTATCTCATACAGAGCCAGTATTGTTTGAAGCAATAGCCAATGATGAATTTGACGGACGGTATCACTGCAAACTTCTCTTTCTATGGAAGCTTATGAGAAGAATCTTTTATCAGTCTCCACAGTGTATTTCTCGCTTTGTTGGTTGGGTTGTGCTTGTTTTTGGAAAACCAGAGTCGAGGGCCACGACTTTAACATTCCTACCTCCTATTGCCAAACCAATCACTGACTACAGCACAGTCATTGAATGTATCAAGCAATCGCAGTCATTGTCAGCTGCTTCCAATATGAAATACACACATATTACAGTGGATGCAGGAGCAGCTATGAAATTCTACCATGTCCTCTGGAACAATCCCGACGAATTCAACGATGTTTTCATCCATCTTGGTGACTTTCATGCTTCAATGGAATTCTTCGGTACAATAGGCAAGTTTGTCACTGGAAGTGGCTTCGAAGAAATCGTTTACCAGGCTGGAATGTGCACATCGGGGGGAATTAAAGGAGCTATATCTGGCAAGCATTACAATCGGTCCTGGTTGGTCAATGAATGTGTTGCAGAAGCGATTGACAGACTCTTTTGCGCGGAGTATATGCCAGATATACCAGACGAGGTCGAAAGATCGCTAAATCAGAAAGTTGAGAAACTAGATGTTACTTCTATTTTAGATGAAGAGACATTCACTGCGTTTAGCAGCCGTTACAAGTATTTGAAAGAAAAATGCATTGCTGGAGATTTTGGCAAAACTCCACAGTTTTGGATGATATATCAAGCTGCTGTTGACCGACAGCATCAGCTTCATTTGTCAGCGAACATTAACGACTTTTGCCTGCGATTAAAATGCTGGAAAGAATCTTTGCCTCTATGCTTTGCAATGAATAAGCAAAATTATTCAAGATATGGAGCTTATTACTGCAAGTCACTTGAACATATCGAACATACCCATCCAGGTGCAAAGGAGGAATTGGAAGAGAAGGGTTTGTCAGTCTGCAGAAATGGCTACGGTATTGGTCAATCTATTGATGGTGCTGGGGAGCAAACCTTTATGCGATCTTCAAAAACTATAGGTATAGAAAAATATTTGCAACTAATCAAAAATGTGTTGTAGCTTTTTAAACTTTCAATGTTTTATTTTTTTTGTTGACAGTGACAAAGTAACGAAGTTGACAGTTGTTCTTCTTTTTGTTTTGAAGGAGGCATAAAGAACTTCGCTCATCAGCAATCTACATACGAGAAGTGGGTCCTGAACAGGCCGTTCCAGGCAAAGATCGTAGAGTCACTACAATCCCTTGCAGATGTCGACAAAGCTGCAACAAACCCTCGTGAATGTTTGAGAACTAAACAAGTGCAAAAGTCAGAGGGACAGGTTAAGGAAGTCATGAATGTCCTAAAAGAAGCATTTATCAACCCATTTAGTGAGGAGTTGAGTAAAGATAAGCTGTTTAATCTTGCATCTGGTAAGCCATTAACTGATGAGATTTCTGCTTCATTGCTATCAGTTGAAGTACGTGGTACTGAATTGTTTAATAAATTCAGTAAACGCCTTGATGCCAGCAAAGAAAATGAGCTGTGCCTGTTTGATCCGATCCGACGAGTACCTTGGAAAGGTTTCAACGATGAAGCAAAAAAGATTAAAGTAACAGTCGGAGGTAAGACAAAAGATGTTGCAGTGCAGAGGGACATTCTTGGACTCTTATTGGCAACATCGTTCAAAGAAAAGGAGTCTGTTGATGTAGACAAAGCTCTTACTTATGCTCTTGCACCAGTGCCTCTTGCTCTTGCAACAACTGACGGATACAGGCGCAAAACAGCCAAGAGCATGTTACTACATACAGCATTAGAATCAATCATATCTGATGAAGAACCACCAGCAAATGCCAGCTGCTATATAATAGATCTGGCAGCAACATTGAGAAGCACGGTAAGCATGCCCGATACATTTAGAGAGCTTTCATGGAAAATTTTGCGAGAAATACCACTTAAGCAGCAACAAATATATGTTGTCTGTGATTCGTATTCTGCCAGATCAATAAAAGGCGCAGAGAGGGACTTGCGAGGACATGGTGATGAATTTGTGATACGAAATGCGGATATTAGAATACCTGCAAACTTCAAAAGTTTTTTGAGCAATGGCAGAAACAAAGAAAGGCTTTTTGAGCTAATCGAACACGTTTGGATTGAAGATGCAAGCAGTCTCGATGATCGAGTTATTTACTTTGCAAGAAAAGATTCTTGTGTTAAGATAAACAGCAAAGGAGCAATTCAGGTGGAGGAGTTAAACACAAACCACGAGGAAGCGGATACCAAAATCTGCTACCTACTTCACCATGCCCTACGAATGAATAATGGACAGGAGACAGTTTGCATTGTGCGCTCTAGTTCTGGAGATGTTGATATTCCTGTTATCCTTTTAGCCAACGAAGCTAAAAACTTGCATGTCTTCATTGATAACGGAACAGGAAAAAACCGGAGACTACTGGATTTAAATGTATGTGCGTTATCTAAATTACAGAAGCAAGCGCTCCTTGGCCTGCATGCATTTTCAGAGAATGACTACATCTCATCCTTCTTGCGAAAAGGAAAGCAGGCATTTTGGAAGCTCGTGAAAGGCGATGAAGATTTCCAAAAATTATTCGCAGAGCTTGGTAAGGTAAAATGTGCGAGTGGTAATTTGTTTCTTGGCTTAGAAAAGTTTGTTTGCACACTGTACGGAGAGAAGCGATTGCTGTCAGTGAATGAAGCAAGATGTGCTATATTCTGGCGCACCTTTGAAAAAGACAACAAAGTAATTGATCTCTCACTGATGCCCCCATGTAAAAGCAGCCTCGAAAAACACATAAAGCGTGCAAACTTTGTAGCAAGGGTATGGAGACAGGCTTGGCAAAGCATACTCACTATAGAAGAACCAGACAATCACGGGTGGTTAGAAGATTTGTCAATTGATTGGTTGACGGAGCCCTATCCTAAGGACATTGCGGAGCTATTGCTTGCAAGCGAAGTAATGGAAAGCGAATCGGAAATAGAAAGCGAATAAACAAAACAGCTTGAAAGATTTTCTTCATAATTTAGTTTTACAACGCAGAGCATGAATAACAATAATAGTGAAATTCCCCCTCCCTGTAATATCCTGTCTCCCCCCTAAATGCCCCTGTCTGTAATTTCCTGTCTCCCCCACTAAATTTGATAGAGCATTGATTAAGTCACCAGGTTTTAATAAAATTAAACATTTTCTAAAGTGCAATAATTAAATACAGTCAATTATTGAGACATTTAGAGGTTTTTTGGAATTTGACCCCCTGTATATAGAAAACGCCCCCCTAAACACCAAAGCAACATCCAGTTTCGTAATCTACGCAAAAAATTGAGTCAGAAAAAGTTGGTCTGGTTAATTGCCAGCTCAGGTGATAATGCTCCCCCTCTCACCTCTGGTCTATTATGAGTATTGTTGAAAAGTTATTCTATTTGATAAGTACTCAAATTTCACTGTCATGCGCTCCCTTCTTCTTTACTGAGAATGGTTGGCATCACGACAAAACGTAAACACAAAACGAGTGAGATAAATCGAACTCCTGTCTGATTGCCAACAGTTAGGATAATTTCTGGATGCGCCCCTGGGTTTCTGTGATGTGTAGAATTCAAATCAGTTTTATAGAAGAATTTTATCAAAAGCCATTAAATAGTAAGGCCTATACAAATCAACGCGTTCCAAGTGTCTTCTACTTTTCATGTTGCTGAGCGGAGGATCGTTTTTGAGTGTATTTACCTCTTTGGTAGAGTTGAGGTTAACTGTACATCGTCTAAGTGAACTACGCCATTTTCTGTTTTACTGGCCTGGGATTTAAATATCAGGAAAGCAAGGATGCAAGCGAAATTCGTAACAGGAAGCTAAATTCATTGCATTTCTTTTCTCTGTTCACAACTAGAAGTCGTACGGAATTCTATGATAGATGTGAACAATAAATAGCACTGCACAGATCTAGTTTAAAGAAACGGTAAAGCTAACACAAATGTATAAAGACATACCTTTATATGATTAGATATTCGAGGCTTCAGCAAACAACCGATTGATACAAAAGACAGTTTTAAAGTAGGTAGATTCCCCTACTGAATTGAATTGTTACATGATATTTCCAACCCCATGAAGGGAACTTTGGACTCAAACTTCGACATTTTCCAGTACGTAGGTGAGATCCCACTCTTCTATAGAATCCTTTGTGTTTTTCGTTTTGCGTTTATATGGAAAACAACCCTGCCCGGTTAAGTGAGATCCTACTGCTTGAAAGGTGAGATCTCACTGAGGTGGGATGAATTTTTCCATATAAACGCTGGAAGGTGGGATGGAGCTGGAAGATTAGATGAAATGTTCATATAATCGCGATCAAATTTTGTCCCACTTGTCAGCACACAATCTTGAAGTTGGGACGATTTTCTCCATATAAAGCTGGAAGGTGTGCCAGATTATGTGCAGAGAAGTGAGATAAATCTGCTCATATAGACAGGCCCTTCCACGCATATCAAACCTTATTGACCCTGTTAATCTAATGATTTTGATGAATTCTTTTTAATATCATATTTCAAGTATTTCCCACTTGTATGGATGTCTCAGGACAGGGGTACCAGTCCAAAAGAAAATTTGATTGGCAGACAGAGCAATGCGATTTGTATGCAAAGATAGTGATGTAGAATTGCGAAAAGTACAGGAAACGATTTAGCCAGTCATGAACGCAATCTGCAACTGTTAATGATTGAAGTATTCAAAACCAAGAACAATTTGAATTCAGTTGAAAACGACAGTAACCATATTCTAAGAAATAACCATCCACAGTTTCTAAAATTAAAGACCTCAATATAAGGCAAAGATAATATTGAACTTAGAAGATTCCCTCTTTTGTCTTATCTACCAAAAGAAATCAAAGATATTGCTATACCCGGTGAGGGGGGGGGGGGGGGGTGGGGGTGGGGGGCGGCTCCCATTAAGGCCTGACAGACGGGTCCCGTCGATCTGAGGGTCTTACCAAATCGCTACCAATGACCCAGTTTCGATAATAACTCTACCGCCTGGAGGTTTTTTCAAGTAGCTGCTACCTCTAAGGGGGGGGGTTACTTCTAATTAGCTGCTGAGTTTAGATTGCAATTTATTATAGAAAATGAACAAGATTTTATCTTTCTCGAATCAACAACAGTCAATCGCAAAGAAATTGGTCAAAGAAGGACCAGGGAGCACAAGAATTGATACTACTAAAGGATACAATTTAAGTTCTTATACTACCATTTGTGTCAAAAAATACTACCATCTCAGGGGATTTTTAACGTTTTAGCTTTTGCCATCTTTGACCGTGACTGGACCCCCTGTTAGGCCATAATAGGAAACCCCCCGTGTTTTCATACTACGTGAGTTTAAGGGAAGAATAAAATTACGGCACTGAAAAAGTTCAATTTGCCGATTGAGCAAAGTTTTTATAAAAAATCTAGATTTTTGTAGATTTTATTATATTTTAGATTTTCAATGACAAAATTAACTGTAAACAATAAAACTAATTTTTCTTTGCAAAAAGGAAACTCTTTCGTACGACTTTATTTTTTGTTCCATTAAAAGGTTCACTGCAAGTTTGGTTCCATCAACGACAAGCCAATTCCAATTGTTGTTTTCTTGCAATAAATCGATATTAGTTTATTGTTAATGATTTCATTGTCCGATAAGAGGAGTTATTACCAAGTGTATAAGTCTTTCTCTTTTCAAAATAAGTCTTCCCTGTTCTCTTCATTCACGAAAACTCAACTCTGGAAACCAGACCAAAGCCTCCGTGGAAAAGTTGGCTCTCATCGACGCACTCTTTTACAGAGGCTCTGGCAACCAGGGTACAAAAACAATAAACACCAAGAAACGGGTCTGTGGAAGAAGATAGTGATACATTTTTAGATTCAACGACTATACTACGTATTAATTTGATAATTTCCTGAGGGTATCATGAGGTAACTAAACAAGGTTTTCCAGGAACAATCTTTGTTACTGTACGGCAACCTAATAACTATTTATTTGGCTCATTTTTCACTGCATGCCCCCATTTTTCTCAAAATTACAGTATCACAGATTTTTGAATTGGAATCTAGCTAGTTTAACCTTTTAAATGCTCTTATGCAGGTGGTGAACTTTTGTTGCTGACGGGCAAAGCCTCTTCATCAGAAGAAGGCTATCGAAAGATACTATCAACTCTTGAAGACGGAAGTGCTTTGTTGAAATTCAAAGAAATGATGGAAGCTCAAGGCGTCGATAAAGCTGTTTCTGATAAGCTTTGCAGCTGTGCTGATGTTTATGATACATTGCCACTTTCAGAGTTCAAGACAACAGTAAATGCTGAAATCAGTGGAGTTGTGACTGCCATCGACTCACTTTCCTGTGCGGAGGTGACGTCAGCAATTGGCGCTGGGAGGACGAAGCCGGGAGAATCAGTCATGCATAATGTTGGTATACATTTACATTGTCATGTTGGCGAAGTAGTTCAAAGTGGTAGTCCAATTTTAACTGTATATCACAAGGATAAAACATTGGAAGATGAATTCATTAGAAAGCTAGAATGCGTCATATCCCTCGACCCAGCCTCAAAAGAAGAAGTTAGTATGAAATCAAGAATTTTGGATGTGGTCAGGAAATATTGATTTGTTTGGTTTTTTCAAATGTCTGAACAAAATAATCTTTTTCTACTTTTGCAAGCAATGTATCTCTTATGAAGATATCATTATTGCCCAAGATACGAATCAATTCTTCAAATTCAAATAAGTTTTAGGTAAACGGGAGATTTTTTCTAGAATTAAGTAAGTGTTTTTAGTCAACTTTTTTGTAAACAGAGTTGCTAGATGTGCGTGGCATGTAACTGTATTATTCACGGGCTTTTCTTTAAGTAATAAAATAGTTTTTGCAAATTGGGGTGAGTAGTGTGTTGTTTTAGCTACATCTAAGATAAGAAGAAATATACAGAGCTTCTTGGCCTAACAAGTGTTATATCCTCCGGATTGTCCGTCGCCTCGAACGTATCTGTATGCATCTAATTTAGGAATATTTAATTTTTACCCGTGTAAGGACAATGAAAAGTCCTATTTCCGCTAGAAATGTGGCATGTCCTCCACGTAAACACTATTTATCGATATATTATATAGTATAACATATATTGGTATAATATGTTTTTAGTTTTGAGTTTTGTGTCTTAAGTAATGTTGTAGAATTTGGGTAGAATGAATTCGTGGGAAAATTGGTATAGTTTTTCTCTCTGTTCATACTTTATTTAGATTATCAAAAGACAAATGTATGTGCGGCGAGTTCGGGAGTGCTGCGAAGATGCGCAGGCGTAGAGGGCAGGATTCGAACGCTGCGAGAATGCGTGCCTCCAACTACTGGATAAGTTTGTAAAATCTAGGGAAGCCGGGACAATAATTGCCGACGCCAGTCAACCACCTTACAGCATTTTCTTGCCTTCATTTGTATTTTCTACTTAATTTTGATTTTTGGACTAATGTATGAAATTGCTCCTTTAACCATTTTTTGTGGTGCAAAATTTGAAAATGGCTTTGAAAAACAAACATTTTGAATCATACTTACCTAAGCTTTAGGATATTGTGACCGGATATTGTAACCGATTTTAACAGTGATCTCATCAAATTTCAACAGTAGTGATTGTAGAGATACAACGAAAGTACCCCTAGTTTCCACCATACTGCCGGGGGCTTATTTTGTAAAAAGATATTTCAATACGGGTGCTTGTTCCAGGAGGATGACTTATTTAAAGTGGGCTGATTTAGCAGCTTTTTAGCATTGCTAGGACTCGGGGACGGATTTAGCGGAGGAGGGGGGGTGTAGGGGGTGCGACACCCCCCCAATATTTATGTATCCTTAGGTAAATTTTATTTCATTCAGTAAAAATCATTCGTTGGTACTCAGTAGAAACAAGGTAACGCCAAGATTTTACTTAATTGATTTTCTTATCAGAATTTATCTTCTTATCAGCCGCGTAGCGGTAGGGAGGAATATTCTGAAACGATTTTAAACCTCAAGGATGTCCTCGCAAAATTTTTTTGCTCGCAGGAAACCCTCCTGTATATCCCTAAAGGATGTTAAACAATTTCCCCTCGTTTTGGGGTTTGTATAGAAACGTCCTTCACGTTCTTGAGACAGTCCTGAAAAAAATATAACAACTAGAATGCTAAAGCAGTTCAATCCATGAAAAAACTGGATTCTGAAGTGCTTGTCGGGGATTTTGCTCCAAGGAGGACGGACTTGCTTTAAAACTTTTGAATACTGGAACTGTGAAGGATATAGACAGTTGTAGAATATGGTCAGCCACAAAACGCTTCATATGACTTTGTATAAATGGAAATTGCCACGTAAAAATGTCATAGCTTTTCCAAATGCATTTACAAAATGGGTGTTCGCCCCAATTTCTTAGGGGTCTGGTCAGCGAAAATTTTCTCCTTTTTGCTACACCAATCTTCCAACCCTGGCTACGCCACAGCTTCATATCTTCTTTACCAAATTTTAAAACGGGTGCTTAACACCCCCTCCCAACCCATGCTGCTTTAATCCGCTCCTGCGTAGGATTAATTGCTGCTGCTATCTTCAATTGTTCAGTTTCAAGTGACAACAAAGATAATTGTTTGAAAACAAATGGGTAGGAAGTTCTTCTGTTAAATTCAATTAATTTACTTACTCGGGAATGAAATACCAATGCAACATAAAGAGCGTAAAGCTCCCTCAGAAAAACTGCCATAGACATCAGAAGGTCAGTCATGAGGCTACGTTCCCACATCATCAGAGCGAGTTGGGCCGTTGGTGCATCGGCGCCAATCGCTCAACCTAGAATAAAGGGGTTACTAAGGGAAGTTACACAATAACCCCCAAATATGATTGCTAATTGGGAGGGAATGGACAGGAAAAGCCTCTCTTCCCCAGTAATAGCCGATGCACCAGTCCTTCCTAATAGCATCAGAAAGCGCCAAGAAGCAAAAAAGATGCCTCAAGGTATGAGAGGTTCTAACGATGCCATAAAAAACTCAACACGCAAAGTTATACTGAAAAGGCAGTTAGCATAAAGAAACAAAATGAGGGAGGGAGGGCTGGGAAAATACAATAAAACAGCCTAGTTGTATTTTGGCTTCACCAAGCAAGGTGAGACCCACGCTTTGCCAAAACCTTAAATACCCCTAGATTAACCAAGGGAATGAAAACGCCACGAAACACACATCTTACCCTAGTTATACAAATCAAATTCACAGGAGGCCGAAAGACTCCCCGCATTGCCTATAAACTAGTAGACCAGATACAAGAAAAACGCGTGGCACAAGAAAACATAACGAAATAGTAATAACAACAATCTCACGCGATTTAGTTAACGCTCAAAAGCCCCTCGTGAAATTAACTCTGATTAAATTTCATTTAATCATCATTTAACAAGTAAATTGAGCTTATTTTGGGAAGGAAGGTAACTCAGCGGTGGGCTTATTTTTCAATTTTTTTTTTGAGATGGAGCATTATTGAAATCGGGTTTATTAAAACACCAGCTTCGCATGATCTAAATAGCGTTAATCTACAATTCTAAAATTTAGATCCAAGATTGTATCTTTGAAATATGGTTCGATTTACCATCTGTTGCTTTAGAATATAGATTAGAGTCTATTGTCTAAATCATATATCGACAATTCTGTCGCTTTAAGTGGTCAAATCCCGGCGGAGGACTTTGTATAGGCGACACTGGCAAGACACCTGGACCCCGCCAGGCTGTGAGCGCGCTTTTAATTTCGATAACATTTTTGCTGTGCTGTGGCTGACCTACTCTCATCGCGTGTGCCTAATTTGAGTATAACGTTTTGTTGGAGGCGACAAGCAACGATCTAAAGCAATAGAAAAGGTAATTGTACAACATATATATTTTAAGATCTGATGGCAGGTTTAATTTTATCTCTCTCAATGTCCGGTCTCGGCGGCCATGTTATGTTATGTCAATTGATTGGCCTAGTGGCACACTAATGAAGCATTTAACTTCAGCGTATCATTTTGTGTTTAATACAGCTAATAACAGAGATATAAATATTAAATTGTATATACAAGTTACTTTTGCCTGTATCGTACGTTAGATTGACATTTTGCTAGATCGTTGGTTTATGGTCTTCAATGTTGCGGGACGATATAGGCCTAGGCCTAGATCCTTTTCTTCCCTTGGACACAATTTTTGATTAACCCTTCCATTCCGCTTGTTTGATAAAGTTAGAATCACAGTCAAATCTTAAATATCTCATTGCAGTTGAGCATTGATTTTTAACCATGCAAATATAAAAACCCCATGTTATAATAGAAAGAAATGCTGGGACATCATTTTTCTCCCTCGAGTTGCGATATTTAATTTGACCAAACCGTTTCTGATTTTTGCATGAAGGGTATGTTTTATTTATTGCCCTTAATCTTTGGAAGTGAATCATATATTTTCACCAAGATGAAGAATTCATAATTTATGTTACTTTGCCCTGTCAGGGATGGGATTGTCCACTGAAAAGCATTCTTTGCTGTGAGTATGGTAACTGTGAGAGGGAAAATTAGCAAATCCAGCAGTGTCTAATGTTAGCAATCATTTTACCATTTTACAATCAAATTTGTGAGTACTGGATGAGAACCAAAGTACTTTTGTTTTCAAGGATGGATAGCAAACGACCAGCAACATACATGTTGGTTTCTGATGAACAAAGAGCGAAACTGATATCAAACTACAATGAAGGTATGAAATCAACTTTGGAGAAAGAGAAAATTAATCAAGCATCGAAAGAAACTGGTCTCCCAGTTGATAAGATAAAGGTAACATGTACTTTCTTGTTCATATTTAACTGGCACAAAATATTTGATTTTCCCCTTCCTGCATACAAAGTCTACAAGAAAAAATAAAAGACACAGAAACATACAAAAGTATTTTGCCAAATTGAACGTGATAACAATATTTCTACAATTAAATATATTGGTTGAAGTAAAACCATTCAGAAATGTTTTCTATTTTTGATGCTGTATTTTAATTGTGTTTTTAAATTTAAAGAAATGGATTGGAAATCAGAATACAAAAATGCAGAAAAGGTCAAGAGCAGAAAATGGAGATCAAATAGAAGAAAAAGAAATTAAAAGAGTAAAAGGAGCAAGAAAACTGACAGCACAGAATGTTTTTTATAGTAGTTTGTCCAGAGAAGGTATATATTAAATTATGATTTTTTCTGGTAAACCGTTGCAATTGAGATTATATACAGTATTTGTAATATGAAAATAGGCATTGTGCAGCATTTCACATGTCTTTATACTTTGCATGCGGGATGGCATGCAATACCAAGAGCTTTTTATCTGCTGTTTTTCATCAAAAGAATATTTTACCATTTTAAAGCAATGCACACATCTGATGATTGAAAATCAAATCTAATCAAAGCTAATCAAAAGATTATTGCAGTCCCTTCCTCCAGTGAAAACCCTAGAAGAGGTTTCAAAAATTGCAATTACGAAAAAACCCTGCATTGAGTGAAAAACAGAGTGCATAACTGAATTCAGTGTGATATTTTAGGTAGGGGTGGTGGGTTTACCACTGTCTTAAAAAATTCACTGCCGCATTTTGAAAACAATAATTCCTTCAAGGCTATTGCAGTACATTTGATTTGCTGAAGCATAGTTTTAGGTTTTATGAACATGCGCACATTTTCCCTTTAAATTTGAAGAGGAAACCCTTGATCCTCAAATTGAAGGATGTATGCATTGCTGTTTAATCTAGCCATTTTTGATGATAATGGGGCAAGCATATAATTGTATGATAAATCTTGTATTGGAATAATTCTACACCTTGGAAAATGATAGAACTGCCTTTAGATTTGGTGATGTTTTGCATGCCTCTCATAATTTGGGTGTTTGTGGATATGCAATCACATACCTTATGCGACAAAGACTGTATATATAAATATATATATATATATTTATGTGAAAGTTTTAAATCAAGAACAAGTAATGTTTTTGGTCTAAATTATTGCTTATAAACTTGATTTCTAATAAGGCATGAATAAACTTATGAAGAAAAAGGTGTGCACTGCCCAAATAGAAGCTGAACACAAGCTTTCAAATAAAAAGTAAATATTAAAAACAATACTTCTAGGAAAGCTTGCTGGGTTCAAGTCAAATGGAGAGAGACATACGTATATGTCAATCATGTGGCACAAGCTTGGTGACGCTGAAAAGCAGTCATTTAAAAATGAGGCAGAAAGGCTAAACAAAAATGCAACCAACCTCACACAGGATGAGAAATGTATCCAAATACAGCGTGTAAAGAAAATGCTTGTTAATAATGTGAGTATTTCAATATCATTGCTAATACCTTTTTACACAAATATAATTTTTTGATGCTGTTCCAAATGTAACATAAGCATGTTTTCTGCATTAAATGTTTAGAAGAGAGTGTTTTCTACATCTCATTTACACCAAATCAGTTGGCAAACAAAGCCCTACACCTCAACATGTGGCATAAGAGACAGGGCTGTTGTTTACCCTATATTGGATAGCAGCCTCCTAGCTGGAACATTTTATGCCATGTGCTATAATTTACGTGAATAACAGGGCCAAGCCTAAAAATTGTTTGCAGTTTGACTAATTTCTGCTTTTGTATATTCATGGCCATTTCCATATTGAGTAAATAGGTTATTTCTCCTGAAGATCGTGTGATGTGTAAATAGGCAGTAAATGAATTTTTTTGTTTTTTGGCAAATAGGCTTTCAGTAGCTTTATTATCTATATTCTATGTTCATTATTCTGAAGACTTCCTTCAGATAAAGGTCTTATTGCGAGCTTTCATTGAAGGTGCATTAAAAGTTTTTTTATGAATTTACACATTCAATCACATATTCACCAAAGGTGAGAAGTGGTCGATTGTCAATTTGCTTCTTTTTGTAGGAAATGACAACGTTCATTTTATTCGGATGAGGTATTATATGGTTTCTATGTGCAGTTTCATGAAGACGAACCAACTTAATCTGAACTCCAGCTGAAACGGACTCTATTGTACATCAACGAGATAAACAAGTTGATATTTTCTGTATAATGAAAAAAACACTTCTCTTACAAAATACCCCACCTAAATAGTAGATATACCCTCAATGTTGTCTCAATTCTGCAGCTATTTTCACCTAATTATCATAATCAATTTGACTGAGGTAAAAAGAAATAAAACGAGAAAAAAGAGAGATTAATCAGCAGAGTCTACGAAATTTCAAAAGAAAACGTTTACAAGATTAGGTTGAAAGAATGTCGGGTTAGCAGGTTTGCCCTGTAAATATTAATAGCATCGTAAAACATGCTAACAAATTTGATTGCTGAATAACAATTAGAGTTCTTCAAAACCATCTTCATCGTCATTGTCATCATCATCATCATCATGTTCTTCGTCGTTGTCATCATCATCATCATCAGTTTCATTAATGGCATAATCATCGTCATCATCATCAATGTCATATTCAGTTCTCCTTGAAAATGCGACATTCGCCAGAAATTCACAGCTTGTAGACGTGATAGACGAAGGGACTTCCTTACCAAATTTTTCGTAGGTAGTTTTTTCAAATAAAATTTGGTTTCCAATAATTAGCATGTGCTTGTTTAGGACACCTCTTAGACCCAATGAATATGCGCTTCTGCTCCTAGATAGTTCTTCCACCTTTTTCTTCAACATTTCTATTGTTTTTAACTTTGACGTCAATAGAAGTTCGCATTCTGCATAAAGAAAGCCTTGTTCTTCATCGCATCTTTTTTCCAACTCATAAAGCTCGATAATTCGGCGTTTGGCAGCAAAAGGTATTTTGTCTCTAAGAGAGGTCAAAGTAGCTTCGAATTTTTGATAAAGATTCGAATTTGGATCTCTTGCTTCCTCGAATGAAACTTCTTCAACGGACAGCAAAATATGTTCCTTAAGCAACGATAGTTGGGCATTGTATTTTGATATTTCGAGCTTTAGTCGCTTTGTGTATTGGCCTACCCGTCGTGCAAGACGGATTGCTTGTTTCTGTCCCTCTATGAAAGGAAGGCATAAAAAATTAGGATAGCAATATTTATTGGTGCATTACTAAGAGAAAAAATGATACTTAATTGGTGCAGAAAATGTAAGGCAGCATTATCATATTTTCCAGTATCTGGAAGAACTATAATATCTTCTTCTTAAACAAAAAATTTAGCTATTAAACAGCATCGGGAAACACATTTCTCAGCTAGCACTTGTAAAACATAGCGCAAAGTAAGGAAAACAAAACAATTGATTGTAATATCTTTGTATGACACAAAAATTTAGCTGGAAGCAATAAGTTGGTCATTCACATTTGAAGTTACCTAGGAAACAGATTCTTAGAATATTACATGAATTTTTGACAGCATTAAGTATTGCCAGTAATATTTTATTAGTATCATCTGTTATATCATTATCAAAATATCGTAGCAGTGTTTCTTATTCATGAAGTAGAGAAAAAGATGAAAGGTTTTTCACGAACGCGAATATCTTTCTTTTAGCATTAATTGCAGATGACGCTCAACAGCGATTGAGCGAAGGTTTTGAAGAAACATGTCCCTCTTTTCGACTTGAATATCTTGCATCGTGGTAATCAACTTTGGATTGTTTGCTTTCCAACGAATTGATATTCCTCTTTGTTTTTCAATTTGTTTGAGTTTGTCATCAACTCTGTAATAAAAGAGACAAATCAAAGTAAATGTAATTAGAAATATAGAAAAATAATGCAGTGCTGTAATTAATACGTCAAGACAACATATATTTTAAAATATTATTTACCCTTTTGCCTTTGAAACCAGTTGCGAAGGACTTGAATCATTGAACGAATCAGCTGCTGCTATGTCACATGTCCCTAGCGTGTTCCTGTGTTAAAATAGAATATTAGTTTTGGCATCTGGCCCTTTCGAGGCATGTCATAAGTAAAATATTCATTTCATGCTGTACAAATCATGATCATTCCAATAATCTGAGAGGCCTATTATGATGAAATTAATAAATAAATTGAGTTTTTGGATTGTTTTTTAATCTATCCACCCTACAAGGTAAAGAAATCGTATAAAGAATGGAGAAAAGAATCGGAAACAAAACCAACAAAAGACGTTTTGTATTGCAAGTAAATAATTCTCAGGTACTTGTATCATTTTTATACCCTCAAATGTCAGACAAGCCTTTTATGAAGGAATAAAATCTGTCTATTAACCTGATAGGTTCAAAGAATTCGACGCGAAAATTGTGAAATAGCTTCAGATGCACTATTTTGCATAATAATTCATAGAAACTTACAATAATTGCATGTGTTCCCAAAGTAGTTGCGCATACTTCTGCTCCCAAGAGGAAGTAGATTTGGCAATGGCTAAATGACATAAAAAAGTTATGATAAATTTCTATATATTCATTAACAGAATTGGTTTGGTTGCAATGCCCTTTAAGTGGCACTTTTATTAATGCTAGATATGTTTTTGATTCCTGGAAATTTAGATCAAGCTATATGAGGCCTAGCCACAAGTACAACCTAAAAATGGACAAACCAGAAGATTAAAAACCATGGAAGCTTTAGCAAACTCTTACAGTTGGTATAAAATAAACATAAAATATAAATGTTTAAAAATATAAACACTTTAGCAAACTCATTTATATTTTGAGCGTTTGAATTTGTTATAAAAATATATAAAATATAAATGTAAAAATGCAGTGCAAAGACGAATACAGCAAATCAACTAACTTTTATTACTGCTAACTAGAGCAAGTTCTTCTTCTTTCCACTTAGAGATGGTTGACTCAGTCACTGGTTTGGCATCAGCTAAAGAAATTAACAATAAATTAAAATACAGCCAAGATTAGTTATGATGAAATTTTGAAAGCATGGACATGAGAAACTCATTTCCTTTTCTGCTTTCCATCAATAAGAATAAGAATAAACATTGCAATTTTTATTGCCAAAACAAGAAAGCACACCTGGCAATGCGGATATGATTTTGTTCTTTTCCATTGATGATTTCATTTTCAAAGTCTCTGCCTTCAATAGCCCATGGGAGAGATATCTGCCTGTTGGTTGTAAATGCTATTCATTAACTGTTATTGAATTGGATACATTAAATGAAAACAAAATTGCTATTTAACCAAAAAATATTTCAACATTATAGGTGGTCACTGGCTACTGTTCTCAATGGGGTCGCTCAAGTTCCATGTGCTGTTAAAATGGGCAGACATGTTTTAACATGGCAGAAAACTCAAAGTTTTTGCAACAGAAAATTTTGTCACACATCCCCATGCCCCATCACAATGACAGCCCTGCTAACATTGCATTCAAACATTAAAAAACAAAAACATTACAAAGATACGACCTTGACTTCTGGAAATTCTCCTTGCATAGTGTAGAAGGGCCTCTGAAAGGATATCTGTTCGACGACTTGGGGTCATTTCTTTTGTCATGAAGCAAAATCTTCTGAGGTATGACCAGAGACGTTCTATACCTTCACCATCTGTTAGACCAAAACCTTCATTGCGACGTGGTGAATATAAAACCTCAAAGAAAATATCCATTTGTAATAAAAAGCATTATTATACTGTTCCATGTTAAAAAGCTGCCAAAAATAACCGATCCTGAGCAACTAGAATGTATGTGCAGTACATGTGACAATTAGAAAAAATTTGTTTCTTACCTGGCACTTTGAAACATGAACATAAGCATGAAACAAAGGAATTCCAAACTCTATTCGTTCTGTTAAACCTTCTAACCCATAACTGGCAGAGTGCACCTTTTCAAAAAAGAACAGATTTAAATTCCTTTTGATGTAAAATTTGCCGGAACAAAGATCTATATTTCTTCAAGCAAATTTTATAACATGAGCAGTAAAAAAATTCAATGCAAGCAAGTAGTCTCAGGCTGTTTTGAGTTAAAATTGGAAAGGATAATGTTGAGCATTTAGATCAGAATCTAATAATACAAACACAATGTGGATTTTACTAAAGTAATTACCTCAAGGTGTCTTTTTAGAATACATGCAATATCATACATGCACTTTAATTTGACATTCCCAGAGTCCATATATGGCTCCACCATTCTTTTCAATTCATAAACAGCATAGGCAATACTGAAATGACAAATGCATTGAAATGAGTCCCAGAAGCTTGAGATGATTATAATTGAAAAAAACCTTCAATTTCTTGACAAGCTTGACAACTTTTGTTCTACATATAACAAGAGATTTTTACTCAAGTTTTGATAGTGAAGGAAAAAAGACTATAAATTTACATGCAACCAAAACAAAATAAATGTTGGATAATCCAAAAATTCAGTTTTACATAATGTGGAAGATATTTGGTTATTCCTGGAATCAAAAATAAAAACTGTTTGCATTTCAATCACTTGATAACCTTATTTAATAAGATGGTTTGAATATTTTACCGCTCTCCGTGTTTGAGGCTTATGAATCCCTTTGGGAAACCATGTCTACAAATTCTACCAAACACAGCTTTCTCATCGTAACGCTTATTCTTTCCCTTTGATCTCAAAGATGTCTCAATCTCCCCAGCTTTGTACTGATTACAAGTCTACGGAAACAAAAAAAGCACAGAAAATTACAGTACTGAATTACAATATTGTATGGTTTAGATCAAGCCTAATTCTTGGAAGTAATATTAATTCTTTCAAACATTCCCAGAGAGGAAACAATGTAAAATCTATAGAAATATACAGAAATATACTGACTCAAGGTGATTCTTTCAGGATAAATGATAGACTATGATTGTTGAATAGATCTAAAAGTTTAAATATGACATCTTTTGCATATAAATGTGCTTTAAATGACCAAGTTAAAATGTTTTAGTTGAGTTAAACTTTGGTCTAAAATCATTCCCATTGATCCATTCAAAATTACTGGTCATTTGATGAAAAGCTGTACCAACATTCCAGGATACTAACATTTTCTGTCTTTTTCAACACTGCTGTGTGCTTTTCAATAAAGTTGTCAACATCTGCTTGATCTGCAAACATATCACAACCAAATCTAGGTTCATTAACACTTGACCCTGCACTCTTCTTTCTTGGGAAGCCGAAACATGCATCCATCATTTCTATGATTGTTCCACTTTCTCCGGGCTATAAAAATACATAAGATATAACATATTTGTTTATTTTCAGTCTGATCTACAGCCTGAGTAATGTCAGAAAGAATCTTGAAGTGTCTAACATAATTGCTTGATTCAAAACCACTTTTAAATTAAGTATAAAAAGAAAAATTTTTTACATTACATACATCCTATTCAGTACATTTTGAAGATCAAATTTTGAATAAATAAAAAGGGTTCTGGCTATTTCCTTCTTTGTTGAGAATAAAATGAGAAACAGAAGAATGACTCTAATGAAGTATTACTTACTGATGGACATAAGACACATTTGTCATTCTGAATCCCCATAGAGTACAGAAACAATCTTAAAATAAGGAACATTAATTTTTCATGACTGCATGTAAATAATCTCTACAATGGAACAAATAAAAACAAATAATTTCATGCAAATCATCCACATTAATTTTATCATTCCCTTTAATCAGCATCAAACTGGCTGACATTTTGCAATTTCATGGAATTTTCAAAAATAAAGGCAGCCTTCACTGACACTATCAACAATAATAATAAGAATGTATCATATAGACAAGGAAATAATAGAATTGCATAATATAGACAAACTGTAAATAAACAAGATAAGCATCTCACAAGAATAATGTAGTAATTCTAACCTGAATTCGTCAAACGCTGGACCATTTAGAATCCTGTATATATTGGTGGCCTAAAAATTGATAAACTTACAAGATAAACTAAATAATGTATAGATTAAAATCCACTAAACATTAGGGAACAATGTTGATTGATATTGACGTTGGCTTCCACTTTGTTTATATTATGCACCAGCACTTCAAGCTCTGATAGGTTCCAAGACGGTAGAGAGTTCTATTAGTCAAATTGTTACCATTGTTTTTTGGCAGACTTTATCATTTTTTTTTCTCTGTAACATACAAACATACATTTTTTTGCAACATACAAACTTCTGGAATACCATACTAAAAATTCATGCAGTTAAGTGTCATAGAGAAGAAGTAAAATCAAAATTAGAAATCACTTACATATGTAGGCAGCAAAGGATTTTGAAGCAATTTTATGGCAGCACATAGCTTATCCAAAGAAGACTGACATTCAAAGAGTAATGTCATCAATAACTGTAGTAATCTGAAATCAAATGCAGTCTGGGGTCTATCACCTGTGCTTGGCCAGAACCCCATTGATACAAGAGTTTCAGCTTCACTTTGGCATTTGCAAAATGCTACCCTTTTCAAATGTTGTCTTCCTACAAAACAATTAGAGACTTAGATGTCTACTCATTACAGACTGCAGCCCTATTATTACCAATGGTTGATTATGTCATGATTTCACAATAATTGAACATTTCAAAGAAATTTGATTGAAAGAAAGATTGTGCTTGCACATGCATCTACTAATACTAAAATTCCTATTATGCTAACAAGCCAAGGCAATAGATTCCCACCACACCACACCACAGTTCAAACCCTGTTTCCGCCTGAAGGACAGAAAGGATTTTCCCTAGGAAGATTTTAATCAAAGCTAGGAGATTGATCTGGACCGTTAATAGTAGTACATCTTTTTTGGTGTCTTGATTTGCGATATATTTGTATAAATTCTTAAGATTATTGATCATTTATAAAATTTTATGAATTGAATATTTCATAAAAGAATATACCTTGGGAATCAACAAAAACCATCTGTTTGACATAGTTTGCTGTACTGCACAATTTGTGTCCAGGTGGCTCTAATATAAAATTGTTGGCAAATAGTGGCACAAATGCTCCATCCTATAACAAAATATAGCCTAAATTGAAAGTTAATTTTGTACAATCAAATAATTAAACAGGTAGCAATTTATTCAGGAGGTGCACCCCAGTTCTTCAATACAGTTATCCAAAACATTTCTGTATGTTGATTTTTAGAGACGAGGCAAGGGTCATTTACCATATATTCACCATACAATATTTTGGGATATTTACAGATCTGCTTTTACCAGTGAACATGAAAATCGATCAAAGCTGACGTTCTTTGGATTCCTCTATCACCAGGCAAGAACTTCAGAAGAGTATCATCACCGATTGGTACCAAATTTTGCACTAAATGGATGACTTTGAATATTTAAAAACCTAAATATTGATGTTCGTAATCAGGTTTCTTAGGCATCTAAATTATTATGAAATTACCTTCCATAGTTCAAGAATATGGAACAAGTTCTTGTTCTTGTGCGTAGCCGAAGCACAGTCAATACAAAAATTTTGCTGCCAGCCACAATCTTCGCACCTACATACAGCCTTCCGAGGTTCAGTAGGGTTGGTATCAAGGCAAACAACACAGAAAGCGTCAGTTGCTAGATACTGCTGACTCAAAAAGGCCAACTTCAACTTCTCTCTTATACTCTCCCAGCAAGTTTCCTCGCGCAATTTTCTTGCTTTGTAGAGATTACTCCCTTCATTTGACTGATCCAGTACCAGTTCAGAATCATGGTGTACATTTCTACAGTAATTGGCCGGTGATAAGGCTGATCTTGATGGGGTGACTTCTGGGGTGACACAAGAAGTTCCATTGCGGCCTGGACATTCAGCATCTTCTAAATTATGATCACTTTTATTCAAGCTTATTGTGTAGTGTCTTCGCTTCTTTATACCGCCGATATTTAACGTATATTTATGACTAAATTTTTTAAATTTCTTTCGTGATGGTGCCATCATCTAGTCTGTTGGAAACCATCTGGTCGTACACCAAGCGCCAAGCAAAACAAAAAGTAAAAAATGCTTAGGTTGTTGTCCTGGCAACGCCGCAACCGCCGTGCTTGCGCCTTTAGAAAACAGGAGATGATTTAGACAATAGACTCTAATCTATATTCTAAAGCAACAGATGGTAAATCGAACCATATTTCAAAGATACAATCTTGGATCTAAATTTTAGAATTGTAGATTAACGCTATTTAGATCATGCGGACCCGGTGAAAAAGGGGCCTTTTTTAAAGGGGGATTCGAGGGAGTAAGGGATTCGTGTCATCCCCAAATTAGCAACAGCAACAACTGTTCTTTGAACCGTGACGACCAGCAGAATTGTCATCCTCATCTGATGCTCATGTCTCGAAGTTCAATTACACAAGGCATTCCTGGAGAAATATAAGAATTTAACCCAATGAAACATTATCAATATACAGGAGTCAGTATGCGACTTGTCGTCGATGAAATGCTGTTCAGAATTCAAAATGCTGGGGTTTGTTAATAGGGAAGAGCCAACAATACACAAAGTGTTTTGAAAAGTTGTTCATTTGAAGTTCGTATTCAAATTCAAAAACAGAGAAAGCATTTGAAGCGGAGACGGTATTTCGTATCTTACCGTTGCCATTAATATCCAAAGAAGATTATGTTCGCTTGTGTTCGTTAAAGGAATTTGTCAAGCAATTTCCCCGGAATGAGTCAACATTTCATCAAAGGTAACAGCAATTTACTTATCCTTGCTGCGCGCTCTTGTTAATTAAGGTGCTAAGTATTCCACAGCTTTTATGTATAAGAAAAACGGTGGTGAATGAATGTAGAATTCAATCATTGAGAAAGTTGTAAAACTCTTCCGCTTTTATCTGTAGGCCCATCGCCTACAGATAAAAGTCGTCTATTGTAATGTCAATGACGACGTTACATGTAGCGGTTTTTTTATCTATTTAACAATATTGTGGTGGTGTCAGTCCCTGCTGGAAAAGTTTACGCCGATAAGTTGCTGTATTGAGGTTGGAAGAAAGACACCCATTTTACAATACCGAGCTCTTCAGAGTTATAAGGAAATAAGCATTTACGAGTTTCGACTCTCCGTGCCGAATTCGATGCTATTTAGTTTCGTTTTGTTCAGACTTTAATAAATGGCTTTGAAAAAAGCAAACATTTAGTAAACTAAAGCTTTTCGTCTGATACTCTTCAGAGTTTAAAACGTCAGAACATAGATCGAAAACTCTGAGGGTAATCTCATTGTTTTAGAGTTCTTAAGTGCGAAATCATTTAAAAATGTATTTTTCCAATCTCATTGTTTTAGAGTTCCTAAGTGCGAAATCATTTAAAAATGAATTTTCTAAATCTCATTGTTATAGAGTTCCTAAGTGCGAAATCATTTAAAAATGTGTTTTTCAAAATTTTTAAATTTTGACTACACAACTTAAAAGAACACCATGAAATACTTCTAAACATGCAATATCAGTTAAATGTGTCAAAAGTTGGTCGAAATATGGCCAAGAAAACATTTGATGTTTGCAAAAGGTATCCAAGAGAAAGCCAAGCAGTCCACCAAATGTCAATTGGGGTATGGAGGGTGAAAAAAGTCGCAACAACAGTATGTAAAACATATTCAAAGCTGAAATAGGAAAAATTTATAAAAAGGACACGCCAACCAGTGGCATACACCTAGGGCGATACTTTGGAAGATAATTGTTTTTGTTCTAAAATAATGGGAAAATCTGAAGTAGGAAAAAATTTATTTAAAGGACATGCTAATCATTGGCAGACACCTGGGGCGATGTTTTGGAAGACAATTGTTTTTGTTCTAAAACATTGGGAAAATGTGACAACATCTTATCAAAACAATAGGCTTGCCCCCCAATATTTGACCAAGTGTCTGCCCATGACCCTAGTTTTGACCATTTTTGAAAGGACTTAAATTTTAGTATTTTTGTTCTTCAATATGTGATTTATATTGTTCCTTGGCTCATGTTTGCATTCATTGACACAACCACACCAGTATGAAATATAAGGAGCTCTGCTAGGGAAAAAGAAATTTCCAATCAAATTACAGACTTAGCCTACATCCTTTTTTTAATCATCATCATCATCATCATCATAATTCCAATTTTGATCCAGTTTTGTCCACTTTAGAGTGGGTGGCCCAATTTACTTAAAAGTGCTCATAAGTGCATTTTAATGCCATTACAGTGGCATTAATGCCCTGTTTAACCAGTAAAAAACAAAACCAATGTTATTGGAATTGATTTGTGATATAAAACTGCTTTTATGTTGACACAATGTTTCATAGCAACCATCAAGGTATATTATTTATTGATATATCTCCATCTCAATTTTGCTTCTTTGAAAAAATGATGGTTTTAAGAATTTTCTTGATAGTGTAAGACCTCTTATTTGCTAAATCATAGATATAGAATGGGACATAAATGAAAAAAAAGGGGCGATTATGTGTCCATGCGATGCATGTGTTAGTAGTACCAAAAAGTAATAGGATACTTAAATTAAAGAATTATGCAGTTGCATTTGAATAGGCTTTACAACAGAAAAATGGTCCAGAGTTGCCCAGCTTTTCTAAATGTAACCTTGGTCTAATTTTTTAATTTTTTTTCCACTTTACCTAAATTTTTGACCCAGAAAACAGGGCTCACACACAGCAAAAGCTGAACACTTCAAGCAGCCTACAATTGCAGCAACTTTGGAAAATACCCCTTCTTTTTTGGTAAAAAACAATCTCTAATATCTCCCTAAAAGTAATTTCTTCTTATTTTTGGATGACCCCTTAAAATGCCAGAGAAATGTTATGGTTGTTTTTAATTTATAGGCATACTGGACGGTCTTTCAAACAAATAATGTCTTGTGGAAATTATATGAAAATATTTTTTTTGTTTTTAGTTAATGAGAAAAGGATTGAAAAATTCATTTTATAAAAAGCCTTTAAGTCCTGAAGGTGTCCCAATACTTTTTGAATGTAAGTGTAGATAAGGCTTGACTATAGTAGGTGTTAGAAAAAAGTTGTCTAGGAAAGTGATGGGGCTGTGCAGAAAACCACTCTACACCCTGTTCCCTGTCACAGAGAAAAATCTCCAGAAGAGAACCTTGTTGCCTAAAAGCACATCCTGGCAAGTCAAAAAGTGGATAACCCTCCCCCCAGATTAGAGTATCTGAGTTTGAGATGACTCTCCCCCCCCCAGGTTGAAGGTTCCCTGCTGCCTGCAACACCCACCCTCAACAGCAAATAGAAACACTTGAAGAGCAACAAATGGAGCAAGGAACCCATCCTGTTATGATGTTTACCAAGAGTGAATGTCATTCCTTCTGTTTTAATATATTCTTGAGTCCTTGTTTTCATTCTTTTAAATCTCCTTTTGAATTAAGTTTACAAATGTTACCATGAGAAAACTAAGCTACTGGTAAAGACAGACAAGGTTGTATTATCTTTGTCACTAATCTTTACCAATTCCTTAAACAAAAAATTTACATTTACTATAAAGCAATGTAGTTTTTTGTAAAAACATTTACGTCAATTTGAAAGGAATAAAATTTTTGGGATATTAATAATGATAGTAATAGTAATCAGAAAAACTGAATATTGTACCTTATTTTAAAAGATTTCCCTTCTCAATATTAATCTTATCCCCCTCCGACAAGGATTTAAAACTTGTCAAGATTTGTAGCTGCGATTGGTCAAAACCATTAAAACGCTTTTTTATTTCTCTGATGTTACTTTCAACCCGCATCTGGGTATACATTTCTGCTTACTTTTGGAAAATTTCCGATATTTTTACTCCAAGTAGTGTCAGGAGAGAAAGTAATTTAGTATGATTTGCCCCCACTCTCCCATGCTATTTTCAAATAAAAAATTTACAGAAAAAACTTTGGCTTGATTCAACAAAGCAAGGAAAGTGAAATCTTTTTGATAAGTTTCTGAGCAAGAAAACTTTGAAAATTGCTTTAAGTAGAACAGTTGAAGTGTTAACAATATCTTTCTCTAGTTACCTAGCAATGTGTTGGTATGTGAAGCTTTTACACATGAAAATAAAGTTACCATAGGTCACCAACAGGGGCAGATCCAGAGCAAATTTGAAGGAGGGGCAGTTGGTAGTGGGGCGCTGAAATTTTTTCAGAATAAACAATTTCAGATCCATTTTCAGAATAAACAACATAACTTTCAGGTAATCCTTGAAGCAAATTAACCTATAGGTCTCAGAAACTTTTTCACCTGATTCTTATTCTTCAAAAGTAAGGGGCACACAATTTTCAAAAAAGGGGCGTCAGTCATGCTTCAACTCGTCAAGGGAGGGGCAACTGCCCCTAGTTGCCCCCTCTTAAATCTGCCACTGGTCACCAAATAATTTCCCGGGGGCTTATTTCAAAAAAAATATTTTGAGCTAGGGGCCCAATCAAGGGAGGGCTTGTTAAGCAGCAGCTAAATATATTTCTAAGGAAAATTTCTTGTTCTGTTTTAGTATGCCCAGTATTCTTAATATTGGGATATACCTATTGATTTTGAGGCTGCATCTTAGCCTATTTGGGCTTATTCAAGGGTGAGGGCTTATTTCACAAAAAATACTTTAGGGTTGGGACTTATTTGAGGGAGAGGCTTGGCAGGAGCTTATTCGAGGGCTTGCCATATGTAATTAATTTGTTGACAGGTGTGAAACCAGGGGCAGTAGGACAAATGACCATCCCACTCCGAATAGTAATATAGTTTTTATGTATGTTGAAACAAAAATGGCTCTCCATAGGCCTGGTTTTCCAAAGAATGTACGTCACCAGTCATAATTTGATCGCTGACAGTCTTTTCATCCCTGCCATTTTTATTTTCTCACTGTGAAAATTTTCTGTCAGTTTGAAAGACTTGAGTTCAGGTAATAATAAAAATTTCCACTGAACATGATTATCAGCGTCTGGGAAAAAACGCTTAAATTGTCATTTTTTTACTTTATCAGTAGGTGGCTTTGTTTGTATAGCGCCTCTATCATCAGTCAATTTCTATGATTCTGCAAATCTTTGCTCAAGGAATTTCAAATAATAGACCATGCTGTTTACAGTTTATATGCCAGGAAAAGGAAATGATTTGATTTTTAATGGAAAATTCGGCACTGAAAAAATTATGAGCAGAAACCGCAAATTGCTTTTACAGAAGTTTTCGTTCTGTGTAATATGCAGAACGCAGGTTTTTGGACTTTCATAAAAGAGTCTTTTTGTCCAGGAGGAGCACAGTGAATCTGAAAAATAATGGGGACTGTTGCAAAAAGGTGCCTGTTATCTCGAGGCTACTTCAAGAGGGAGTGAAATGTTTAGGGGGGACTGGGCTCTGAAGATGCAATTTTTCGATAAATTCTGACCAAGTCGCAAACGTTCATTGATTTTTTGACAAGTTGGGTGTCAGAGGGGGGCTACAACCCCAAAATGATGGACTGCTTGATTACTTTTTATGGCATCTATCGCTGTAACGAGGTTTTGGGAAAAAATGTCTGTTGTTTGCCATTTTGAAGCCTTCTTCTATCAGTAGCCATTTTTGTATATGCCATCGTACACTTCTACACGATATCTTGAAGTTTTGGAAGCATATACAGCAAAATAAAGTAAATTGATAAATAAGCTAACTAGCCTGAGAATACAACTTCTATTTTACATATTAACAGGCACTGCAGGGCGTTGAGAAAAGTGGGCGGGGGGCTAAGGGGGGCTAGAGACCTTTCGGCTCCGCGGTGCCTGATTTATTTTCATATAACTGCGAGAGCCTCAATTTAATTGAATCTTTTGTCTTCATATGACAGATGTACCATTCAACGCCACCGTCATGCCCTCAATCCACTATTCAAATATTCATGGGGAACACCGTTTTGACTTGAAAGTCCTGTGCTTATGTTATTGCAAGGACAATTTGAATGGGTTTGATACAGCTGCAGTAATTATCATGGGAATAGGCCCGAGCTATGCTTTTGCAGCCCAGCATGTAAACAGTTGGGTGTAGTGAAGTTATCATCGAAATATTGATCATTTTTTCCCTCGAATTTGAGAATGGCCAACACCCGCCCGGTCCTCACCTGTTTGTCCAATTGCTTCTCAGAGTCCATCCTACTTCGAAACACTACCAGGATCCATATGTATGACATCAACCGGTCTCTCACTACCCTTTGAAATTTTCGTCTTAAAGCTAACTAATTCCTGCTAGCTTGCGATAAATCTCAGCCCTTGGTGTATTCGTGAACACAGAAAACTGTTTCAGTTTATATTTAAGAAATTAGTTTTTGCAAGGAATTAATTTCAAAAACAGGCTCAAAACGTGTGCCTAGGGTTCTGCAAAACTCTCCGGTATCCTCTAATTTTTTCCTGTATAACTTTCATACTTATCGAGTCATGCAAAGAAAATTGTTCGTTCTCTCAATCAGCCAATTGGCGGTAGCCTTGAAAGCATCTTTAATACCTTCGAATCTTAAGCAATGGTTTGATGGCGATTTTTAAGCTTCGTCTGCTCAGAGACATTCCCGCGTTGTTAGGCCATCGACAACTAAATTTTTATAAGAAGCTTTTCTTCTTTTGATCTCTGTCTACTACCTAATCATAAGCTGCGTGTTTGATACCATTTGGCTGCTTATTTCTCATAGTTAACCTTCTATAAAATCGTCTACATATCTAGTGAGTTAAGAAAAGTGGGAATACAACAAGATGATTCTGGGCTGCTGGGAAAAAGGGTAAGGGCTCTGTTATCTCCCACTCCAGACCCATTTTTGAAGCCCCCTCTCTCCAACCTCACTTTTTCTTGATGATCTTTACTAAACTGTACTCTCCTGTCTCTTTATGTTTACTTAAATATATATAGGGGAATAGGAATCAATCTTAAAAGTTTTTGGTTAAATTTTGGCATTTTAAATTGTGCTATTAAGGAGGGAATTTTTTAATTACTTGTTGAAATTTCGGATATGTAGTTTTACAGCTATCTTTCATAACTTCGTTCCTGAGCAGTTGCTAGTGCGACCAAGTGTTATTTAAAAGCAATCAGTAGATTGAGAAAACATAATTTCCTGTTGTGTGAAATGTTGCCACCAGTCCACGATCGAGCATTCTCCCGTTTACTAGAAATAAGTGATTGTAATCTTTCCGTTCTTCCAATCATAACGTTGTTTCATCAAATCAGGTCGATTATATTTAAGTATTTGTCTATGCATGCTTGCATCGTTGACAAAAATTTAGCACATGGACACTTTGTCCTCGGTTTCAAGCTGGATATTCCATCGAATGCTGCATCAGGCAGACTGTAGTTTCACACATGGATTTGATGCAGGTGTCTAGCTCCCGGTCGGGGGGATTTGCTGCCAGAAGCTTATTTCCTTAAACCATTAATTTGATATTCAACATATCTGTATGATCACTTTCTATTAAATTCTTGACTAAACAATGTAAAAGTTGGCTTGTTCTGCGCCAAGACTGCTTAAACCTTCCATTTTCCTTTTACCTCAATATCAAGACATCCGCGATTCACTGTTATGCAACCCCCCGTGCGTTACCAGTCATCTGCCCATTTTATTAATACACTTTCTCGATAATTCGCTGGGCAGCAATGCCAGTTGTGCAGGAAGCTGTGGCTGTATGAATGCTTATTTCATTTTCTCCGACAAAGTCGATGTATATCAATGAAATCAATCCGAACAGACTGTTCTGTGTTTTCTTCATTTGCGATGATTATGATTGTAAACTACCAGCTTTGAGTTCATGCATTGAATCCATCCATTCATTTCGTTGCTAGGAACGCGTGTAAGTGTTATCTTTACTTCAGCTATTATCTTTTCGTTTAAACTATTAGTAAATCCCTTTAAACAGCATTATGGTGTCCTTGCCTTTCACATCATTGAGTATTTTAGAATTCTTTCAGTTTTTCACATCGTCTGCAAACAAAGCGTGCGCAACTCAAATTTCCTTGAATAATATTATTTCGGGGCTTTCATTTATCGTTCTGCCAACCTATCAAGATGGTTTATTGATTTCTCGATGATAGCTATTTAATTATACCATTATGTGTTATCCAAATGCATATTAATAATCATAGTTTATTATTTATTTAGCAGAGTTTACAATCCAGCCATTTTTTGTTTCATGCCTTTATCCATTAAAGCGTTTTGGTTTGCAATTTAACTACCTTTTCAACAAGCAGTCATTCTGCTAATAATATTTATTAGAAAATAGGTTGTCAATAGAGCTTTATAATTTGATTGTAACAACGGGTGATGCCACTATAAAAAATAATAGATCTTGAGAAAATTTTGTACATTGGTGTATTTGGTTTTCTACATATGATGTGGTAGATTTAAACTGGAAGCCGTTCTCATTTTAAGCAACTGAGCAAGTCACAATATGTTTGTGTTCACTTCTTGTTCATAGAATCAGATCAAGCTGGTGAAGTCAGGTTTTTTGCACAGTTTTTGCAGGTCTTATATCAACTCCGCACGTGCTTTGTTCTATTATGTATCTGGTTTATTTTTCTAACCCTTGAGTACTGAAATCGCAGGAATAGGACGTTATCTTCCAAATCTTCACAAACATTATCTAAGAAATGCTTTAATTTGCAAACATTTTTCTTGACTTATCGGTTTAGACTTCTAAAAAGTCTGCATAATTAAATTGTGTTTGATTTATGCACAATTATCCCTTGCATATCATTATATTGTCTGACAGAGAAAAAAGATCAGCCATCTGTTTGAGTGCAGCTTTTTTTTCATTTATCAAAGAGAAAGTGACTTTGTCTCTTGAGCATGTATACAATTATGAAACATCCTCTTTGTCTGCAATGACAAGCCTTTCTCGGTTATCCAACCCCCGTGTTATATCTTTTGGATCAAATAGAAAAACGGGAGAGCTTCAGAAATAAAGATCTTCAGAATGAGGTTAGACGAATAATCCAGGTAAAAATGGATTGTACGTGACAAATTTCATTACTTTTGATTTTATCTGACAACTTAGACGTGGATAAAGACAATGTTTGTTTGATATGCTGGGGGGGGGGGGGGGAATTTACGTCATTTATTTATACGGAGGCCCTTAAAGGGAGCAGCCAGATATCTGGGTTCAGCGAAAAGTTGAGTAACAAAGAATCAGATGAGGTATGAGCCAGTTGTTGTAGACATTTTGATTTTTTTCTCCATTTGTTCGTAATGTCATTGAAAGTATCTCGTTGGTGGTAGGTGGGGGTGCAGGCAACCCTTGAAGAACAATATACTCTTGTTTGTGTAGCCCGCTGATCACTTTAAGTGTTGAGACAGCCTAGTGGATGTTTTAAGAAACGAAGATTTTCGCTCGTTAATTATATACAAAATTTTCTCTCTAGAAATTCTGGCTCCGCCTTTGTCATTCTCAGTATAGCGACTCGATCACTATTTTCATTATACCAATCAATCTTCAATGTATTTTGCATTCAAACAGCAGCGATTGCTTATACTTTTAAAACCACATTTGCCAGCAGATACAGTTTTTCCTTCTTTCCACTTTTTCAAGACATGAAGCTATTTCTTCTTTTCAATACCTTTCACCATTATACCTTTACATTACTTTGTATCATGATCACTCAGTTAGCTATATCAAAGATGGAGCCCAAAGATATCCTTGACGCATTCGGGCTTCTCGAGTTCGGGCTAGCCCCTTAAGATGTATCAGCTTGATGTATTGTGTTGGGCCTAGGCTGAAAATAGCAGCATAGCTTGCTCCCCCCCCCCATAGGATCCATGTGATAAGTTCTCTGAATTTTTAACATTTATCTGTTATTTTTCTGACGTCTGATGATATTATTGAAGCCAGCAGCTAAGTAAATAACCTCCTGAAACCATAGTCAAAGGGAACTAGTTGTTTTATAATATATATATTTGCTTGCGGCAAATTACCAATCAGAAGAATAGAAACCTTCTTGTTTACGATAATGCCATACTAATATGGCTTTTATTCTACGAATTCGTACTTCATATTTGTGTTTGCTGTTCCATGTTGTGTATTGTCGTTTGAGTTGTTTATCCTCTCGTTTCTGCAAATATGTTTGTCCTTTTAAGTACCGTGATTCTGCTTGCAAAAATAAGTTATTCGCCATGTTAAGTTATTACCTTATCATCAAGTTCGAGAGAGGAAGACCCGCAAACAAAATAAATCATTTTAATTAGGTTTCATTACATACTTGAATGATTAAACATTACTTTGCCTTAGAATTTAGGCAAAAGTAGCTTTGTTTTGATGTGAAATTGGAGGATTAAAAATTGATTTTTGTTTATATAATAAATTTCTGTTTTTGTTCAGGGGCTTGGGGTGAGTGAAATTTACCCCCATTTCATAATGGCGCTAGTAATAGGGGATCTTTATAAAGGGTATTCTAGAATGCTCGTTAAAAATACCCTAGATATACTATAAACTTCACATAAAGCTTGACAGATTGTCAGTTTGCTTTAACTGCAAGCCTCAACTTAGCTGTAAGGAACCTAGAGATTTTCGGGGAGAGAGTGGATGGATAATTTTTGCTGATGAGTCAATTTTGAGATTCTCAGACCTTAAGGTGTGCAGAAAAGGGATGCATATATAATCATGTATTGGTTATGATGACGTCACTTCAGTTGAAATAAGAAAAGTCCACTCCAAAATCTGTCGGGAATGCACAATCGATGTAGATTTTCGATGTATGCACAAAAGAAATACCTTTTCGAAAGAGGTCCTCAAAGCACTTTACTTTTGTTTTGTGGCTGATTACTGTTACCTGCAGTTTGCTTTTTCTTCGTCTAACTGAGAATAGGATTGGTGGTTTTATGCAAATACAGGCGCCTTTCGGTTTTACTGTTGATCCAATCTTGCAAAACCTGCGGAACAGCAGCTGTTGAATTGTATATTTATAAACAAAAATCTTGATAGTAAACAAGAAGTTAGCCAATTTAGGCCCACTTTGATCGGATTGTTGATGAGGATTTCTGCAGCTCAAGCTTCTTGATAAAAAATTTCATCTACCCATCTTAAAATTTGGTTGTAATAAAGGCTGTGTCTTCTTGCATTTTCTGTTAAAGACTTCTGATTTCGGTCAGTTTGTGAATCCTAAATTACTAACATGATCTCGAAATTCAAGACTTCTAAGCATGGTGATCTTGTTAAATCTGAAAAAGTGCCTTCGACTTTAATGATTGAGTTATTTTCCGATTAATTAAACTATATTTGTTAGGTTGAGTTAATAATATTAATCAAGATCTTGGAATTTTGTTGTACTGAGTTGTTCGATTAAATTAGGCCTAGCCAGAAAGGATTTTTGAAAGTTCACATTCTAGCAGGCATTCACTGTTTCGGCTTCAGGTTTCTGACATTTGAGATGATTTCCCAAACGAGGCTGATTCAAAATTATGTTATGTAGCCTCTTGCTCTCGTGAAGAGAAATGAACTCAGATATGCTGGTATGCCACATGGGATATCTTTCTATAATGCTCAGAGTTCTCGCCATACAAATGCCAGTAGTGAAATATTTTGGCGAGGTGCTAATAGCACATGTTTGTGCAATTAGCTCAGACACGAAAGGGAATTGTTTCCCCAGGCAACATTTCACAATCACCTCATAGCATATTGCCATATAACACTTTCTTATAAAGGGCTGGAAAATATTTCCATAGCGACAGATTTGCAATAAAGCTATCTTTATAATTCAAATCTTTGTGTAAATTTTTGTCTACCGCAATAGGAATTTGCTGCAGGATAGCAATAGAAGATTGAACGAATTTATTCGATCCTAATTTTAATAAAAAATCGTATTTGCAGTTTCAATAGGTCCTTTCTGTTACCTGTTATTATTTGTTAGCACAGCTGCTTATATTAATTGCTGCACAGTGGATCCTTCTTTTACCAATTTTGATTAAAAATGTCCTATAACTGAATCTCTTAAGTTGCTGAACATTCTGTTGTTGAATGGATTGTTTCAAGGCTTGTAAAATCGAGAGCTAATTCTGTATTTTATGGTATACAAGGTCTATAGTAGCTGAGGTTTACGTGTTTTGATAAAGGGGTGAACAAGTCGCGTTTTTCTAGTTCTAGATGTATCAAGATTTTAAAGCTTGGCAGTTTGAAAGGATATTTGTAAAATCACAAAATAAGACAAACGTTTATTTACGCTGCGCCGTATTGTTGGCTTTCTCAACACAAAAGGAGCGAGTTGTGAGCCTTTGATGCATTATCTCAAAAAATGACGCCTTGCTAAAAATTCAATAATAGATTCTTTAAGATTTTGCTTTCCTTCTTCTCTTTCTGGAATTCTGTGATTATCATTTCGGGCTGTTTCTCATAATCCAATGTTTAGCTTTGGTTCCTGTTCCATAGGTTGAGCCGACCACTCTGCAACTGCCATCATCCTCATGATTTTGATAATAATTATAATCGTCGTTGGTATTGTCGTTTAGTCGGTGTCATAAATAGTCAAAAAAAGACCCGCCAACTATCCCGGTCTTCAGCCCTACGCTTGATATCTCTATGTTTCTGTTCTGCCATTTTCTTTCTTACGCGAGTGATCGAACAGTGCCATTATCTTCCTTCCTCAGCTCCCTTTGCCGTTTAGCCTCCCTTCGATTACATCAGTTAGCTGTCAATGATATATATATAATAATATATATATATATATATATATATATATATATATGCGCCTCTATATTATTGTAAGTGTTCCCTGGTGTCTCATTGTGTGACCGATCCACTTCTTCTGCCGGTTATATGGTCGGAATCAATGTTCTTTTCTCTCCAGTCCTTCGTAATACGTTCTCTTTTGTAACTTTTTCTGCCCAGCTCATCTTCTCTATTCTCCTCCAAAACCACATCTCTGCACTTTCCAATCTCCGTATATCCTCTTTTTAAGCGATCGTTATATAAATAATAATCATCGTTCATATTGTCGTTTAGTTGGTGTCATAAGCAGCCAACAAAGACGACAATCTTGTTTTCCCTTTTTAATCCACCACTTCTACTGGAAGCATTCCCAACTCCGTAAAAAAGTATCTTTGTTAAAAACGTTGTTGGCGCCTTTTGCTAGTTACAAAGATTGAACAATTGTTTTAACATATTTCTGTGGTAAGTGTTATGTAAGAAAAGTTGATAATGCTGCCAGGAATTTAGCTGTTCGATAGTCGGCTCTTTTTGCGCCTACTAAATTGCGGTCAGTGGATTCTTAGGCTCTTAGGTTTATAAAGGAGAAAATAGCTTCGGCTACCCGATGCTATTTTTTTAGTTCTGTTATCTCAACTCTACCTGGGAAACTTAATAGGAATGTCAGATTTGACTTTGCGAGGGAGAAAGGTTCCTGGAAAGAAAAGATGAGGCAACGAGCATTGAAAAAGCTTGCTCGAAAATCACGTTCTGTCTGGTTTCGACCTGGTAGAAGTAATACCTGCTGGTCCATTACCATTAACGGCATATCATTGACGAGAATAACGATTTCGTGAAAAAGATTTCGTGGCAAAAGTTTTTATCAGGTTGGAAGCCACTTTTTACTATTTTTTCGGCTTTTCAATATCAGCCTTATCATTTTTCATTTTATTTTGGAATCATTGTTTTGGATTCTTAGGTTAAACTTATCTGGATCTCGATACTGAGGCTGCGTTTACATGATACCGGATTCATTTCATACCGGATTCATTTCATACCGGATTCGCTGCACCGTGTCGGATTGGTTTAATACCAGATAGGGCTTCTGTCTACACGATAGTAGTTACTCCGCACTGCGGGATGCAGTCTTTTGTTTCGGGGCCTCTGCGTTGGTATTTGAGTCGCGCCAAAAAATTACCTGCCATGTGAGCACTGGTGTGAGTCACTGAAGCAGAAAAATGGCGGGAGCAGGGAAGAAAGTTAAGGAAGAAATTTTTCCTGGACTGAGCGAGAAATTGAGCTGTTGCTAGAGACCGTGAGATTGCATGCAGCGAGTTCTCAATTCAAGGGAAAGGATGGGAGAGTGTGAAGTCTTCTTAAAGATAAGGAATATCTTGAATAAAGATCCATGAGGAAATGTGCGTAAGACCAATCACTGTGGTAAAGAAAAAATTCACTTTATCTTCATCCATCTTTTTTTCTTGATAATGAAACAACAATTTGTTGAAAAAACGCGCCAAACGTGGGGTTGGGACCATAGGGAATGTAACTGAAGATGCGGAGCAAGTCCGGATTCGAGCATTTACACGAGCACTTTACCCAATCCGACACATGTCGGATTGATCTCATGCCACTTTCGTAGCGGAGTGATTTCACTCCTCAAAAGCGGACCGATAGCATTTCGGATTGGGTCCTCATCGTGTAAACAGAAGGACTATCTGATATGAAACGAATCCGATATGAAGTGAATCCGGTATTGTGTAAACGGGACCTGAGATATGGGAGAATAGGGCTATTCTTGCATAAAGAAACTAAATTTAGGCCTAGTCTAAAAATCGAAAACTTTAGCTTATTCAAATGAATGTTGCCTGTTAGTTGTTATATATATCAGAACTGTGGCAACATTTTTCACCAGGTTTTGCCTGGATACCGTTAAAATTTATTTCGGTTGGTTAACTACATTGCGTTATCCATTCCTTGGTTTTTAGGTGCAATTATTTGAACGGACTGCAGTTGCAAAAATTGCATTCGTCAACAGTTTCTGTGGAACTGGGCAGTTCTCCTGAATGATCGGACATTAACTGTACAAAAACATATGTTAGGTGCATTGGCATTGATGTTGTCCTATTGCGAAGAGCGCACTTTGGGAAAAAGTGACTGTTTTTTTTTAAAATGTGAAAAGTAGAGGCCTTTTTCACACGTTTCGATACCCTTTTGTATTACCCTCTTTATTGAAACCTCTGAATTCTCGTAATCATATCGAATCTAAATGCGTTAGAAAATAATCCAACACATATCACTTTTGCTCAGGGACGAATTTAAGCAACAACGATTGGGGGGGGGGGTGGGTTAGACACTTATTGGATTTTTGTTCCACACCCTTCAGGTCGCTGGCAAATGATGGAAACTTCCATTATTAAAATTCTGTTTTTAACTTTGGTAAAGAGGATAAGAAGATTAATAAAGTAAATTCTTGGCGTTAATTTGTTACTAGTGACTACCGAAATGTTTACCGATTGGAAGCAAAATTTACCGAAGGACACGTCTATGCTTTTGCTGTATGTACTCTGATCATCTGAGGTTTCTTGTTATTTCATTTTGGATCTGCCTTAGGCTTACTTTTGCACAGATATTGCATAGCCAGTAGCAAACACTTGAACGGCTGTTACAATAAACTTGAGTGTGCAGCTGTTAAACAAGAGAATAATTCTCGCCTAGAGTCAATTCGTTATTGTTTTCGTTCTCTGCCCATATTGGCTTTTTCAACTCAAAGAGATCGTATGCAATAAATATTTACATGCTGGCAATAATTATTGCGACGAAAATTGACTCTGGCAAAAATTAAGCTTAATTTTTTTAAAGATAAAGTCATCTGATTTGTATAAGATGAAATAATCGGTTGTCTGACCAGTAATTATTTTTCAAATTTTATATTCGGTTTAAAACTAAAAATTTAAAGTTATTTTGATACCGACTACATTATTGTACAAAATAAACTGTTGTCAAAATTCACCTCTGAGAAAATCAACTCAAATCATATCTCATTTTTTAGAAAAATACTGTTGCATTCATTCATCATTCGCGAATGTGGTACAATATGCCTCTGTTCATGATGAACAGCCCTGTAAACACACACTGTTTAAAAGTTCAATGAAAGAACTATTGTCTCTGTCAGCTGTTTTTCTGGCCTTTACTCCTGAGGGCCAAGTTGGACTTGATAATAGCGGAAAGAGTGGTTGATATATTAATTTGATATTAAATAACTTCATAAACGAGAGATCCAGAATTAACTCATTTTGTTTAATTTATATGCAAACCATACACAGCTGTCCCGCTCCTCCACTGCATTTCAATTAGCAATTTTTAGATTTCTTGGTGAAGATACCGACATGAAAACCCTGTACCTTTCCCGGACCATTTTCCGTGTAATTTATTTGTCATATTGCTGAAGCAAGTGGTTACTTTTCAGGCGAGATGCATCAATTAACGCGACATCTTGATTGGATAATACCAACATTTGTTGCCAGTCTTGTGACATTGATAAGCTTTGTTGCTTTGTGCACTTATTGCTTCAAGAGGAAGAATAAAGAAAACGAAGAAGAAGAAGAAGCTGAAGAGGCCTATCGACCGGAGAAGAAATTGCTTTCTTCGCAGAAGGAACCTGAACTTTTCCCCACTTTGAATGTCCCTCCGCGAGCCGAAAATGCCTTTTCCTTACCAGGAACACCGAGCAAAGTGCCAATACGAGAACCTGGGTTTGGCAAGCGTAGCGTCAAATATGGTGCCGTGACCCCTTCAATGTCACCCGTCTTTACCGAATTCAAAGTGCAGCCACCCTCCAGAGAAACGAAAGGCATCCTCAAAGGAGCCGAGTCTGGTTTATTCGGCAGTGCTGGGCAGTTAGACATACCAGCAGAACCAGAGCCGCCGAGTGGTGATGCCGCTGAAAAGTTAGGCACGCTTTTTTTTAATTTATGCTATAATGCCGAAGATTTGATTTTAAAATTGTATATACAAAAGGCTACTGGACTTGCTGCCAAGGATATTTCAGGGACAAGTGACCCGTTTGTAAAAGTCTTGCTTCTTCCTGACAAGAAACATAGACTCGAGACTCGTGTTAAACGGAAAAACCTTAACCCAGTTTGGAACGAGGCTTTCACATTTGAGGGATTCCCACACCAGAAACTTATGCAAAGGACTCTTTACTTGCAAGTTCTTGATTATGATCGCTTCTCAAGGAATGATCCGATCGGAGAGGTTGAATTGAACTTAGCAGATGTCCACTTGCAGGCTGAGCCAGTGCCCTATGTGAAGGAGCTAAAGCCATGCAGACGGAACCCCGTAAGTGATTACCATTTTCTAATTGTAGCAAAATGATTTCTTTTAATTCTTTATTGCCATTATTAAGTATTAAAGCTTTGTTGCATGCAATACGCCATCGTGTGGTGTCTTTCTGAATCAGCGTCGTTATGTTAAGAATTATCTGAAGATTGACTTACTTTTATGGTAATCTGAATTAACAAGAAAGCATTGCATCATCAATTTTGACTCAAGTGATATTCTAATTATTTGAGCAGATACTGTGAAATTTTTATATTTTTATAAAGTCGATTGCTTTAGGCATTCATCTCCTTTATGCGTAGATATTTTGACGAGGGATCGATAATCTTAAAATGCTTTTAACTAAAATTTTTTACAACATACAAGTTTGATATCAATGATTTGCCTTTTGGAATTTATTGAGACCCTTTTGGAATTTGTTTTGGAGTGCTGAGGGCTCCCAGCCTTTGTCACTTTCTTTATATTTTTCTTTATATCTTTATATTCTTTATATTCTTTGATAAGGCTATGACCTTACAGCACAATCGCTGCCAAAAGTCTTGGAACACTAACGTAGGTTTTCAAAGGCAAATTCAGCCACTCCCCCCCCCCCCTTAGGAACAATGTTGATTTACTATAGAAAAAAGAAAGAGGTTATGGAGTATGTTTTTTCTTGTGGCTTGTTCGATATTTTCCTATAATTTCAACATAGTTTTTGGGGGAAAGGGGGACGGAAGTAGTAGTATTCGAGAAAAAAATGAAAATAGAAAAGCATAGCGCAGAGTGTTGTGTGTTCCAAGTAATTTTGACAGTGATTGTAGCAGTAAGGTTATTACTTTACAGCATCTTTCACAAGAAGTGACACCTTTTTTCACAGTCACAACAAACACATTAAGAGCAATAAATTTAAATTCACTCTTATTATAACTGAAGAATATCATTGCTCCAGCCAGTTCTCAATTTTTAGAAAAGATTCAATTTGGTTAAGTTTATATTTAATTCCAATACATACAACTCCTCATAAAACAGATTTATACATTAACTGATTGAACAATAACAGTATAGACAATATAAGAGAATGATTAATTCTAATACAATATAATATAAAATAAGAAATAAGGAAATAAGATAAACGGAGGAAAGTACATAAAGATGGGAACCCTTTCAATAGTTATATTATTAGAGGAAAGAACACCCCCCCCCCTCCCTCTGTTTGAACTCATCTCCTCAATTTACATTTCACTTCTCTTTTAAGGTCATGGTTGAGAATTGTTTTTTGTGCTTCTAGGTTTTTTACTGTAATTTTTAACTGTCTACCTTTCTTTGTCCAAATAACCACTTCTCTCATTTTCAGGATTACTTAGGAGATCTACTTATTTCAATGTGCTACAATCCGACTCAAAGTCGAATTACAATTGTTGTTATGAAATGCAGTAACGTCAAAGTGATGGACATAACAGGAAGTTGTGGTATGTTTTCTTCCAAGAATTCTCTTTGCTTATTGTGCCCATGGTTGAGAAATGTCATCGACAATTTCAAACTGGTCGGCGTAGAATACACAGGAATAAATCTCCCACAATCCCTTAAATCCATCCGTTTGCAAGCCAACCTTTGCATAGCAAGATAATGTATCAAGGCTATACACGATTCGCCACTGCTGCTTCTATTTCGCTTCGTGCGGTTGTAAAAAATAATTTTTGGCTTAAGATAAGGCCAACCTGAAGCAATATTTCCGTTTTGAAATAGAGGGTGTTATTTTTAATTGAGAATTTGAGACATTATATGCAATCTGTTGGCCAAAATTTACCGGCCTATCTTCGGCAATGAACAAAGGCTTTTAATCCTGGTGCAGTGGGTGGCAACTTGGCTCAATAACAATAATTTTAGGCTGGGAAAACAGTCTCTAAAACTTTTAAAACGAGCATCACTTCTATCCAGGCAGCACTGGGCTTTTTGAAGGGGGCTGGCTACTTGCAGAACCTTGATCCCACCTCCCAGGGGCGGCGCGAAGCGTCGCAAAGTAGGTAATCAAAAATTGGCGAGCAAAGCGAGCGAATCCTCCAGGGGGCCCGGGGGTGGAGCCCCCGGAAAAATTTTCAGGACCACGCCCTTTCAAAAACCCTAAGAATAGTGAAGAATCGTATGCTTGATGGTTCAACTGTTTTAGCAATTTCGAAAACAATTTCCCTCTTGCTTTTCATTGTGCGGATTAATATACAACATTATCAATGTGATTATGAACCATTTATGCGTATCTTGATGCATTTTTGTTGTGCCTAACAACCTCTCTTTGCCTTGCCTCATCTAATGCACAAGCAACATCGATATAACCTAGCTGTGCCGTTGGGTAGAATTTGGTTTTGGGATGCTTGATGACTGCCATTTTGTACCCTGTCGAAGTAAACCATGAAAGCCTATTAGTACGAAAGGCGCTTTCGTCTAAAATGTACATAAAGAATCATCATTAAACATTCAACCTATTTAAGTTCGATCTTGATTATTTACATAATGTCTGAGTTCCCATTCTGTGCTTACAACCACAGAATACTCCGCCGCACAACACAACAACCAAATGCCTTGAGGTTCTGTTTCGGAGATGCAGTTAACGGCTGACAGTTCATGCCACGGGTTTTGAGCCTGTAAACGATTCTGGAATAACAGACCTATTCAAATCGGCCAAAAGCCCATTTTCGTGAGCCGTAAAAAGGGCAAGGTAATCAAAAGTGGATTTGCTTACCTTGAAAGGATTGACCAGGAATCACTACGTAGAGATTTCATGCAGACTTATTTGTCCAGGATAAACGATTCTGCACATTTTCTGGACAATAATTTTCCATGAGAACACTTATTAGTAGTTTTTGAAAAGTTTTTTAAATTTAATAAAAGCCTCTTTAAATTGTTTAATCTTTAATTTTTTATCAAAATATGAAAAAAAACTTTCCTATTTGGCAAATATTCCTGAAATAAATTATTTAATTTTAAGCGCACCGTTGATAAACCACCCATCACAAAGAGACCAGCGATAAAAAATGTTCCTTCCTTCTTTGTTGTTACATCCACATATCCAGGAATAAACACATAGACAGACTCACTGGTTCATCCTTTTTATTTTATTCTGGGGCATGGCTAACCATCCTTTTTTAATTACAAACGCTGTTCATGATTTTCTTGCTCAGAATGTAGTGAAATACCCCAGTGATAGTCGTTTGTAAGCACTCTACTAATCATGAAGGATGGGGAACTGCTCTCGAGGTAATGAAACTGCGGAATGATTACGTTGCTGCGTGGCGCTCTTTGTTCAAAAGCCATCAGCACAATAAGACCTACGTCACAGAAACAACGAAAAGGTCATCAAACAGGGATCTGATTACCTTGCAGCTTCGCGGCCCTCGCGGTTCTCGTAGTTCTGGCGGTCGTTTGAGCAATAGAACAAAAAGAACATGCGTCAGAGGATTAAGAAATAATTATCGCCTGCCACGAAACAAAAGCCAAAACAAATGAAGATCTAAATGTCAACACGCCGTACAACAGCCCCTGGACGAGCTTGTCCTTATGGATTTCGATTCACAACAGGTTCAATCAAGACCTATAACATTCATTGTGGTCTTAATACTTCAGTTTAGGTTTAAGCATAATTTTCTCAAGTTCTGGAAAAAAAAAGGTAATCAGCGATTACCTTGATTACCCCTAAGCGCCGCCCCTGCCACCTCCTTAAGGCCTCTACAACATCATTAGCTTTGGAGCCACTACCTTGTAGTTGTATCCATTAGGCGTATTTTTTAGATACTTATTTGCAGTGAGTGTATTTTGTTTACCATCTCCTGCAGAGGAGGATTTGTCCCAGAAAAGAGGGTGAAGCGGATTTCACCCCATTGAAGAATCTTCCAAGTGTTTGATATAGTAGTGTTTCCAGGAATTTTTGTGTTGTAGAATCTACTCGATAAATCTACTTGGATTCTTGCTTTGCAAATTAAACATTTGAATGGAAGTGCAGAGAAACTTTAATCAATAGACACTCCCAATAACAGACACCCTCAAACAATGGTTAAATGAATTGTTTCCATAGTTTTTTATATGTTTCAAGTCAGGCCTTGCAAGGAGAGGCGCTCGAGCTCGATCAAGCGCCTCCACGCGCACCTAAAAAGATCTAGGAGCTTGATTAATCGAGCCCTTAGCTTGTTTATGATGTCTGAAATTTAAATGCGAAAAACCAAATCTAGTTATTGATGATATTTGATGATGCTCAATTCAGCGCCTAAGAAGTTGATGGTACTCAGTTTGTCAAGCGCCTGCATTTTGCTCCTCACAAGGCCTGTTTATAGTCAAATATAGATAACCTCCAAATAACAAATTTTAATTACAACGTTCTGTAGCAACTTTGGTCCATCAAGTATCGTTTCCTCTTTTGAATTTCTGGTATGGCTTTGGCGTCAGAATTTCTGGTATGGCTAAGGTAGTTGCCTCTGTGACCCCCATATCTATGACATTATTAATTGCAACGAAAACTGTATGCTGTATGTTGAGTGAGGGGACTCAGGGGGCTGTGTCTCACTTCGTAATACAGAAAAGTCACCCTTTCCTATTTAACATTATTATTTTTTTGAGAAATTCTTTGCTGGAGCTCCCATTGCTGTTTTTATTACAATACACCCCTGAATGTATCAAATGTCTTTTCGTTGCAGATCCATACGTAAAAGTTTACCTGAAGTATGGTGGCACACGTATTGATAAAAAGAAGACAGCAATAAAGAAACGGTGCCTGAATCCTGTTTGGAACGAGGTATTTGACTTCGATGTGCCAATTGATAAGATCAGAGACATTTCCTTTGTTTTTACTGTTATGGACTTTGACCGTATCCTTTCAAATGAGGCTATAGGTCAAGTGATCATAGGTTATAGGACAGCTGGCTCGTCCTTAAAGCACTGGACCGATATGATGAACAATCCAAGGAAGCCTATCGCGATGTGGCATAAGATTATCAAGTATTGAGCGATAACATTTTAAGAATCCTTTTATAATGTGAGCAAAACCTCTGCGCCCTCTTAGCAAGAGATATGACCAGTTTTCACTTTTTTGAACAATTGATTTGCACTCAAGGAGAGTTTGTGTTCAGACATGATGCAAAAACTCCCGTTGCACGTGACTTCTAAGTGTAGAATTCAAGTCTGTTGTGTGTTTTACATGTTGTGTATATTTAATGCACCTTATGTGCTGGGTGCACGTTTTTTAGATGTCTGATACCTCTGACTGCTTGTGTTTGTTAGGTTGTAGCTTGCTTCAATTGATAGATTCAATTAGGCGAAGTTAGGGTTCAAGTGAAACATTATTAGGATTGTAAGGGTAGGCCTCCAAACCCATTGGCTTTTGAGTGCGTTTGAGTTTAAACTTTTGCTAAAAGTTTCTTTATTTTCTATCTACACAAATTGAGCATCATCAAATGCAACACGATCAAGTCACCAAAATCTTTCTTTAAAAACTGCCTGTATCAAATTACCTTTCCATGCCCTGATTTTCAGACTATAGAATTTTTCTATATTGTGGTATCTATATAGAAAAATTCGGTTTATTGCATCTTAGGCAGAAATTTCAACAGCCAGTAACTATTCCCACTAACTGAATCAGCAGTCTCAACTCTTCGAAAGCTTCTAATTTTTTTTAAATATTCTTGTTTATTTTGGTTTCATCGCATAACAAGCTTGGCTTAATTTTACATACAGCACAACAAATATTCTACATACAGCACCCACACATACACACACACGCGCACCGACACACAATCTTAATAATTCTATTGAATTAGTTGTGTCATTGAAATTACCTACTATTTAATACGAAATATAATGTGTTGCGCTAGTGGTTGGTGCTTGCTAAATACCATTTTCTTCCCTGGCAATTGACCTGAATGTACCATCTTCTTTTAACGGGCTGGCCTTTAAATATTTTGCAACAGTATTAGTCTTCAGTTTTCCTTACAATAAGTTATTGATAACATTGCAATACCTTTTCAACACTCCGCAACACCTTCTCTGTTATTATCAATGAGAAAAAAGTTCGTTAGAATTTCAATTGCATGCTATTCTAGTAGAAGTTGAAAATAATATTTTAAACAAAGGAATAAATTTCTTTATATTTTCATGGATGCAGGATGTGTTGATTGAGGGTGTTTGTTAACTTATTTAGCCCACAATGGGATTTTAAGTTCGATTATTTGGTATTGTTTGGGATTAAGCCTAATACGAATAATCTTATACCTCAACCGTAAAGTACACAAAACCACACCTTCACTGGTAGTTTTGAAAATATACCACGTATGACACGCGGCATTCTATCATACTTCGTCCTCCTAGTAACATTATTGTACAAGAATTACTGTTTTTCCTTTATTTATTACATTTATTCCTTTGAGAAAATAGGAAGGCCACCCGTTCCTCTCTAGTTACTTATTGACTTATGTGGGAACTTAAAGCATGCAGTTATTTCCAGGGGTGTAGTGATATCAAAATAATAAGGGGGCTGTTCACATAATGTTGCTAAAAACAGTAGCAAAAGTAATTGGTTATATATGGCATTAACAAGGGAAGCTCAGTCCTCCCTGGATTTTGGTAATTTGCAGACCCTTCATAGCGCCGCTAGCTCTGTGGGCCAAAAGGTAATTTCTCGTTCTCAAGAAGCTCAAATGGTAATCGATGGCACCTCACCACTTTCTCCATCCTTTGATAACTCACACCACCTCTATTCACAAAAAATGGCAATCGTCTTTGATAAATAATGAATGTATTTCAATTGGATTTTGGTAATACGAATAATTTGTATAATTCTTATGAATTAATGAAATTGAGAAATTTTGGTTTTAAGGTAATAAATAAAGATGCCTATCGATGTGTAGATGGCAACGTTGGTTTTATGAATAAACATTGGTTCAACCCTGATAATTATACTTGTGTCATTTTTGTATATGAAACTACACGCTTGGATACCATATTTCTGTACATCTGAGAATCTGAATAGCAACCTTAAAGGTAGTCTGTCCCCTGTTGTTCTCAGAATCATGACCACGATTTTCATGCATCGTTGGCTGAATGCACAAATAACCAATCAGAATGAAGAACGACCACAGTGCCCTCTCTCTGAGCGGGTTGATGTGAATTTTTTTGGTTTCAAACGTCCAAATCTGTTTCAATGATACAAAGAGGCATAATTATGACACAATTAGGCATAATTATTCCTTGTCAATGTCGTTCACCTTTGATTGAGTTCCTGCTTTTTTATCAGATAATCACTAGCGATCGTTTTGTAAAATGTCTCGTATGTTTAATGTTACTTATTTTTAGGATACGTGAAAAATAATGCCCGTTTAGTAGCATTACTGCCTGTGTAAAAGCTGCAGTTTGAGACACAGCTTCTGCAGCATTAGTAAGTGGGAGTCTCCACTTGGAGCGCTGAGCAACAATTCTAAAAGCTTTGCTCAGAAATACCTCTATATTTTTTATGGTGAGATGGGTTAGAACGTAAAATGAACGTTCATCCCATAAAAGATGTTTGTTTAATTGGGCTCTTTTCTATATAGCATTCTCTGCAACATCAATGTGCCTGCCAGTCGCCAGCAGCGAAATACATGGCCTTGATCTTCTAGCCATTGCTTGAATTTTTATAACAGTCAGCGGCAGCCTATTATCTTGAATCAACTGTTTCAAGGGGTTTCAATTTCTGTAAAGTGTTTCTTCAAACTCATCTATGTCATTATAAAAATATGCTATGCTGGTGTCATCAGCATAGATTGCTTCTTTGCTGTCTTTAGAGAAAACATTAAGTAGATCACTCATGTATTTCAAGAATAAAAGGAGCCTAGGCAGGATCCTTGAGGAACTCCACATTTGATTTTTGCTCCCTAATAAAGGACACCTTCTTTTCTTAAATATTTTTGCCTGTTTTCAATGACAAATCCACCTTAGGCCTTGACTTCGGTAACTTTTCCATTCATGTCAATCTTTTATATAGACGCTTATTGACAGGTGCAATATAAATTTAGACAATTTTTGTCACTTTTGTGACTTATTTTAGAAGAAGACGTTTTCTAATCAAACGTTTTGTTTAATGTAGACATCCTTTAACTTCAAGGGAATATGTTCATAAAAGACAGAGGTAAAGTTAGCTTTTTTGGTTGCAAACTCACAGAGATACGTGAGTTTACTCATCAAACAGCTATCTCTTTACTTGTTGTTTTTTCTCATGTTATGACAATAATATGTGTTTGTTGCTTACAGGATGTTTTACATTGTAACTTTTGTATCAAGTTTAAAATCAACAGAATTAGTGCAAGAATAATATGGTTTTCGAGTATGTCTTGGTTTGTTGGTTTTTGTATAAATCTTTCAATTATAACACACTTCCCTAAACATTACTTTCAGAAACATTTTCTTTCAGAAAACAAGATAAAGAAAGACTTGATCATTCGACGCATTCATTATAAAACAAGTATCGATTTTATCTAGTGCCCCACCTGCAGTGGTTAAAATGCTACCTTCAAAATCGTTCTATGTACTTGGGAAGAAAAGGTTTGATTGGTGTACCGAAGAATCGGTCTGTGAAGGGAAATTAACCGAAACATCTTTGATTTTCGAAAATTGCGAAGGCGGTCTGTGGAAGAAGACGTCTGTTTTTTGTGTCTTGCTTTATCAGTGTTATTGGGCTTGTTTTCTCCTTCTTCAGTTTTTTCCGCGAGAGATGTTAAATCTGTACTCATGAAGGAGGTAAAACTTAGCGAAAACTCATTGTATTATTTATAACATAACGCATTCAACATAAACAAATGTTAACATAACAACATCAGCCATCTTGCCAATCGAATTAACTAAAAACGTGGTGCGCGGTCAGAGAACTAGGCACCACTGAAAAAATAATGTTTCATAATGGTAAATGTTCATGTTCATACATAGGTAAATATAAGTCACATCTCAACAAGAGAGACTTGTGGCAAGTCTACAGTGTTACAGGCTGGCTTTAAGTAGTCAATTGCACACTTTTTAGAACAAATGGTACATTACGGTTTAAAAAGAACAATGGAATTTGGAAACATTTTAAATATTGTCCCCAAACTGAAGAATCAGTAATGCACAATTTGGGGCTATACCCCAGGACGAAAGGGGGCATCACAACATGATCATTTCAGTATGGACATCTATTGCTCTTCAGCTTCACGTAAGAAAGATTTATAACCTTCATTATTTCCCCTATCTTGCATCCCCTATCTTGAATTTACGCAGTGGCGTACCCAAGGGGGGAATAGGGGGGTCCGGACCCCCCCCCACTTTTCTAAAATATGATCCTCAAGATCTGTCCAAAAACAATGTAAAACTCATTGGGGGGTGTAGTATACTGTATGCTTGTGTCAATAACAATTGTAAAATGCTTTGCTAACCGTAGCTAAAATGAATCAAATAACGGGGGAAGATTTGCAAAAAGGGCGTTCCCCCGCGTTTGATAGTGTTTGAAGGGCGTGGTCCAAAAACATTTCTTGGGGGTGCACCCCAGACCCCCCCCACTACTGCAGCCCTGGGTATGCCACTGATTTACAAATAAATTGTTACCGCTCCCTGCGTAAACAAATGCATAAAGAAGAACCAAGAGAAAGTTGTCCAGATTACCCTGATACAGTATCTTATATCTCAATTTTCCGTGCTCCATTGTTACCTTTGTTAAACAACGCAGTTATGTTCTGAGCTTTTGTGGGTTTCATTTAATAGAAAACCGCGAAGTATAAACAATTATGTGTCTTGTTTGTCTACAATGTCTCATTTAACAATTGGGCGTGGAATGATGGATCGGAGAGACAACCACAAGTCAACTTGGCAGAAACTTTGCTCAACTTCTGTGGCCTACACAAACATAGAAACGGTGTGATGAAACATGGAATTTTTTACATGAAAAAGTACATGTGGGTGTCTAATGTCATGAATGGTATGTTTTTGAGTTGCAATCCTTGTTGTAGTTTCACAGTCACTGATTGATCGAAATTGTTTCTAAATAGCGTCATATTCATTTTTTGCCGAGGAAGAATTTCACTTTGGATCGGAATACCATACCTCGGCCTAACAATAATAAACCATGCATGCACCACGGGTATGATAGCGAATGCTGGTTCGATTTAGGACATAGCATATGTTAATGGCATGTGTTTTCTTCCCGTCTCACATGTAAACACGACTCTGACAGTGTTGTCCAGGCCTGCAGGATCGGGTCACTTGGAATGGGGGCTGCAGTCCCCCAATAATTGCCAAACTGTGCTATATTTCCTTGGTAATAGAGAACTGGACTGAATTTAAGCTTTTTAATAGGCACCCCTCGCTCAATATGAATTTCGTTCGGATGACTTCAATTCTTGATTTCATTATTACTGTTTCGTTTCATTTCAGCCTTACAGTGCAAGTTGAAATTTTTCCATCTTTACTCGAATATCTTCGTAACCGCTTTCCGTATCATTTTGCTCCCTGGTTATAAGTTTGTTATCAAAGCAATTTGTCTGTGTTGATTAGGCAGGAAGACCTTTGTGTGTGAAGGGGAGGCACATCTAAATCTAGCTTGGCTTAGAAATGTGAAAAAGTTGTATTTACAAAAAGTTCGCAAACAGTAATAGAATAAGCAAAAACACAGCCATTTACCAGCAAAAGGATATCAAAGGTGCTAGCTTATTTTGTTTGTTACTATGAAGATCTTTTTGCCTGATTTGCTTGAAATTTGGGGGACTTTTTAAATTTTTTTTATTTGACTTTTACTTTCCTAACATTGGCCTGAAACTATTTCAACAAAGTTTTACTCATCTTTCTAGATAATTTTCTGAACCTCTATATAAGACTTAATTCTAAAATTTGCTTACAGTTTTCTTAACTGATATATAATGAAGAAATATTTTTTTTGCAGAATTTACTAGAAACACGATATTACCCCTCATCGTAGTTTTTGGCGTGTTTGTCTCCTGTATTATTTCCATATGTCTTTATAACTGTTTCAAATATATAAGAGAAATTGCAACTTTAACAAAATATGAAAGACTGGAATCTGCTAAAGATGAAGAGGAACAAGAGAAGCACGATGGAGGAGTCGAAAATGCGCCGAGAAAACCGTCGATTAAAAGAAAAATGTCACACGTTCGCTCTTTAGCACTGCTTCCCATGATTCCTGAAGTTGACGAAACTGGTGGTTTCGTTAGTTTACGAGAATCTCTTCGATTACGAGATATCGTAATTAACGCTATATACAACCATGACCGAGGATATGTGCAGGTTACGCTTAACAAGATAATGTTTTGCCCTTTGCCAGAAGATTATAGTCCAATCTACAGCATACAGTATATCCTGTCGTTTACCCTGGAAGATATCGAGGACTTCGAATCTGAGATACGACCACTGCGCGAAAATATACGATTCGACGAAACGTACCGCATTTATGTACCGGTTACAGTTTCGGACGGGGCTGGAATGGTTTGTAAAGTGAATTTAATAGACAGACAATTCAAAAGGGCACCTCTATGGGATATTAAATACAATCTTAAAGCTTCGCTAATCTTGAGCTCATCAGATCCTGGGACAATATCGGAGGACCCAGAAGTTCTTTCAGTAACAGAGAGAGTTGTGAAAGTCGACTTAGTACGAGAGGTGAGTGCTCCACATTTCATTTTGTCAATAATCATCGCAGTTGAGTCCATCAGAGTTTGTAACGTAGTACTAATGGCGTGGTGGCTCCAAATTGGCTAGGGGGTATCAGTCTTTGGGCGCCTCTCCCCAGAGAACTACACCCTTGGTACAACTCTATCAGGGCTGGTGAAACATGATTGAAAGTGGATGCCACAATGTTAAGATGTTTAGGGGGTTAATGTTTACAAATATGACGTTCTAGGATGGGCGAAAAATGCATCCAACATATTTAGACCTGAGAAAGAAATTAGGAAATTATTATATATTTTCCATTATCATTTTTCAAAAACGTTAAGATTGTTCAGGGGTTTAGTGAAGGCCGCCGCCATGCAGATGGTACAAGGTTGACAAGGGTGCTCCTTTTTTGTGCGTGAAAGTCGCCCTTGCCTTGATTGCTCAAAACTTTTATAGATATAATCAGGGACCGCAGAAGCGGGGGGCTGAGGGGGGGCTACCCAATAACTTCTAAAGTGTACGAATAATAGACAATTTAACCATGCAAAAATTGTCTTGCTCTTGGTTTTTAGCATGTTTAGTCCCCCCAAAAAGCACGTTTAGACCCCCTAAATCTATAATATGCTTCGTGGTCCTTGGATATAAGTTCAATTTTCATCAAATTCAACCGGCAATTACCAATTCTTACGTTTTACCAATTTTAATTCCAAATATTATTATGATTTATTCTAATTAATCTATTCTGTGTATCTTGTAGCGTACGTCTCGACATTCCCTTCTTATTTCGTAAATGATTGTTCACTTCAATGTAAAAAGGAATCATCCTAACATGTCCGTTCTGTCTTTTGATATCACGATGCTTATGTTTCAGCTTATCGATTATCGTGAAAGACCGAAGCTTTTGATTGGGCTTTGCTACAAGCCAACATCAGGCAGAATTATAGTTCGTGTGATTGAGGGAGCAGATATTCCAGTTTCTGCACATCGTAAGTCAACATTTCAAGCTTCCTTTGGAGACTGTCATTAGAACATTACGAATTTTATGTTTCATTAGTATGAAGATAGAAAAATGATATCATATTATTATTGTAAATAATACATCTCTTCCCAAACCCCTATTCTATTGCCCACCTCACGTAGTGCATCTTTTTTGGCGTGAAAGGCCCAAGCCAAAATGTCTGAAAATTATTCAACCTTGTCCATCTTCATGAAGTTAGCCAAACTTCTACTATTAACTATTGATACTCGGAATAATATATTAGGGTAAGTTAACAAGGCCAGAGAAAATGCTTCCCTAGTCTGAGGGCCTGAGCTTCAACAAATAAAACAAAGTATGTACTCGATTCATAAAACAATGAAGTCTCATGACCTTCTTCGCAAACACTATCTAACACCGCACCAAAAACCGCTCGTATTTTGCTACACTAACATCTAAGACCTACCATCTAATTATCATCTACATAAGCACGAAAAAACCGCTACTGTGTAGACAAAAGGAGTTCGTTTTCACCTTAGGAGGAGTTCGTCTTCACCTTAGGACTCCATTGGTAACATTCTCAATAGGCAAGCGGCACTGACTGGTCAACCTCAACAGTCATGTGCTCGTGTTTCTGATTGGCCTATTTCGATCCACAACTGGGTATATATATTTCCTAACGTAGAGTTTTCGGTCTATGTTCTGACGTTTTAAACTCTGAAGAGTGTCAGACGAAAAGCTTTAGTTTACTAAATGTTTGCTTTTTTCAAAGCCATTTTCAAATTATCATATCTTGTTTTTCTTTTTTTAGAGATGAGGATCAGGGTCGCTCTTGTACAGACAAAATATGGCAGTGTTCGCTCGTTCACCTCACCAGTTATGGAAAATGAAAGCAATCCTGTGATCAACGAAGATTTCACATTAGGAATTGCCATAAAAAACATTCAATCAACTGTATTGATTGTCATGCTTATGTACGGCTTCCATGGAAAAATGTTTACTCCAGTTGCTGAAACGAAAATTGGTAGCTTGGTGTCGAAAGAGGAAGCTCGTCAACATTGGAACAATATGCTATCATCGACTCGTGAAGACGTACAATCTTGGCACACACTCTCTTGATTTTGATTTATAAAACTTGGATTTGAGTTATTTTCTTTCCCGGGTGCTTTTGTAAAAAGGGTAAAATACGTGCCTGTAAGCGAAAACTCAAAGATACGATTCGCTAGGCCACAATAGCAAACAATGTAAGAAATAGAAAAGAAAATATTATTTACTTTTATAGTATAACAGTATATAGTATTTATAAAGAAGCTAGTATATAGCGCATTAGGAAAAGTCTATCTTGTCGTTCATACTTATGAATTTCCAATATGTAGTTATGTTTTAAACAAATACTTGCCTGATGAAAAATAACCTGTGACAGTGCCTCAAGCAAAATGAATGGAAAGCATTCTTTTTCAGAGTTGTCTTGCAGTGGCGAGTACGAAACTGTTATCTGCCGATCGTCTATTACCTGGCTTTTGTATTTTCATAACCTTTTATAAAATTCCCTTGATCTATGTGTTTATAGTTCAATTTTTTATTGTAGCATTTACTGATATGTGGTAATTACCCCACCCCTCCTTTTGTCAAAATATAGTACACACAATTCTATTAAAAATTGATCAAATGCGCTGATTGAAATGCCTGAGGAAATAGGCCTGAAAAAAGTACACCCGGTTTTTAGCACTGAAATGAGGCAAAAAGGACACGGTCTTTGGTAACACCCAATACCCTCCCTCTCTGCGGTAGCTGGCATCGCAACAGTTAGCAACTAAAAAACCTCGGATCGTATACCTTACTTGATTTTGATAACTTCATAGTATCACATTTTAGTTGCTTCGTGTTAATGTTGAGAATTTTACTAAATGTCTAATGTCTATTACAAAACTGAATATTTTCTTGATTTCATTATCTGTACGTTAAAATGAGATCTGGTATTTTTTTTGCTAGTCTGATTCTTATTCTTATGTCTATTTGGCCTATTATTCCTTAACATTCGTATTTGTATTACTGTAAAATTTTGGCTCGGAAAGTGAAAGGTCCATAAAGAAAAGCAGCATCGTCAAAGTCAGTGTTTTTATTCGTTGTAGGGATGTGGCCGTTTTTCAAATTTAAATTTTAAACGGCTTTGATAGCAGAAATGAATTTGTAGACCAAGTCATTTGTTCATTGTTTTGATAAATTTATTACTTGGAAAGGTCGTGGAATGGAGCTTTTCAATCAGCAATTCCTGCCCTTCTAATTAAGTGCATAAACTTAATATATGCCGTTTGCTTGATGCACAAAATCTTACAAAATTGATTCGTACATTTTATTCTATTCTTGGCAATTAAGTCTTTAAGTTTATTATTTTTAGTAAAACTAAAGAATCTGGCATTTCAGGTAGATGCATGCGGGTGTCAAGAAAGCAATGGACAATGATTATAGATTTTAGATACTGTAAATGAAGTTAGCAGAGGAAAATGATTTTTAAACACCTCTGGAAACGTAAAATCCCGACATTAAATTGTCATCTTTTTCAGATAATCAACGTAGTTCAGCATGTTGTTCCCTGCTATCTCAATCAGCAAAGCATGACCTGATAAAGAGTTATGCTCGAATTATCGAAGATATATTTCTTCCAAATGTCCAAAGTCATTATTTAATTTTATTAATTTTCGATCATATTTTTAAGCCTGTCAAAATATTTTCTTCGACATTTTTTTGTGGTTATCTGTATGTGTAGGAGGTTGTTATCATCCAACCGAGGCCCTTGCAAATCCTTTTCCTTTGCGACGCTCAATTCAAAATGGTGGGTAGTGAAACTCTTTGCATTTTAAATCCATTTCAATCACTTTATTGTGTCGTTTCCCTGGTACGAAATTGGTTGAAAATTCGCAAATGATGTTTTTTAATCTACCCTAGGTCAACGTTCCTAAAACGCGCAAAACCTTTTGTAAAGGTCCAAAATGTCGCAAGCATACCTTGCACAAGGTTACACAGTATAAAGCTGGCAAGGCCTCTCTTTACGCCCAAGGTATGTAAACGGCAACAAGGTTCATTGTTCTATCATTCGTATTCTAAAAATCAATATGGCTAGCTTTACTCCACGAGCAGTATAAGGTCAGGTTTTCCAGAATCGTATCGTCTACACGAAGTCCTAATTTCTAACAAACCTGAGCATTTAGATCAATAAATGTTAGCGAGAGTTCATTGGATATTTCGACATTTGTATCCAAGTTTTCATATGTATATATATATACGGAAGATCAACAATAGAAAGGTCAACAAATGTTATATCTTTGTGAGCGTTAAACGAAAATTTACTACAAGTAACTTTAGATGAAATGCTACCTACTCCTGGTTTTATAAAACTTTTACAATCAAAGCTATGTTCAGTATGTAATCATGAATGCCCATGAGTTTATGTATTAATTCTTTGATTAGTCTAAAATGACGCGAGGAGATGCTCAATGATTAGATAACTAAACACTACAAACTTCTGAATTGTGTTGATGCAAATATTCTGCAATTATGAGAGCATCTGTTTCCATCAGCCTGGATAGTGATTTTACCCTCAGGTTCATTTACAAAAAATCTCTTCAAAGTATCTTCATGCGTATATTTATCTTTTCTTATGTTTCTTTAAGGAAAAAGGCGTTACGATAGAAAGCAGTCTGGTTATGGTGGACAAACAAAGCCCATCTTCCACAAAAAGGTACAATTTGATAACGACAGCGCATTATTGTTATATATTGTTGCAAGACACCTATAAAGTTGTAGAAGCTTGATTGATTGTGCACCTAGCTTGTTTATGCAGTCTAAAAATTAAATGCAAATAGCTAAATTTTGCTTTTGATGATTTTTGATGGTGCTCAAATCGAGCGCCTAGAAAGTTTAAGGTTGAAGGTGCTCAGTTTGTCAAGCGCCTGCTTTTTGCTCCTCACAAGGCCTTTATTCACTGGGACAGACATTTTCACATAAGCCCATAATCTTTGGCAAATTATGCCTGCCTTGGATAAAGCCCTGTTCATCATCAAGAATTTCCAAAATTATATATATGTTTTCAAATGTTTCTGTTTCCCTGAGTCTAGTATCCTGGGTGGAAACTGTGTATGTTACTGTGAAGCGCTCTGTATAGAGTCTTTTACAATCAATGCTATGTTCAGAGTGTTATTGTGGATGTCCAGGAATTTATGTGTTACATTCTCTTATTGTGTTCTTATGAAGTGAGAAGATGCTCGATGATTAGATAACTAAACACTACAAACTTCTGAATTATGTTGATGAAAATGTTCTGCAATTATGAGAGCATCTGTTTCAATCAAGCTTCATTTCCAAAGTATATGGTGCACCCAAAAAGTAGATATGGTATTTTTGAGGGCACACGTAAAACTAGAAAAGTTTTGCATTTGAAATAATTTAAGTGGCTAGGAACTGGAGACATGGAAATCCAACTTGTTGCACAAGTGGTGCATGTGGTAGTGCATTAAAGTTTATGTTATTCTTAGTTATGTTATACATTCATTCTTTTAGGCCAAAACTACAAAAAAGATTGTGCTAAGGATGGAATGCACAGATTGTAAATTTAGAAAACAGTTGCCAATCAAACGATGCAAACATTTTGAGCTTGGAGGTGATAAGAAGCGAAAGGTATGTGCTATCTGGTTTCTAGAGAAGCAATTGGTTTCATATAATAGGAAACCCAAAATTTCATGACATGACCTCCAAACATTTCAAATCATTTATATATATATAATGTATTTAGCTATTGCAATTGAACCCTCTTCTTCTAAGAAAATAATTATCATAGGATCAACGGGTGTTTTTTGTGATTTCATTTCAAAAGTGGTTTTATCTGGCTAAGAAATTAGATTGTTACAATTTCAAATCATGTATATAGCACTGAAATATTTTTTCCTGTGTTGATATAGTTAATTTTGATTTTATGAATATGCTTATTGGTGCTAAGAGGCCTGGAGGCCTACTGGGTAAAGCACAATCTATTGCCCCTAGTAAGATTTGATCTAGCTATTAGCTGTACCAGGTTCCACATAGATTAGTAATGCCAAAAAGTGATTTTGTCTCTCTAATAAAGTTAAAATTTTGACTGTGTAGAAAGGACTGCATATCTACCTGACAAAGTTTATGTCTGCTTACTGTATGTGTATTTGTATTTTTTGATGTAACTAACTCAATTCTTTCTTCTTGTTCTAGGGCCAGATGATCACTTTCTAAATTGTTCTGTTATCAGAATTTTCATATTCACAAATTGAGTTTTTCTGTCTTTCTTTTCTTAATGGCCTTAATTTTGCATTTTATTCAAATCAATGGGCATTTAGAAATTTGTTGTTTAAGTTAAAGATGTATCCCAGGCAGAAGATAAAAAGCTTCTAGAAAAAAATTAATAAAAAAAACTACTGAAAAGGATGTTTTCTTGTTTCTTGAAAGGGCATCTTTCTACAAAGCTTGCGTTGTAATTTAAATCACAAAAAATCGTTTTAAGATACTCTAGTTAAGTGAGGTCAAATAAACTTTGTTCTTATATTCTGGCTGTAATTTAAATAAAATTTGTGGGCAAGTTCAAAATCAAACTGGTTATTAGTGGGCAGTTGAGCTTGGTTTCCACTATGGGTTAACGTGAGATAATTCTGAGTTAAATTTAAAATCAACTCATGGTCTAAATTCAAGGTGACTTGAGATAGTGTGAAATAGCGTGAGATAACGCGACCTAGCTCAAAATTAACCCATGTACCGATCCGGTTTCCATTTGAGATAGAATTAAGTATGGAAATACCAGAAATCGCACTTTATTTGAGTCTTGCGGCTATGGAGGGGGGGGGGGTCTTACAAGAACAACTTATTTTACATCTGCTTTTGAGAATACGTAGAAGGAGGAGATATTTTGCTAGAAGTCCCGTTCGTGATCTGCACCAAGGTTTTCGGTACGGATCTGCCAAAAAAGATGAATACAACCACTTGGAACAGGAACTTCGAAATGAGGACAATATTATCCATACTTTTCTTTTAGTAAAGAAAACTGTCTTCAACTTCTAAAGTAATACTCAGTGCAAGTGCGTTGCGTAAGAACCTCGGAGCAAATGGTAGCACATTCATCTCCCATGCATCAGCTACTTTTGATAGGATGTTATCTCGCGTGAACTCGTGAATTTGTAAAAAAAATTTTGTTTCCAAGCTCATGGGATGACGTGAGTAAACATGAGTTAATTTTCATGAGATAATTTTTAATGTCAGATCACAAAATCATTTCAAACCAGTGGTGGCGCCAGGGGGGGCTACAACCCCTCCGTCGGAAGCATCTAGCCCCCCACCGGAGGAAATTGTAGGTTATTATCGGAGCAAAATTTGACAAAATAACGTACGAAAACTGCTTATTTTAATCATTTTAGTTGGTCCATGCTTTCAGAACATGCAATTGCTGGACATCTTGAACTTCAAAGTGGAGGAGATGTAGGTTGTGACAATAAACTTTAGTGAAAATTGATGCGATGGTGAGGGGACTTGTTAAAACATTATCATCCTTCGGGGGTCTATCTTGTACACATAATGATATTTAAAGCAGTAAGATTTGTGACCCAAAAACTTTTTAGAAAATGAATTCAAAAAGCGCTTAAATTGAACTGCAGGAGACTGCAAATGGATGCTCTTATAGAATGAACATCGCCATCAATTGACTGCTTTTACACAATGTGACCGTCTAATATTGGGCGGGGGCTCTATTTTATACTGCAGGCATCAAAAGGAGGCTGCATACCCACTTTTTGCAAAAAATTTACCAATGAATCACCAGTCAAGCCACTTTTTATTTGGTTTTAGCCCCCCGCCCACTTTTCTTAACGCTTCGCGGTGCTTGTGCAGGGCTTCAATGAGACATTGAACTTTTTGGAGGGGACCGACCGTTGCCCTTGTTACCAAGAAATTTTAAATGCCTGGGAATGCTGTAGGGAAAAGTCTTCGAATGTTAATGTGGAACTTTCTGGAAAAGAAAAGGCTTCAATTAATTACGTTTTGACTGTGAATGCTGGCAGGTATTTTCCAAAACTGAATAATGCTAGTTTAAAGGTGTGTACGGTTAATATTTGTAATCCATTACTTTCAAATATAGCAGGTGGATCCAAAAACTTGAAATTAAAATAATCGTGGTCGTGAATAGGTAGTCTATATATGAATTTCATTATTTGTTGAATCACCGGTGACTCATTAGGTAATTTTTCCCATGATCCTTGGCTCCCGTAACAACGACAACAACTTACTCGTTCGGGAAATATTTGAAAACAAAATGCACATCAACGAATCCAGTTGCGAAGGAATGTAACGAAATGTTGTTTTTCTTTCAAATAAGTAGATAATTTGGAGGAAAAGGTTTGTTGAGATTAATTTCTTCAATCCTTCTTAATTATTTACTCTCAAATAAACGCTTTTTGGTTTTAAGTTATGTTAGAATTTTAGTGGGCATGGTGAATGAAGCTCGGGGATAATTTTAGGCCTGAGACAATTGGTCTCAACAAGCCCAAAGACCGTTCCTTAGGCACCTTTCTTTACAGTTTATAGATTATATAAGCGGTTACTCTGTCTATGCTAAAGAGCAAAGTTGCTATACTTCCAGATTTAGCCCAAATTCTGCTGATTATGCTTGTTTGGACTCTGTAGTAGAAGAAAGGCCTTTACACAGAATGGGGATGAGACCGCCTGAATGTTCACTGTCAAAGCGAACCAAACAAATGTCTCCAATAAGGAACTTTCCTTAGAAAAACTGAAAGCAAAAAAGAGGGCTTTACAAAACCAAGGTTGATTGAAGAAGAACATAGCACATTCAACCCCTTAGTTCTTGCTACAGATCTGGCTAGGGACAGATAATGTCAGTTTTTCCACGAGAAGATCACAACGGAACTATCAGAAAAAACAAATTGAAAGTAGAATGAAATGATTGTTGACATAAGAACGAAAGTTTACTTTAAATGTCCTCTTCAAATTGTAGATTAGCAATACACTGCATACACCACTGCAAAGGTAACATGTGTCAAAAGTTGTAAAAATTATACAAAAATCAGTTCTAGTCCCCTCTTATGATAACAAACTGTTATAGAATCTAAAGACCAGGGACGTATCTAGAATCAATCCTGACCTCCACACAGATGAAAAGAGGGACACAGATTAAAATTTTGTATTTGCCATGCCCTAAAGTTTTTGCAAACAGCCACTTTGAGTGAACACCTGTAGCTGGCATAACTTTTTCAGGATCCTTCACCATGAGTTGATTTATTACATGATTCCCAATCTTTTTTCACATTCTTATAGGGATAATAATGATAATGATACAATAATAATAAGTGAAATATTTATACAGGGTAAACCTTGTCAGTACTAAAAGTACTGTTATCTATAAGGGCCCTGTTTAAAATTAAAATTGAAGAGAAAATTTAAGAAAAGTAAAGTCATCTATATAGGGTAAAAAGCCTAAAAGTCCTTCAATATTTATACTTTGTTTTTTTAAAATCTTAAGATAGGTTAAAAAACAGCTAATATAGTTTTGTTTGATTGATTTGACTTGATTAATTTGATTTAATTCAAATTCTACTACATTTCTAAGAAGCTAGTTAGTTACATAAATTACAAATAAATCAAGTAAAGAACGCAACAAAAACAATAATATTATTTAAAAGACAAAATTTATTTAAAATTTATTTATTTATTCATTGTTTAAAATTTGTTGCCTCTTGTATCGTATTGTGACTAACTAGTTCACCATAGGATGCAAAATTGTTTACTAAAGTTCCTTGCAGAAACATGAACTTCTACAGATCTGCCTTAACTTAATGTACTCCTGTACATTGAAGGAAAAACTGCAGTGTGTCATAACTGCAATAAACTGCAGAGTGTCATAGTCAACCTGTGGAACTAGCTTCCTGATAAGTACAGCACCACTTAACAATTACTGTTATCTAGTCATTTGCTTATCTAGTCATTATGGGCAGCTGGCTTTGTTAGGAAAGAGGATTTGTGATAACATTAGGAAAAACTGAAGAAGTTCCTAGGGGTAATGAGAAATTCCTGAGTGTGCCTTTAAATTTGATGATGTAATGTCAGGTCCTTTTAGTTATTCCACTTCTTAATAGTTCTGAAATTTTCATGTTATAAGCAACAAAAGTTAATTTGATGTTGCCTATTTCTGCAGCCACTCTCTTTTATTCATAAAACATTACCTGTCATTTTCTTATAGATGCTTTTCTAACATGCTTCCCAATGTATTATAAGTTTTTTATGTTCTTGTTCATGCAGGGAAACTTATAAAAATGCCAGGGCTCTCATCAAATCAAGTAACCCTTAGTGAAGTTCTGGAGGTCAGAGGTAGTCCTTTGTATGAAGATGAATTGTGGGCCTTGGTCTATGAAATATGTGATGCAATCAAAAACATTTTCCTAACTGGTATGTTTGGCATAATATTGCAGTATGTTTGCTTACAATTTGATATGAATTCTTTAGGTGATATTTTTGTTCCTTTTAGATAAAGTTATAAAGCTTTAAAGCTGTTTATTGAGTTAATATTTTTATGATGGTTTCATTTACCTCAATGCACAAAATCATTTGAACTATATATTACGTGTTTTATAAAAGATTCTTTTCTCTTCCAAGGAAATGTTAGGTATTTACATGGAGTACATAAAGTGATTTGCCCAGAAAACATAATATTATGTGGGTCTGGCAAAGTCAAATTCGCAACAGCAACTGAAGGTAAGAAACTGTGTTTAATATATTGATAACTTATAAGGCTTAAGGCTTAAATATTTTATAAGGCTTAAGTAAAGCAAACGTTTTACAACATACTAAAAGCTTTTTCATCTGACATTTGAAGCTTTACATATGTTTGTATGTTTTCAAATGTACCACCAGAAAAATTGTTCATATAATATACTGATTAAAGGGCATGTGTCATGAACATGATTGGCTAATGCAATACAATTATCTTTTTTGTTTAGTACACAGCATGGAATCTAGGGTGACTTTTTACTGCAGTAAAAACTCAAGAAGAAGAAATGAAAAGTCACGAAACAATATAATTCCACTGAAAATGCTTTCATTTTATTAACTAACTGTTATTGCAACATATACCCTTAAGTGTCTCAATATGTAGGAGCTTATTGTTAAAGTTTCTTACCAGCAAATTGAACAGATGGAATTTCTTCTCAAGTTACTTTTGGCATTAAAGATTTACAAGCTTCATTTATTTTTTATCTTTGTTTATTATGCAGATGATTTGGTGTTTGATAGAAGATTCATTCCACCTGAAAAGTATACTTTTAAGGAAGATGAAATTACAGACCTAGGGATTGAAAAGGTAACATGGTCATCAAAATGCAGCTCTTTAGGCCAGTGATCCACAGTTAATTCATAATACCATCACAGACATTTAATGACCCATGGATTTGGTTTCAAATTTTTCTCTAAATCCATAACATGTGGAATGCATTCTTTCTTTACACAAAAAGATTAATGATAAAACTTATCAAGGCAAAATATGTTCAATTCTCTGATGAAAAATCTTCTATAATTTCTAAATATTTGAGTATTTTGAAAACATTCTTTTAGCTAATTGTGCCTCTGTAATTTTAGCTAATTAAGCTTTGTCATACATGTGGCATCCTTTCATGGATATTTTCCATTTGATTTAAATAAATTATATGGTTTGTTATGTAATTTTGCTAGCACAGTGGACTTCCTCCTATTTGTACCTATTTTTCATTCCTCATACATTTGTTACCTTCAATTATTAAACACCTTGGAACTTCAAGTAAGATCCGATTACCATATTTTGCCCTGTATAAGATGCATCCTTTCATAAGACGCACCTATGATTCCATGTTTGATTTCTGAAAAAATAGTTTTTTACTGTGTCTTACAGTGTATAAGACACACCCCAGTTCTTGTAAAGCATGTATATTTTAGTGAAAGAATAAACTTGAAAATACTATAGACACTAGCTCTGTGGATGAAAATTCGTCCAAACTGCAATGTTCAAAATATTACGTTACCTTACATTATTTGTTAAAATCATCAAGTTTAAAGTTAAACATCACTAAATTTCCGGCGAAAGTGCGATTATTTGAATTAGTAGAGCAGCTGCTCCAAATATCATAATATTTTGTCTATAAATGACACTTTGCTTTCTAAAAGGAATTAATGGGACAGTCAATGTTACCATGTTTAAGACACACCCTCAAACGAAGCCAATAATAATTCGAAAAAGTTGCGTCTTGTACATAGCAAAATATGATATATTTTCATAAATTTGGCTTAAAGTTGATTTGAAATATGGTTTTCAAAGTGTTTCTAATAGTTTATGGCAATTTGGCAGTTGTTGTTATCTTTATTTTAATTGTAGATGCTGATTTATTCCATTGGGATGATAGTATATGCTTCCATTGAATATGGTAGTCCATCTGTTGCTGTAAGTTCAATTTTATGTGACTTGTTTCGTTGTCTAGTCAATGATATTGTCAGGTAGGGTGTAGGATGCAAACACATACTTGTCAGCTCCACCAAACCATGTAAGAAATCATGGCAATTTTATAATTCCACCAAACCATGTCAAAAATGACACTGTTAGTTTATATCTTTCAAATAGAATCTTTAAGGATACCCAAGGATATTTTTCATCATCTATAAAGATTACTGTTATATCATTTTGAAAGATGAAATTGTGTATCAAGTATCGATTTCAGAATCTTGCTCAAGCCAGATTTGCTGGCCAACATTCAAAAAATCTGATTGGAGTTTGCAGGGCTTTTGATATCCTATGTTATCAGCTTAATGGAAGTAGTGGCTTGAGTAATGTACTCACATGAGATATGAAGCTCTTAAAAAAGTAATTTGTAACTCAATGCGTAAAACAAACTAATCGAATTTTCCAGCTAATATGGTGTAGTTGTCTTAGAGCTTGTTTTAGAGTTGTGCCAGATTTTTCCTGACTTTACGTCACTCGAGGTTCATCTCCAGACCCTTGCAAACGCGACCCTGAACCACATTTTCACCGAAAAACGTGCTGATTCCGCACTTTAAAGTTGCAATAAAATCGGAACTATAAGTCGGATCCTGAAAATTTTTGTGGTTTCGATAATCTCTCATTAAGAACTTTCAAATAAGATAACAAAAAGAATTGGTGTACGTCCACTTTAAGAATGTAATATTTTGATTCATCTTTGCAATCGCAAGCAAGTTCATTTGACTCTATGCATTGTCTGAATAATGTTTTTCTAACAAACGATCGAAATATAACGCTGTTATTCTTTGCTATTACAAATCCAAGCAACCATAAAGAGACCTTTATTTATGAATTTTGTAACGAAGCAAGAATAGAATGTTATGCGAAGAGTAATTCTTATTTATGGCTTAACACTCTTGTTGTTTCTATACAGGAGCTGTGCCTCAGTTCCGAGCTTGAAACATTGCTACTCTATATGTGCGAAGATGACCCAAAGTGTCGATGCAATCTTGCTCAAGTTTTTCAGGTGAGATTTAGAATTACTGCCATGTGATAATCACTGTGTGGAACTGTTAACTGCAGCGTAACTGCGAATCAGACTGATATTTTAATCATATTGCTTATCTCTATTTACCAAAAGATCATTTATCTCAATACGGAGGCTTATGTACTGATATTTTCAAGTTTCGAATATACACTTTTCTATAATAACGATTGGAATCTACCTCATTAGGCTTGCAACACCAGAAAAGGAATATATCTATCAATTGAGCGGATCAAGTCTATGGTTAAGTCAATTTTGGGAAGTGATATACAATTGGTGAGATTTTCGTTATGTAGTTTCGTATTATTTATTACTTGACTCAATAACATGTCGATTTCTTATGCATATATTGATTAAAGAATCTTTCGGTGCCTACCCGTGGCAATTTTATGCTTTTTATGTTAAGGTATTTTATAAAAATTATCGCCAGTTTTTTGTAGCATATAACTTACTTTTGTGATGCGGTTTTTTTATAATTTCAACTTATAAATTGCAATTGTCATAGTCTTCCATTTCTTTTCTGCTTCATTTTGAGAAATCATTTCATACTCAAATGTCGCGAATCGGAGCTTCTTCTAGAGGATTATTAAGCTTCTTTGATAACCGGAGCGTTCATTTTGCTGACCGTTGGTTAGAATATACCTGTTACCTGATGCATGTAGGATAGGATTGTGAAAAGGGACAGGGATTTGATTTAAAACCAAGTTATTATATAAAAAAAGGTCTTTGGACTTTCCAAAACCCGATGTTTTTTAGGCATTGCGTGAAAATTCTCCTCTATTTTATAATATTTCATCATGTAATTAAAGATTATCATAAATTTCAAAAATCTACGGAGAATTCACATGAAAAAACGACTAGCAAGAGAATACAGCTATTATTTCCTGGCAGTGCTTGACCAAAGCCACCCAGAATTTTTTTGACGTAGAAACTAATTGTTTTCTTTGTTCAAATTTTGACAAATCTGCGTTTATGACTCATTTATTTAAATTAGCTTATGATGTTATGTAGAAGGTTTTAAATTATAAAGTGTATAGAATATTTTATTATAGTTATGCACTTTAATCATAATTATCATTATTACTATTATTTATTCTCAGGATGATTCCCCGACAGGGTCCGTAAACCTTTCTCTCACATCTTCAGTATTAAAGATTTTCAGCCCCACTGGTGATTTTGGACAACCGATTCCAATTGGCTCTCTTCATGCATTGACGCCGTTAAATGCTACCCGAGTGAATGAGGCAACTCAATTAAGAGGTAAGTGGAATAACACATTTTGTTGTTGTAGTAATCATCTGTTTTATTTCATTCTCAGTTTATTACAGCCTTGCACCTGTTTTCCATTAGATTACTTGACACGAAAAGTTTGTCTTTCAAGGCGTGTGTTCCGAAGATAATTAAGTGTGTGTGTGTCGTATTACACTTCTAAAACATGTCAGGCGTAGGTTTTCATATTGTACACATGCCAGCTACCACTTTCTGAAGCTGTACCCGTGAACACCTACATGAGGATTCTCATCTCTAACCACAGTCCACTACTCATTTAAAAAACATCATATTCTACTTATGAAAATGTGTGATATTGATTGATTAGGTTTGTGTTAAGACATAAAATACTACATCATGGTACATTCAGGTGTATTGCACAAGGGAACGTGCGGTTTTACCAATATTTATTAGATTGCGTGTTAATTTTATAAGTTGCATTTTTGCTATTTGGTTTGTCTTTGTCGATGGATATTCTTTCCATCGTCAACTCCACAGTAGCAGCAAATATCCTCAACTTCACAGTAGTATGTGCAAGAGGTGCCATCGTTGCAATGCAATAATACCTATCTGCATGCTATTAATATCTTTGATCACAGCGTACTGTTCATTCGGTGGTGACGTATCTAGCCAGGAATCACGAAAAGTCACGTTGATTAAAATCATAAATTATTTTATCGGTGATATATCATAGAATTGTCATTGTCACTTCAAAATCAAATCTGACAAGAGAACCCTCTTGAAAACTGATTCATAACACTTGGAGTGTCACACCACCCCCTCCACACCCCTTTGTAGCACCGCCCCTGAACACACGGTTCATGACAGCACAAGCTACTTCTTTACATAACAAGACGCACAACGCAACTGCTCTTTTAACGCCCATTTTGATAATCAAAGATAAATTCTGACAATTATTTCTTGTTGTAACGTGAACATTAAGATGCATAAAACGCTCAGTTCTGATATGGCTATGCTTTGAATTTTGCTTTTTCCCTATTTGGAAATTTTTCAGATGCTTGTTGAGATCTTATTAAGAATTCCTTGCTAAGCACCCGACTGATATTTTCTTTAAGCTATCATTGTCCCAATCTATAAATCTTTGCACTCTTTGCTGTTTTGTCTCGAGTATCATTTTGGCAGGAATTCGTAAAATTTTGCTGGCGCCATAATAGAATTAAAAGTATAAGCTAAACATGGATAGGATAATTGATTTACGCTGTTCCGCCATTTTGCTTTAACTTCTAGAGTGCTAGAAATCTTATACCTTCCAAAAGTAGCATTTCGGTGAGAAATTTGTTAAGCCCAATTGCCAAGTCTTTATTCTTTGTAATGTGTCTAACAAGTTTCTATTGAAACGTAGTCTATACTTGTTACCGAAAAATTAGGATAATATTTTGTTAGCCGCCCGTGTAAACTCAACAGCTGCTCGCGAATTTGAAACCACGAAATTCTGATAATGAACAGCTAGCCAAGGATTTGTTTCTCATTTGGAAAGCGCAGGTTTTTGTATAAAAAGACTAAACAATACGATTTGCAAACAAACTGGGTCATTAGCAGATCCGTGTGTTAAAAATTTAGAAATAGCATGAATGTTGTGAATAAGCTGTACCGGTCGATCGTGCGCTGATAAGAATTCTGTTCAATAATTTCATCTGCTTCTTGATTGTGATTACTATCGTCTTAATCATGATCAGTCATCATTAATCATACAAACGTTGTTGCCGTGATTCTTATCTTCTTCTTTGTGATCATAATCGTCTTAACATAATCAGTAATCACCAGTCATCATCAACCGTTACTATTGCCTTGATTGCTATGTAACTCTGATCATCTTTATCATCTGCATCTTCGTTTTGATCATAATCGTCTTAATCAAAATCATCATTTAAATTAAAATCATCATTTAAATTAAAATCATCATTTGAATTACTGACAAAGATCTCCTTCCTTAGGATCTTCTTGCCAATTTGAATGAGATTCTAATTTGTATTCAGAGTCCTGTAAGATTATTCAGCCCCGATTCTAGTGCTGGCCTTGATTCTTGAAAACTATTTTATTTATCAGCTTACACCTTTCCAGGTTTGCGTTATGCCGATTATGACATGCCAAGCAGCACTTCTCCTGCGACCCCAGTACGCCGCCTCATTTCCACATATAAAAGCATGGACAATCTAGACTCCGGAGAATCATACGAACCTCTGAGAAGGAAGCCCGAACATCAAACAGAGACTAAGAGTGTAGCTATGGAAACCAGAGTACCTGTTAAGGAGGAATCATTGAAACATAAAAGATCTACTACTCAAGAAGGAGCTTTAGATAGTCTACCCCCGGTTGGGAAGGTCGCATCTTTCCCGCGCCCCGAAAACAAGTCCTCGACATATTCCACGCCAAATTTTAAACGGTTAATCGCTGCAGAAAAACGAAAGCTTGTCAAGGATGGCTATCTCGATGAAGAGCGAAGTAAAATAAAATTTGTTGATCCAAAGTACCAGAGTATGCCAAGTCTTGTAAGTTCAATGAAGAATGAATCGCCTAGAAGTGGCCCGGAAAGTGTCCGGAGTGCTGATTACAACCACGGACACACGCAAGGTATTTATAAGATTTTTTTCTCACAAAAGCGTCTTCTCGTATATCCTTTAACAGTCATGTTGTTTTGTAAGGGGAAAATTTTTAACCGAATAATAGTTTTTGAGGTCTCCAAATGGTGCCATCTTCAATAGCGGACTCAAAAAGTGATTATTGCAAATTTGTAGAGATTTATGTAGTCGAAGGTTTGTTGGGTTTTTATTTTTGAAAGCAACACATTCTTCTATATCCACTCGATTAGTACGAAGCATTTATACGCAATGTAGAAAATTTATTATTATCCTCGATGCGTCATATTTTTGTCTTATAATTGATTTTGGCTAACTTTCTTAAACTCGAAGGGCTAAAACCTGCATACAAGAAAATCAATTTGAAAACAAAAACTTTTTTAGTTGTAGTGGATTTTTTTCATTGTTTGATGTCTTTTGTTTCTTATATCAATTGTCGGCTAAAACTTTTTGTAGTCAAAGTCAAGGATAATAATCAAATTGCTTGAAGAACATCGACCGCTTTTTGAGCATCTGATTAATTAAAACTAAGTTTAGCTGATAATGGCTCTTGTATTAATGTTGAAGGCTTATCAGCACCCTTATCAAAAGATGCAAGAAATATCATGCTATTTTACAAATGAAACAGATGATCTTGTCTATGGTGATTTCATGAATCGATTTAACAAGGTTGAAATTTTATTTTGCAAGTGTGATAGAAAGCCCGACAGTAATTGATCTTAATCTGAGGGTCTGATTCAGAGTTGAAAATACTCGTAAAAAACTAACCTGTGACAGAAATTTTTGGATTAAAGAAGTGAAAGCCTCCCATTCCCCTCAAAATGATAATTGGGAACAACCTGAAGTCGGAAAAAATATATTTTTATGTTTGACAGCATATGAATATATTTTATGATTAGCAAAAGAAAAATAGTTGCCCTTGTGTGCCCCGTTTTTCATGTGAATTCAATTCCTTTATGACCTATTGTCATCCAAGGTACCCTACGTTTACAAAGGTTTGAATAAAAGGGCTATAAACGGACATCTTTGCAATTTGATGATGACATGGTAATCGAAAAATCATATTTCTTTGAAGTAACATGCTTTTTAAAGATTCAAGAGAACCAGTATTCTTTTTTGTTGTATTGTTTACTATCTAGCTTCCGAAGGTAGTTTTAGGACACTGAAAAGCTGTGTTTTTCTAAACTTGTCTTGGTCCTTCCTATCGATGTGACCACACCTCGTGATTCCTACGCCTGGAATTACAAAGAGCTGACAACTCTCTTCATTTTGGGAGAAAGTTTGGCAACCCTAACCACAGAGCCATCCCCGCAACTAAACGATCTTCTGTTTCAAATTTCTATTTCAGCTGATCTCTTGAATCAATTCTTTGTCATTTTATACTGTCAGTCACGGGCAACCCTTTTTGATATTAAAGAGGCTGCTGCTTCTCGGGACATCCTGCGTGACGAAATACCTGTTTTAAGGAGTTCTTTGGTCGAAAAACGAAGCGCTGAGTACGATAACGAATATGAAAATATTTACATCTGTCTTTTGAAAATATAAAACTTGCTAGTTTAGAAAGGCTAAATAATATTTGGCAAGTGTTCCTTGGTGTTCAAAAACAAAGCTGTTCCCTGCCGGACTTTGTTCTCGTGCTTTTGAAATAGTGAGTGTGTATCTAATGGTGAAGCAAATATTTAATTGTCTCATTAGCAGTTTATTCATCAGACTTGAAATTCTTCACCTGCAGCAAATTCTCTCCAAGGCCAAAATTTCATTTCCGATTATTTAGAAACATGTGCAAAAATCATTAATTGCAGTTGCTCATAGGATCATAGATCTGTCATATATTATCGGCATTTACATCAAAACTGCTGGCTTAAAAACAAGTTACATAACTCTTGCTGATAAGAAAATATCCGTTTATTGTTCACTCGGTTCTTAATATTGTTCGTATATCAATACTATACTTTCTACATTTACTCACTAAAAATTGTCTCGAAGACTACTAAATAACAATTTTGCCTGATATTTTAGTAGCACGTTTTTTCAGCTGATAAGTGTACGTGTTTTCAATTCAACATTTGCTTTGCCTTTCTGACATTTCCCTTTGTATTTTAATGTATTGCTCTTTGTTTGCACCTGAAACAAGTTTCTTGACCAATTCCACCATCTTTGGGTAGAACCACATTAACTGAAATGCATGCTTTATGTTTGGGTAGAGGCACCGCGAAGCGTTGAGAAAAGTGGGGGTCTCCCAGGGGGGGGGCTAAAACCGAATAAAATGTGGTTTTACTGCTGATTCATTGCTGAATCTTTTGCATTTATGGGGGGAGCTATAGCGCCCCATCCCCCTTCTCTGCAGTGCCTGGGGTATTGATTACTGGGTGTAGAAAGAAGAATTATTGTCCGATCTCCCCATGGTCCAATACATAGCAAATTGAAAAACCTTTATGTTGAGAAAATTTTAAAGATGTCTTTAACCGATATGAAATAGAAATATCAAGGTGAGCTATTGATCGTAGTCTTCTCCTTCTTTGCAAAGATAATCCTGTTTTCAATTGGATTTGAACCTTTATCCCCTTCGTTGTCAGTGCTGAAAATTATCAAATGACTCTTTTTTCACAAATTCTATGCACACGGAAAATTTAACACCAGCCTAAAAACTTTACCACTCGGCAAAGTTTTGTTCTTCTGAGACAGTGATTTGTCATTTTCTCATAGTGCGTAACCCCCTTCTCATGCAACACATAGCGTAGTTGGCCATAGAATATGTGCCTTCTGCAGGGGTGAACATTTTGAATCTCCAACATTGGTCATTATTGACGTTTTGTTGGAGTATTTGATTATGAGTTGTTTTTGAATCCACCTGCAGATTCGATTGCGCTGAGCCTTTTATCACTGCTTAACAAGGGCGTGCAACAACAAACAGGAAAATGATTTTCAAGCAAAATATGAATTCTCTCATCGCTGTGGTCATGTTTTCCATTGTACTTTTGACTTGTTCATTGCTTTTATTTTCATTTCACTTTATGTTTTTGCTGTTGTTTATTTGATGTTGAAAAATTTCCAGCCTTGTACTTTGTTGCTTTTGTCTGCAGTTTGTAAGCTTCATGCATTTGCGCTATGGAACGTCAATAGTTGATGAATCGTTAATCGTAAATAAATCGTAAACCGTAAGTAAATCGTCGGTCTCAAGCGAGTTTCAAATCGTAAATAAATCGTAAACCGTAAGTAAGTCGTCGGTCTCAAGCAAGTTTCAAATCGTAAATAAATCGTAAACCGTAAGTAAGTCGTCGGTCTCAAGCAAGTTTCAAATCGTAAATAAATCGTAAACCGTAAGTAAGTCGTCGGTCTCAAGCAAGTTTCAAATCGTAAATAAATCGTAAACCGTAAGTAAGTCGTCGGTCTCAAGCGAGTTTTGAATCGTAAATAAATCGTAAACCGTAAGTAAATCGTCGGTCTCAAGCGAGTTTTAAATCGTAAATAAATCGTAAACCGTAAGTAAGTCGTCGGTCTCAAGCGAGTATTAAATCGTAAATAAATCGTAAACCGTAAGTAAATCGTCGATCTCAAGCGAATTGTAAGTCGCAAGTGCATTGTTGATCGTGAATTGGTCGCATATCGTAAGTGATTATTTCAGTGGTTGCCATTCGTGTATCGTAATGGGTCGAAAGGAATCATGTTGTTTTCGCCGTCAGAGCAATGCCCAAATAGTTAGAAAGCCAGGCTCCACATGCGCTCTACAAATCGATTATCATTGATAAGAATCATCCTTAGACATGCGCAGAAAGAATGCTTGTGCAGCAACCAATTAGAAAGAGCTTTGAAAATGGCGTTGTCTCTCTTGATGGTGCTCTCTAGATTTTGCTTTCTACCACCAGAAAACTGTCACTAGTTCTGATTGGTCCAACCCACAAGTGGTTAATTGATTAATTACTGACATGAGCAGGACGGACATGATCGTTTTGCCTACTCAGATTATCTGTTAGAGGTTAGGTCAGATTGAATGACGTTACGACTCTGACATCCGTCATCTGTAAAATAAAGAAGCCATCTTTGTCTGGCCTCGAATACATCGATATGCAAGGCCAATTTCAATAAGCACACATGATATAATCACTGTTGCCTTTCCCAACCTTGTCGCGATTACTGCTGCTTTTCACTTTCAAAAGCAAAAATGAATATTGTCATGTGGTTTATTGTCAGATCTGGCTATCCGACAACGCGTCTGATTACTGTTTCACTTGTAATGACGTTATTTTCAAAATAGACTTTGTTTGATTTTGATAGCGAATTCTTAGCGTTGTTTTCGATATCATTCATAAAGAATTGACAAGTTTTGTTTGTTCATGCGAGAATTAGAGACCATCACAAAGCAAAGAAGCTTTAAATCAAACTTGCTCTCTGAGTCAATTTCTGACAAGCAAGCATCAATTTTTAATAAACTTTGCAAACTTTCATGATAGATTAAATTGGTAATTCCTCTTAGACTATGACCGATCAATAACAAGTTTTTGTCCCTTTTGACAACTCCTGTCGTTAGAAAAGATTAACATATCTAGTTTCGTATGTTTACAGAATGACATTCAATCCAATATGAAAGAAAATTAGGTACAATGAATCCTGTTTTATTAATATTTTGAAGAACCTGCTTAAATTCAGTTTCTAGGAATACCAACTCTCTCCTATATGGTTTTAGTGTGTATTCTAATCTTCTATCTACTTTCTGTTGTTCTAGGCAGCTATCGTAAACTGACAAGGTTTGCAAGCAAAGATTCTGTCGACTCGCAGGCCACTAGCCAGTATTCTTCAGCGATGTCTTTAAACTATGGATCATACACTCTAGATGGGCCTAAAGGAAGCTCAAGGTAGTTTTTGAATTTTATTTTGTTTAATACTCGCACTAATGGGCCACCATTTGTATCGCACTGTATATGTTAAGTTTGCCAACAGTAATGATTAACATTTCTAGAATTGCTGGCTATAGAAGTTTCAGGATCGAATTTCTTTTGCCAAATAGATAGAGAGGGATCTTCAAATTTGGAGTATCTTATAGTTTTTGAAATGGACATAAATAATTACTTGAAAGATTTTGCGGATTTTAATGTTATAAGACATTTATGATTTCTGTACGTCACTGGAGAGCCTTTCCGCGTACATTTTAAATTTATGAACTAAATCTTGATTCTTATCTATATAAGCTGCAACACATTTTGAAACTGTTCTGTGTTCTTTCCGGCAAGGAAAAAATGATTGAAGTCAAAAGAATAGGTCTAAATAAATAGGCTTGAGGAGCACCTTGCTAATTAATTTTTCTTTATAGGTTAGTAGCATGCTGAATTCCAAATGAATTAGTTTAATATTAAACAGAGGTTCAAGTGGCTTTTTGTAGACCATGTATATTTCATGTATATTATATAAAAGAATTGAATTTTCGTCTTAGGCCCACGAGTCTCTATGGTGGAAGTTCAAGCGATGGTATTGTGATGAATGGCCTAGGGAGCATCCGGCAGAATCAGCTGGGAAGGCCATCGGAATCTGTAAGTTTTCTCTAATCACCTTGTGACTAAATTTATTATCAAAGCATATAAAGTGTAAAGTGACAATATTTGTTAGAGAAATCTATGCTGCATCTTCCTCAGCTAGCGCAAACATTAACGTGAATATTTTAAGTCCACCTAGTGGTTTCTGTTGCACGATTTGTGTACAAATTCATTCAAATATTAAAGCTTTTGAAAATCAACTAAATTAAATCGATTAGGAAAGCTTGCTTCTTGGGACCAAATGTGTGGGTTCAAGTTGTCTGATACTCTTCACACATACTAATTTTGTGTTTTAAACATGCCTAAACAGAACATAGATTGATTCGTCAATTGTATTTTATAAGTGAATTTGGCTTAGTGGTACAATTACAGTGCTGTGTTCGTAACTGTTGAACTTCTGCAATAGGCTAGCGTAGCGACTGAAAATTGCTTCATAACAATCTTGGTTTATAGATTGCTTCATAACAATCTTGGTTTATAGATTGTACTTAGTTTGTTCAAATTGTCTTAAAAACTGTTTAATTTTTTTACTTGGTTTTTCCAGTATCAGGGTGGTCCAGAGTTTGTTTTCCTTCCAAATGATCCAGAACTCGCTGTGATCGATATTACACCGGTAACTTTCTCAGATTTCTAATTTCATTATTTCACCCTTTTTAGGCCCTCATCATTTCATGCCAGTACCTTTTATATAAGATAGATAAATTTAAGAATTTGTTTTGCAAGCTCTTTTGACTTCTGAATCAAAGCAAGGAAAGGCCAAAGAATCTCCAGAGCGGACTGCCCATTTTCGCACACCCTTTTGATGAGCAGTTCCTTGTTTAAATAATTGTGCAAAATGAAGAAACTTGCTCAAATGTTTCTGAGCCTTCTTCCATTCTCTCTTCGCTCTTACAGATATCGTAACGTTCATCTATTCGCCAGCTGTTTATTCACTATGGTATTGGTATTGTTAATGTCTTTTTTTGTTACAGCCAAGACTAGGCCCCATTCCCCGTGGTAGACGGAAAATCAGTGTCATGCTTCCAAACGCGCAGCGGCTAGAAACAACAGTCGAGGTGCGTCCAGATAATTGATACAGTATTTTGTGTTTCTGATTTATTGATTAAATAGTAGTTCAAATTGATTTCCTTAAAACACCGTTATTTAGGATACAAGACTCCATGTTAGAATTTGCTTGACAAATTGCTCCTAGACGGTAACTTGGTATAAGACTTTTCTCTAATTAATGAAGTTAATAAGATTATTTCAATTTGACATGTATCCTTTAGATGAGGAAAACTGTTTCATTTTCTTATCGAGTTACGCTTTGTATGTACAGAACAGGATGCGTCTCAGTTGCTGTTCCGCGTTTCAACTTTATATAAAACTCGGTATAAACAACAGAGACCCGTCCTATTCTATACACCAGAATCGTGTACAGCTCTGCCTAAACGGCTTCGATTACTTTGTGACAGACCAGTAAACACTAATTTTCAGTTCTATCAATATAGAAATTGTCTCGTTCTTACTTTCTTTACATTTTTCCTGTTGTTTTAAAAATCTCTGCTGGTGATGTTTATCCCATCCAGTATCTTTTGAAATCCTCTGGAAAACTCCTCTGGAAAATTTCTCTAATATTTTCACTACAGATTTTTCAAATTACGTTTGTTTTTTTGTCGAGAGTTGGGCTTAGGTGAGGCTCGTTTTTAAGAAATATTGTACTGCTGAATAATACCAGATAATATAAAATTATGTACAATAATATAAAACATCAAATTGTTTATGTGATCAATACTTTTCCCAATCATCAATCATTTGATTAGGAGTTGATCAATTAGTTAGTTGAGTCATTTGTAAGAAGGGATCTTTATAAGTGCCCGTTAAAAAGAAGCTCTCAATTTGTGCGGTACAGTTTTGCTGTGTGCTCGATATTATAAAAGTTTGTTGTATTCTACTATGTAAAATTTATTGATATCGTCTCATACAGGTTTCCTCGATTGTTAAAGAGATCTTTGAAGAAATAACCAGGTATCTTGGAATTAAAGAGACAGTTTATTTTGGACTGACGCAGATTAAGGGTGGGTAGATTCCTCATCTTCTTAATAATTTGAAAGTATTTGAAAATTAGTAAATAAAATGTCGTTTCATTTATGTTCTTTCATGAGAAGTTGAAAATCTACAACGGGTGAAAACATTCTTAAAGCTTGTTTTGTAATAGTTTCCTTTTAAAAGTATTTTGCACCATCTTCTTATTAAAAGTTTCGCATCTATAGCTGTCTATTTGCCTGAATGTGATTTGATTTTTGAAAGTGATATATTAAATTGACTTTAAGATCGTTGAGCTAGAAGTCTTATATATCTTTTTTATATTATTTTTATTTTTTTATAGTTTCAAGCCTTTAAAGCTAATTGTAAAGGAGTGACTAATTTAAATTCTTTTAAAAACATTTTATGATTATTAAAACCTTAAAATTTAATCATTTTCTGTTCGTAGCGTATGTATTGAAGTTCTTTAGCCAAAATCGTGAATATCAGAGTTAATGTATAATGGCTAACCTCCTTAAACATTTAAAATAATGTGATTGGCATCAAATGTTGTTAAATGAAATTATTCAGCTGTATTGGGTGCAGAAACGCACCTGATTAGAATTTTTGTTACCTATCTCCGACCAAGCACAAATGACCCCTAAGATTTGTGTGCCTCTTTTTTCAATCAAACTGCGATTCAAAATTCTACATGAAATTTTTCTCTTTTCTAGAGAGCGAGCATATATTTTTGAAGCTGGAATCCAAGCTGACAAAGTATGCGCCTTCTGGCTGGAAGGACGATGTATGTATTAAACCAGAAAATGATAATAACTTCTGGTATCTTTGAAATCTTTGAAGCTGAAGTGTGATTTTCTGTATAAATCGTCTTCTTTGTATTTTTTTAACCTGTCCCCCATCCTCTTAACCCTCCATTCTTTATGTTAATCTTTCAACGATTTATTCCAAATCCTTCGTACTTTTCCATGCCTCAATTGGCTCATTTGCCCCCTCTTGTTATCCCTCATCTCGCACCCATTCCCTATTTATATCTCCCCCTCCCCTTCACGCCCATTGAGTTTCCTCCCTCCTAAGATTTTCCACCCTCATCCCAACATCCCTGCCACTCTTTCTACCTTCACACCTTATTTCAGTACAGTCCCAGCCTCATTCCAATCACTTTTCTTTGCCTTCTAGCCCCACTATATTTTCACAGTCTCATTCCCCATCTTCCTCCATTTGTCCTCCCCTAACATCTGCTTTCCATATTCTTCCTAAAATCGGTGTGATCAAGCCACTTAGTCCAGATCAGTCCTTTTTTGACCAAATTATTAGCTTAATTTGTTTATGGCTGTCTACAACGTTGATTGCCTGTTAGAACTGTTAGAACCAAGTTTTTAAAACTTGATTTAATTTCTTGCAGAAAAAGAACAAAGTGGATTTTATACTGCACTTTAAAGTGAAGTTTTTTATCGACAACATTGATGGTTTACGGTAAGCTAAGCCAAAGATTCTTTCTAATTTTATTAGATAGAGCAGTTAATGTTTGCAGCTGGCCTGGTTGTTATCTGATATATTTTCAGATGTCGCAGAAACTGTGCAGAAATGAGGAATCATGGCAGATTGATCATCCACTTGGCCTTTACTAAGCCTTCTTTTAAACGTGTAATCCACTACTTTGATCCTTTAAAGTCTGGTTCCAAATCAGATTTTCCTCTCTGTATGAGTTAGGCTGTAATTTGATTTACTTCGCTTAACTCATAAAAATTACAGTGGTACAAGGCAATGTTATTGTATGTTCATTAACATGAAAAGCTATGGATGTTCTTCTTAACGAACGCTATAAAACTACTTTAGCAACATATCTTGCGCTTTTTAGGTCAGATAACCAGTCGATGATTTTCAAGATAATTGTCCTGGTTGGACGATGTAATCCCCGTATTTTAGCGTAATAAGGCCGGGGACAAGCGCAGATCCTTGTGGTACTCCGCAAGTACCGAACGTTTTGTCTGGAATAAGATCTGTTGATGTCTTTCAATTTATGAGATAAGAACCTAATCAACAAGTAGTGGGATTCTCTAATTCCTTCTGTTAGCGCAGTTTTAAGCTGTTTTAAACTGACGTCTTGAGCAGCAATCACCAGTCTGACGTGGGTGGAAGTTAGTATACAAATAAGGGTGATATAAGAAGTGATCATGTAAAAAGGGTCCTTGGAGGATTACTCGAAACCCTTGAGAAGAACTTAAACAATGATTTTCGTTGTTACCCCTTACCTTTGTGGATTGGTTAACGAGAACAATAGCTGAAAAAATAGCCTAAACACAATTTCATCGCTCCGCCACATTTTTTACAATGCGATAAGTTAAAGGGGGACTGGAAACAATAACAAATCCCTTTCTTCTTATAACCAATCAACATCGTGACAGATTGCCTTTAACATCGGACTTCTACCTGGTCTCTATTGAAAGTTAGTTTCATTGACTCATCTTTGTATTGTGTTGTTTAGGGCTGTTTTTTGTGATGAAATTGTTTCTTGTGTACCGTATAGGCATTTCAAAACACGTCATCTATTCTATTTGCAAATTCGTCGAGAGATTCTTTGTGGCTACACATTTTGCCCCGACGAAGCAGCAATATCACTAGCCTCGCTTGCACTACAGGCTGAATATAGTGACTACGAGGAAAAATACCACGGAAGGGCATACTTTGACGCTGAGCATTACCTTCCTCGACGGGTATGTTGTAGAGGTTATTCAGGCAGATCTAAGAAGCAATAAACGTACAGTAAACTCCCACAAAGAACATACGAATTTAAAGGCATTTGACATGCATAAGTACAGCGAATCCAAAAATAACTTAGGCCAGATTTGAAACCACTGTGTGCTGCTCTAAAATTTCGCCGATATTCAGAAAGGCGGAAACTATTCGCATGTTTTTCTCTGTGTGCAATTTGATTTGTTAACCGCTGGTGGTTGAGTGGCTGTAAGCCACTTTTACCTGAGTCAAATGCCTTTAAGAGCCAACAGGATGTTAAGTGTTAAGTGTTATCTATGACTTTTAAGTGTTATCTTTTTCTTGGAATAGTGTCTTTTTTAAAGAAAATTGCCTACTGAATCGATTTCTTTGCAACAGTACACACCAACTGCCAGGCGTCGCAGACCCGGTTCGTCTTAGCAATGCACGTGTTAGATAAGGACCTTATGTAAAAGCCTTTGAATCTGCTATCCATAGACGTACCTTTATAGTAAAACGCAGGAGCAGCCTGGTTTTGTATAAAGTAGCTTCTTCTTGGCAAGTGTTTACCGTATTACAAACACTAGAATTTCTAATAAAGATTATACTATGCCTAACTTTTGAAGTTGGTCTTGACACAATAGTCTTACTAGGAAAACCGGCTACTTTTGGCTGTCCAAAAGTTCAGTCCACACTCTGAGGAGTGTCAGACGAAAAAGCTTTTAGTAGTATGTTGTGACATGTTTGCTTTTTTCAAAGCCATTTTTAATTACTGTACCGCAAAAAAATTCTGTTAGTATTTATGATTCCACAATGTCTGCCGTCAAATATAAACTTCGTTCTAAATCATGAGCCTTTTTTAACTGTCTTTTGCAGATGCTGGGCAAGCTTCCAAGAGCAGACATATATCATAACCTGCCTCTTTTGCACCATTCATATCGAGGCATGCGAGAAGACGAGGCTGAATTGAAGTTTTTAAAAGAGGCACAGAGGCTGAAGGAATACGGAACGCTTTTCTATAGAGTGTCTAGGGTATTTCCACTTTTAAAGTTTTCTGCTTAGCATTCAGACAGCTGGTATACAATATATAGGCTATATCTCTCTAGAGACTCGGTTTTCATCTCACTAGATTTACGTTGCTAAGAGTCAAAAAGAGCGATGAGAGTATCGAAGACCTACCGAACATTTGAGACCTGCCAGGGCTCACGCTTTCTAGAAACAAGAAACAATAGAATATGCATTAGAAGTAAAACAATCAGTGATCTCTCGCATCTTGGTACATAAAAATGACAGCATTTTTAGACTCCATTATGCATAGTTTAATGAGGAACAGGTAACCTTCAACATCGCAGAAAAAATTCTACAAGCTGGCCAAGTGAATAAACCGTTCTCTTTTTAAGCATATTGGGTTATCAAAAGTGTTATTTGGTTGGGTCAGAACTTTGCAATTAGGGAAGCTCATTCATGATTTGCTAGAAAATTATTCTTTAACCGCCGATAAGGCGATTTAATAAATTTAGGATCTGTCTAGCAGTTGGTTATAATTTGCCGCGATGGGTGACTATTTGATTAGTTTTAAACGAACGCCCACTTGCTATGCGAACATGTGTGAACAAATGGTCACTTAAAAGGTGTTATTTACAGTCTGTTCGTTATGGGAACATAGAACGTGTTGCTAAGAATGATAATTTCTGCAGTTTCCCCCGGCTAAGCCACGCAGCGACTGTTGTCCGAAATAGAAAAATAATTTCTACAGTTTCCCCCGGTTAGCGTTTTATCTTCGTAGGAAGCTACGCAGCGACTGTGGTCCGAAATAAAAAATAATTTCTACAGTTTCCCCCGGTTAGCGTTTTATCTTCGTAGAAAGCTACGCAGCGACTGTAGTATTTACGTTAGTCACACATACTGCTGTTGTTGTTGTTGTTTTTGTTGTAATCACATATAATTATTATAGAGTTGTGTTCTGTTCTTCTCACAAATGGCGTGATTTTCTAGTCTAAAGATACAGGCAGGTTACAACAGCGACTGTGGATTGAAATAGAAAAATAATTTTCCCTAATTTACAGACAAACCATCTTATCTTTCATGCAGCTAATCACATTTTCTTACCTTTATTTTCTCTTGTAAAAAATGACAATATAATTAATTTTCTTCTAGTCAAAAAAGGACTCAAAAGATTCAATTTTACTTGGTGTTTGTGTGAAAGGGATCATTTTGTATGAGGTAAAAATATACGTATTTCATATTTCTTGTTAAATGGAAGTTTAATTTTAGAGAATTGTATTTGTGGCAAATCCTTTTCAAATTATGGGGCCACTGTTTTGAAAAATATATACCATGAAATCTTGCTTTAAAAACAGATCAGTTTATGTTTCTTTTTGTGCCTGATAAATTATTCTGCCCTGATAAACTTTACTGATCCATTGACACTTTTTCATAGAAAACTAGAAAAGAAAAAGATATCATATATGTTTATGTTTTAAAATTAATTTTTATTGCTGCTAATGTGAAAGGCAATCAAAAGTAATTTTAACGTCTGAAATTCTGCGCGAGGAATAAGTTTTCTGATTGTGTTGAAAATATGGAACATGAGGGGGATAAAATATAACGTAAGGGAAAGATTTAAGAGAAGAGGCGAAGAAAAGAAAGGGAAAGAGAGGAGAAGAGAGGAGAAAGAAGGAGGAGGTAGAAAGAAGATTTTTGGTGCTGTAAATCAGAATTTTAGTGGCTCATGATTGGAGTTTCGTAAACCTGAAACTCGAATACTCTGATTTCTTGATACTCCTTAAACTTGTAATAACGAAGCTAGGGATGAAAGCTTTTTTTATTTAGAATAGTGTAGGGAATTTTTTCCGCTAAATATAAGCCGAAAGATCTTCTTACGACTAGCTTACATTTTCTAGGTAATTTCGGACCTGCAGTTGATAAACTAAGCCTGTCTTTTATAAAGTAATGTCCATATTACCAATTTGATCTTTTGCATTCAAATTTCAAGGTTCGAGGCCAGATAAAGTCGGAGATTCATCGACAGTTCTGGCATATGATCGAGAAGTTTTCATTCAGTGTAAGCATTTGTTTTAAGATTTTTTCACCTTCAAATTCATTACTTTTTATCCCAAACTTTCTCGATTCACTGAAGTACTGTTTCCATATCAACGGTATTTTTTATCAATTTTCCTGTGTGTCAAGAAAAAAAGTGAAACAAAACACCAAAGTAGTTGTTCGGACAATGTATTTTGAAATAGTTCCAAGTAAAGATTCACGAATTCTAACTGTCACATTTAAGATCGCTGCTAGTACAATGTTGTTTTGGCACGCAAAGCTCTCTAGACAATATTTTTAATTCATTTTGCTGTTTTATTATCTCGTGGATTTATGCATCATTTACGGCTCTCTCTTATTTACCTTTTTGAAATCTTAAAAGTGTTTTACGTATATTAATTAACTGAAGAACTCTCTTAATTTGTAGATGACAATGAATTACTCTCTTTCACAATTTTTCTTAATTGACTATGCAAGTCTGTCATGACGTACGAATACTTTTGTATGCTTGGTGATATCACCCACGTTTTTGTTTCTTGTTTAGAGAAAGAAATTTGCGGTGGAGCCTAAGAAGGGAATCGGCCTTCCAACAATTACTCTTTATACCAATAGCTACAAAATGTAAGTAGACTTTGTCATAATAACAGAGCCAACTAACTGTAATTTTTCAGAAACTGGTTGGTGTTGTTTCAAATAAAAAGAAAATCAAATACGTTTTTGGTACTGCAAAATTCGAAGATGGTATGAAATAGCACGAAATTCTATGTTTCTGCCATTTCGTTTCACCTTCAAAGAAGAAAATGAATTTCGATTGACCGTATACTAGACTTTGCCTGGCGGGCAAATATAGTAGTGTCCAAATATAACAAACCCTACTGAAAGTTTTGGAGCAAAGTTTTTTGTAAAAAGCAAGGCCATTTCTCCAAGCTTGTAACATTTAGTAAGATGTTTAAATAAAATGTTATTTTGGATTCTCTCAAACGATTCCAAGTTTAACATATGCTCACTGAATTTTGTAACATAATTATTATTGTATTGGTTATTTATGTCATTATATGTTAATTAAATCTCCGCTCATACCCAGGGCAAAATATCTGCTGAAGATGTGTGAGTCATTTCATCTGTTCAGCAAGTATAGCCGACCACGAAATATTACCAATGACAGTGCAAGCACCATTGATTGTAAGTGGGAACAATTAATTTTACACCAGAAGCCCTACAGTCATCATAATCATCATAATAAACCATTATCATTTTATAACCATCAACGCCATGATCAGCATCAACATTGAATCATCATCATGATTCAATGAACATCATCATCATCATCATCATCATCAATTTGATTTAACTAACAGCTTTTTTATTTACTTTTACAGATTGTAATAAATGCCTTATATGTGAGGGCTCCTTGAAAACCAGCCTGTGCTGAAGGGCGAACCTACTGATGGAAACCAAATATGAAATATCAATCAATTATCAATTGTTATAATTACGGTTAAACTGTAAAAGCTCTTTTCAACCCTAACTTAGCCGGTGGTCTAATCACCCCTAATCTATGCCCGTAATGTGCTTGCGTTTTTTTAATTGGCCTATTTCGATCCACAACTGGGTATATACTTTCCATCGTGTTCTTTCGACCCCTTATTCTGATGTTTTATGCTCTGAGGAGTGTCGGACGAAAAGTCTTTAAGTGGTATGTTGTGAAATGTTTGCTTTTTTCAAAGCCATTTTCAGGTTTTGTACCGCCAAAAAAATTTCAGTCAATCATTATCTTTAAAATATTCTTATAAAAACTTCATAGAACAAAAATTCTCTATTCGTATTTGTTTATTTCCCAGCCACTCAAGCGCCGTTTTGCATTTTAGCCACAAAATCCAGTGAAGAGAGACATGATTCGCAAAAAGAAAACAGAGCTCCTCAGTCTTCATTCCCAGCCCCTTCAAATACAGCAGCAAAGCACAACGGGCATTCTGACTCTAGCACACACTCAGCCCCGAAAAAGGGGAAGCATAGTGTAGGTCACAATGGCAGTGAAGTAAGACCGAAAGATGCTCCAAAAGTCGAAACTCAACAGTTATCACATGTCAACGGAGTCAAGGATGATGAAGAAATGTTCAAAGGTCTGTATTCTTCGACTTGTGAAGTTGCAAGTTCTTGCTTATCAATCTTTATATGTAGTTCAAGAACAGTTTACCAAGACTATTTATATTGATAAAAAAATCAAATGCGATCTTATCTTTTTGGAGAATCTCTTTCTGGATCGCTACATTGTAGGCCTCTCTGTAAACTTATATGACTTTTTACGCTACATTCTTAATCTTTTTACTGTTTTTTGAAAACTGAGAATTTTTCTTTCGAGATCTCTGTCTTCCAGGCTCTAATTTAGATTTTTTCTGTACTTCTTTTGGCAGATTCCTTTCACATTGAAGTTGATTTCTGAACCTTTCATTTGCAGAACTGGCTACGTATCTCTGTTAGTTATTCTGGCTATTCAGGTTGACAAAACATTTGAGCTTATTCAGCACCTGCCAGAGTAGAAGTACAATCACTGCCAAAATTACTTGGAACACCCAACACTTTGCGCTGTGCTTTTCTATTTTTCCTTTGTTTTCCCGAATACTACTACTTCCGTCCCCCTTTCCCCCCAAAATGTTGAAAGTAAAGAAAAATATCAAACCAGCCACAAGAAAAAACATACTCCATAACCCCTTTCTTTTTTCTACAGTAAATCAACATTGTTCTTAGGGGGGAGGGGGGAAGGGAGTGGCTGAATTTGCCTTTGAAAACTTAAGTTAGTGTTCCAAGACTTTGGGCAATGATTGTATGTTTAAACAGGGAGTTTCTTTTTGATAATCTTCTATGCTTTTATTGACAGACTATTCCCCGCGGACAAGGCGCAGACTTAGTAGTTTACGCGGGGTGCCCGAGAGACGTATTGCTATTGTCATCCTGAAGAGAAAAGTTGGTCAAGGGCTTGGTGGGTTTGTTTTTTTGTTGTTGCAAGAATTTGATCATTTTTTGTTATACACTCAGCTTTTATCAGAAACCGTTTATAAGAAACTGATTTTTTCTTTAATTCGTTTATAAGAGCTTAGTTTCTTTAACAAAATGTGTGCGTCTTACTAATTCAGTCTCGGTATTCAGTCTCAGAGAATTCAGTGTTTATTGTTAGGCAGGCCCGTAGACACTTGGGGGCAATGCCAATAATTTGCGAAAATTGCGTTTGAATATCTTATAAGCACAGCTTGATCTAACAGTATTTTGTAAGGCAGGTATAGAAAAAGCTGAATTTAGTTTAGCTGTCTACGGGCTTGTTGTTAGGTCATCATTTGTACCAAATAGACACGTTACTGATGCCTCGCCCTCTCTACACCAGAACAGTAAACAGCAATCTTCCTGTTACTTTTTGTTTTTATTCGTAATTTTACCATTGCGTATTACAGGCATCACGATTGTTGGTGGGGAAGACTCCAAGCGCCTCAGTAATGGCATCTTGATAAAAACAATAATGCCTAATGGAATTGCAGCGAAGGATGGTCAGCTTCAAAAAGGTACAAGATGGATTTGTTCACTTCTCTGCGTATTTCATTTGAACACATTTCATGTAGAAACAAGCTAGTTAAATAAGTTGTATATGTATAAGTTGGTTTGTATGAATGCAATTTTCTCCAAAGCTATCAATGAAATAGACACCAAATTTTCACTGAATACTCTCTAATAATCATTACAACACTCATAAGTTCAGCAAAGTCTCATAATCATAATCATAAATCAAGCTAGTGTTTGGAAAGCAAAGTAAGAAAAGAAAATTGTATTGTATTGTATTGTATTGTATTGTTTTGTTTTGTTTTGTTTTGTTTTGTTTTGTTTTGTTTTGTTTTGTCTTGTTTTGTTAGAGGATGCATTAGGGAAAGTTGTATGAAAGCAAATAATTTTATAAGATGTATATGCTTAATGTAACTTCTCAGAAGTACTTACCGTAAATTCTGTTTTTAGCCCGCCCCCCAGGGCGCTTGTTGTTTTTTAGCACTTTAAAGGGGGGCTTATAAGTGAGGGGGGCTAAATTGAGAGAGGGGGCTTAATAAATATTTTGTAGTAAAAAACAATTTAATGTGGTAAAATTTTTTGTTATTCGCGAAATAAAAAGCATCAAATCAGCCTTCTATATCAATAATATTGTCATCGTCATCGTCAACAATTATTCATTCTAGAGACATGGTGTGAATTTTGATTTGATGCGAAGAATTGAACGACTAATGAATAAAATGAAAATCTCTGTTTTTTGTCAAGTTTACTTATTTCAGCATCAGTGAAAATTTGGAGAGGGGCTAAATTGAGAGGGGGGGCTAAATTGAGAGGGTTTTGTACGGTTTTGTACTGAATAATGCATCTGTTGTTCATCACTGCTTATTAATGCGGGCACTTAAACAGAGGGGATTTTTTTGCAGGTGACCGAATTCTCTCTGTAAATGGAAAAAGTCTTGAGCAGGCTACACATGATGAAGCTGCTGGGATCCTTAAGAATGCTTATGGTGATGTTCAGTTGATTGTTTCTCAGTTCACCTCGGCAGGAGCATCATTTCTAGGTGCGTACGTTTACCGAAACCGTTTGTTACCCCCCAGGTCTATGAAAGCCCCCTCCGAATAAACCTCACCTGAAAATTATTCAGATTTCGTATGAACCTAGCAATACTTCGAATTTTACCATGTAAAAAATATTATTACGGTATATTGGCTAAAAACGTTTGTTTCTCCCTTCTTTGTAATTTGTAAAAACAGGCGTATTGTACAGCAGCGAACATCAGCAGGGGTGAGAAAAGTCCTCGACTGCTAGACAAACTTTTCAACCGGCTGACCATAATGGAAATGTAGACATACTATGTATTTTTTTATGATTACTTGTTGCTCAATACCAACAAACAGGGTCACCGAGAGCCATGCCAGGCCCAAGGGCAGGCAGAATTCTTGGGCCCCTTCCTAATCAAAGAAGTTTACCTTAAATGCGATTCAAAATGGATTCAAAATCCATAAAATTTTCTATTCGTAAAACATTGCCAAACTTCCTAAAGACAGATATGGTTTGTATTTGCTGTGTTATTTAGAGTCATTTTTAAAACAGAAACATTTTGATTACCAGCGGGCCCCGTTTTGCTCACGGGCAATTGCCCCTCTTGTACCCCCTCTCGATAACGAGACCTTGATAAAGCTTATATAAGTTCAATGTTTACATGTACGCCTTTATTCCAGAAAAATGTGTATTAAAATTTTCATTAGGCAAAGATAAATCTTGTATGAAACAAACCTAAAAGTATGCTTTTCAAAACGAACTTCAGACGTCTATTGTCTTCCTGAAACTGACAAAATTTTTAGTTCAACAAGTGTCTTTCCTATCGAGGCTCCTCTGTTACATGGTGAACAAGCTAACCTCCCCAGCGATGTTATCTGAAGGCAGTCTTACTTCTAATCTGGTTATGACTTGAGCGAACAGTCCTTGACTTGATGCTTTTGTTTTTCTTGATTCACAGATAAAACTGGTCTGTCAACACTTGACGAAGGAAACTTCAGCCCCACATCAGAGTCACCCGATACCGTTCCTACAAAGGGAAGGGTCTTTGAAACACAGAATTCAGACAATGGCTTGACGCTGAGTCCCATTATGAGAGTGGATGACGAGCAAGAGCCCAAGAAGAGAGGTAGAATATATTTATATATTTTACATTTTGAATTTTGTGGGCCTCATACACTGAGAAGGAAAAGTGATTTTAGTGTGCTATGTTTCCACCTTTTCGTTCTAAGTAAATCTATTTACTTAGTTTGGTAAAGAATTGGCGTTTTTATTCAAATAATTTCATTCTTTGGGTTTCTGGCTATTGAAACGTGATCACGATCAAGCTAGAAAATTAATGCGTGGTCGCTTCAGGATCGTGCCTCCCTCCCCTCTCGGTATCATCTTGATACCAACCGTCTCATCCAGTAACCTTTGAGCCTTGGAGCTCAAGTGGTATTTTAAAAAATCAACAGTTTCCAGAGAAAAAACAACCGATAAAGCATCCTTTTCCCCTAAACTCAATCTTGAACAAATCATGATCGTGCATGTGTGTTTTTAATTATAGTTTCTAAACACAGTAAAGGTACCAAGTTACCTAAATATAATTTGTCGTATAACACACGGGATCTCATCAAATCATTGGCCCAAAATACCAGTGACCGAAAACACAATCTTGAGAGTCGATCTGATTATCGTAACTATCTCACAGGAAGTAGTTTACTAACACTGAGACTCTTAATTTTTTAAAACTAAACTAGAAACATTGCTTTTTCCTATGACTTGTGTTTTGAAAATGGATGTGGTGGAAGGGAGCTCCCTTCCTGCCATTCCATCTTCTGGAAGCTTCTCGTTCGAGTAATCCCTCTTTGAACATATATTTTGCCACTTTGTTTTTCGTTTTGTCATATTGTGTAAAGTGGTATTTTTTTAAAGAATTGAATGTACCCGGATTTAAATTTACCTGGATTTTACTAATAAATGAACTACAATAAAGCATTGTTTTCGAAGTAGAGAGGGGAATGTTATTGAAAATCTTTAAAAAAAGCGAATTAACCAATTCTTCTCGCAGGCGTTTGTTGTTTACACGCCATATGCACAACTTCTTATGAAAGCAAACCTGCCATCTCTCCAGAATAGACGACTTCAGGACATTGCCATACTTATGTATAAAGTTAAAAACGACATAGCCCCACATTATATAAAGGATATATTTGCAATAAAAGAAACTCTTTATGAATTAAGAAACAGCAACTTTGTAATTAGGAAATTTCACACGGTAAAAGAAGGAAAACATTCAGTAAGATACTTTGGCCCATATCTGTGGAGCAAATTAAAGAGAGCCATCAAGGAGGTGCAAACGATCAACCAATTCAAAAGAAGTATAAGAAGAATGGACATAGAAACTCTTTTAGACTGTAGACTGTAGTTTAGTTGTACATAGAATTTTTATGTTTTAATGATTATACTGTAATTTCATATTTTATGCTCTAATTTAACTTTATATACTTTTTCGTTGTGTCCCCAATTAGCTTGTGAGCTAAATATTTTTTGGCACATTAATAAATTTATTGATTGATTGATTGATGGTTTCCTGTTTGTTGTAACGAAACTTGCCCAGCTCCATGAACATTATTTTGCTTCTCTGTAAATTTCTTAATGTCGAACTTTTTGTACCTTGCAGCAGCTGGCAAGGAAGGAAAGAAATTAGTAAGGGAGAAAGTGATTGTAGATGATAACATAAGTGATCAATTTGAAGCCCCTGTCGAAGAGTGCCCAGTAATGGCGGTAGAGGATGGAGAAGTGTTAAACTCAACACCTTCACTCGGAGGGAAGACGTCTACAAGATCATTTAAGTCTGCGAGTGGAAAAGAACTTGCTTCTGAGGTTGGTTTGCAAGGGTTTTTGGTATTTTAGTCGCAACGTCCAAACTGTTTGTGAGAGCTGTAATCAGAGAACATGAAAGGGTTGGTCGTGATGTCATATTTATTTGAAAACGGTCGACTCTGACTGAATGCATAATGTTGTCGCGCCCTCTTTTTTTACTCTTTCATGCAAATTTTTATCATGTTTCGATTTTATTTGTTAAAAATCTTGAATAAGATTTTTAAGGCATTTGCAGACACCAAGGGGCGGGGCTGCATATGCAGCTGCTACAAATGCCAAAAATTAAAATTCTTCAAATCCTTGTTTTTAATACCACGGAAAAGAAAATGCAATTGCTTTTTCAAAACTTAATCAAGTAATTTACCTAAGAATTGATCGCTGTTTAGAAGGCCTGCAAGTCTGTTATAGCATGCTGTTGTGTTTTAAATCGGATCTGATTGTTTCTCTTTGATAATTAAATCTTAGTCTGACTCTGAAGGCATACCAGTAACCATACGAAAAAGAGATGGCTCATTTGGAATTAACATCGTGGTATGTGCATGGAGCATTTTTCTTCTAATTTAGGTTTAGTAGAAAATTTGGAAATTTTAAGCCTTGTTTTTGATGGAAGAACCCTAAAGAAATCTTAAGGAAGGGGAGAATAGACAAAATCGTTCAATTTTAGAATAGGATATCTCTTGTTGTATAAAAAGCTGTGATATCTAATACCGAATTAAACTTGCTATGCTTTGAAATGGCTCACAGTTTGTATTTCAAAGGGGATTTTTGGTGTTGTGATTTACGTGTTCACGATAATCTACTGCTACCAATCGAGTGTGATCCTAAAGCGTATGTAATGGTTCGATTGCTCTTGAGTAATACCTCTAAAATAGACCACAAGGATCGCCCTTCGTCGACAAAAAAGGGACTGGGAAGGAAAATGTCTACGCTTACTCTTGGCTAGCGCCCAGAAAAATAATAAACCACGCGTAATTGAGCTGAAACGTTTAAAACAATCCCTAAAAAAATAAATAAATATGAATTCTAATCTAAACTTGGTTTTCGAATTTTATTTTATAAGACCCTTTTCACTATCGTCAGCGGTTTTTTTCAAAAAATCAAAAGCCTTGAAACAAATATCAAAGCTTAATTTCGTTTCCTAACATTATTTCTGCATCGTATAATCACTTCATGATGAAATCTGCCCTTTAAGAGCCCGTTGCCTGCCCATTCAAATTCAATGCTCGCTTTCTTTTACAGGGTGGGCTTGCATCCGGCTTTACTTCTAAACACCTTTATGTGCAGTCCATCGAAAAAGATGGCGCAGTTGCAGCTGATGGTACTATCCAAGTTGGTGATTGCTTACTTGAAGTAAATGGGATCGACATAAGACATGTTACACACAATAAGGTATTGCATTCTTTCAAATTGATACTGAATAGCAAAAGCATATCACATATAACTGCACGAAAGGCATATTCAGAAGTGTATTCTTTAAGAGACTAAGTATTGCTGCCACCTGAAAATATCAGATATAAGTTGTGGGTTTTTTATCTATGCACTACGAATGGAAGATAAGATATGTTTTGAAAAGACTTAATTTACGCTTGTATATAGTCAGAATATACGATTTTCCAATCTTAGGCCGTTGAAGTATTGCGAAAAGCCCCAACTGTGTCTACTCTTGTAATCAGTAAAACAATGGAATTACAGCCGGATGAATTTGATGGTGAAGTATCGCCAGTGCATGTAAAAAGTACAAGAACTGAACCGTCAAGACCTGACACAGTGGGACAGGACACTTTTGAGGTGGTAATAGAAAAGGGCATTGGTGGGCTTGGTCTAAGCCTCGCTGGAGGTGTGGATGCATCGCCGGAATTTAAAGGTAATTGAACGTTTCATCTGCAACTGAAACCGACCAGGCTAATCCGAATAGTAAGCTTGATTTGCTCGTTGTTATATCTTCAAAAGAGCTTACTCGCACTCCAGACGACCGATCATTTGCTTATTCCAGTCAAGCAGCTCTCTAGAAAATATGACAATTAATCAAAGATCCTGTACCGATGAATTGCGGTAGTCATCTAACTTTCGATTGGATGAATTAAACATTAGGCTATATAGTCAAATTCGCATAAGTCGGACATTTCATAACTAGAACAGAAATGCTTGATCCCAGTCTATTTTTTATAAAAGCATGGGTCGGATTTCATCGCATGGGTCGGATTTCATAAGTTGGATATTTGTAAGTCGGACCATTTTTGAAGTCCCATTTGAAATTAGAATCGCGTGAAGCTATTGCAAGCTCGATGATGCCATTGAGAAAAAAATTTTTAGGGGGAACACATCTGTAAACCAGTTACGTGGGATTCTGAAAAGGGGCCCCATCTGGAATTCCGGGAGCACCTGTGCAGACAAAGGGGCGGCAATGCTCCATTTCAACCCTAAAGGTGTTGATATTTAGACCATTTTGTTATGTAGGGATCGTTTTGTTCGAATACTTTTTTTAAAAAGTGTATACTTTGCTCTATGCATAAAACCACAAGAAAAGAATTTAAGCCTAAACAATAAATTTTAGATAAAATGAAGAATTTTAAATGAAAAATGGCCATGGTATAAAAAATGGATTCGGAAATGAATTCAGTTGACGAAACAAACTTTTGAATAGACAAACAGCTTACACACACCAGAACGCTAGGATCGTTTTATGTGGACATATACATTGATATTCAAGCATTTTTATCCATGATTTTCATCCACCTCCGATACACAAACATCTACTTAAATCTGATTTCAATAAGTTAATATAAATTTGCAACACCCACTAAAAAGCACTGCCTGGCTTTCTTGTGAGAAACATTCGTGGTCAATCACCTTTGAGTGGAATAATATGAACGTGCGACTGGTTCTACCTATTTCCGGCTCTTCCAATTTGTGTATCAAAGACTTCATTAACCTGAGTTTCGCTTCGAAGAAGCTACAAATTAGTTTAGGTGATAGTATCACAAAAACTTAGGGCCCGTTCACACTACTCATACTAATCCGTTTTCGCCTTGCGTTCATACTGCTCCGTATTCGTTTCGCTCCGTTTCTTTAATTTTGTTCATAATGATGCCAATTTGTTGAGGATTCGTGAATGCCTCTTTTCAAAAATGAGGCCACCAAAAGCGTTTTTGTTGGAGCAGTGTAAACACTTACCGTATTCGAATCATATTCATTTGAAAACCGATAAGTGTGAACAGACAGCGTTTTCATCAATGAAAACAGAGCGAAACGAATACGGAGCAGTGTGAACGTAGCCTTAGTATAGAAGAGCTTCAATATTTCTGTTTTTGAGATTCAGATGAAACCCCGGATAAAATGATTTTATACACTCTGATTTTCAAGACAACTCTGTTGAAATTAAGGTTACCAGTTTTCCAATAGGAAATGAATGCCAGTTTCAAATAATGTACTTATCCAAATGAAGTCATCTACTTATTTTGCATCCTTTTACTTCAGACCGAATTATGGTCCGGCGTCTGTTTCCGGGTCAGCCGGCTGCAGCCTGTGGCAAGCTCCGCATTGGTGACGTCATCATTGCAGTTAACGGAACAAAAGTTATCGGTCTATCACAACAAGAAGCGATTAATATGCTTCGGAAAGAGAAGTCCACTGTTACCTTGGTAGTGAAGCGGGTCCATCCAAATGATATACCAGAAGAGCTTCTAGTTGAAACCCCACGCGAGTCGCTCGATCCAAAATCAGTGCTGGAGAATATTCAGAAACGAATGAGTGAATCAGGTACGGAAAGTTGCTTCTAAAATTATATTAACCAGGAACTTATGTTGCTCTGAATGGCAAAGATTCACCACAGAGAGGTGTTATTACTTCAAGAAATTATGGGGAGTCCTTGTAAAGAATTAACGAGAAATTATGGATTTTCAAAATTTTTGGAGGAAAAGTCCTAAAAATCCAGATTTAAGGATGGTTTGATAAAAGTATTGGCTTGAGCTCCTAAACGAAATTTAAGATTTTTTGCCAGACCTACAACAGTCCAAACAACATTTTGCTTTTCATCTGTTGGATTATTTTATGAATAAGCCTTTAGCATCACAATCTCACAACATCATATCCTTACCCAATCCAGCTCTTACCTCCTTATGTCACTACTCCGTGTTGTAATTGCCCCAATCCTCTTCTCTCACGGTATACTCACCTCATCTTCCCGGTCCTTGTCTCTCCACTCCGGTTTTTACGCTCTCATCCTTCTCAACCCCTTTGCACACTACATCTCGCATGTTTTTGTTTTGTAGCAACAAGGGAAATGCCAGAGATACCTCTTAATGCTACCAACAGTTTTGAGGACACTAGTTCATTGCGGTCCAGAAGTGGCAAGCTTTATAGCACAGACGAAGACGAGATTGTTCCGTATTCGGAAAGCATACAACATGCCGAACCTGAACCGGAACACAAAATTATCAAACAGTTGTCCGCACACGAAGTGTTGGTTCATGCACAGATTTCAAGTCCCAGACCCAAACAACCGAGTTCGGGTGCATCAGTGAATGAAAATTCCAGAGAACCTGCAGAGGACGAATATGAAAACCACGATTTGTCACTGCCAGAATTACCAAATAAAGACGAAACAAGTCTTAGTTTGCCAAGCTACAATATCGAAGACAACGAGGAGTCTCCGGAAAATACAGATAATGAATCCGGTGCACGCGCAGAAGATCAGCTAAGCTTTACATCTTTTACGTCCGCGCATTCAACCAGCCTGCCAAGCTTGAAACCAAGCGATCGGAACAGTAGTCAAGTGGATGCTGCTGATAATATTTCCTGCGGAGGAGCATCAACCACCAGCAAGCCAAGTTCATCCAAAGAAACAGACACTGCTGGCAGCAACCTCGATTTGAAGTCTTCGAAAAGCGAGGCATCTTCGATTCTAGATCGTGAGGTCAAGGAATCAGCTGTTATAAAACACAATCCAGCAGAGCAAAAATCTGAAGGAAAGAAGTTTGAATACTTTGAAGTAACACTGACAAAAGGTGTTTCTGGTCTGGGTTTTACACTGGCTGGCGGCAAGAGCACTACAGGTACACAGTAACACTTTCAAATCTTTAAAAGTCCCTAGTCCGATATTAGAATATTTCTTAAGTTCAATGGTAATTTATCCCTTCATAATTATCTCTGCCTAGTATTGCTTTTAATGTTTTGAGCTGTTGATAATTCAAGTAAATTTGTTTTCCCTTTGAAGCTGGGATTCTTTGTCTGTAACTGCACTTTTAATAGCCATTTGCTTAGATACCCTAGAAAAACGATTCCCTAGCATTTCATTTCTTTATAAGCTTCAAAAGCTTGTGTTACCGTTCTACATCTGCTTTTCGCTACTCTGTTAGATTATTATATTACCCATTTTGTCTTTCTTAAAAGCTATGTTTTCGATTGTTACATGAATTTGGAAAATTTCTCTTAGGTGGCTGTTATATCCGCGAAATCGTATCGGATCCTGCAAAGTCGTGTGGAAAGCTGCAAAGCGGGGATCAGATTGTGTTGGTTGACTCAACCGATATTAGCGAGTTCGAGCATATGAACGCCGTTGAGATCTTGCGTGGAACAGGGAGCAGGGTGAAGCTTGGAATCAAAAGAGAGCCAAAAGCATCAAAGGAAAGAGAAAATACATATGGGTATGAAATGGTCACGCTGAACAGGAATCAGAGAGGCAGGCTTGGCCTTATACTGGGTGAAGAAAACGGAGAGATAATTGTGGAAGACACTGTACCCGAGGAACCTGCTTCCCTGTAAGTATAAGTGGCTTTACGTATAAGAGGTTATATGTATAAGAGGCTCTACATATAAGGGGTTGTATGTATAAGAGGTTGTATGAATGCAAGGTTTTACGTAAAAGAGGTTGTATGCATTGAAGGCTGGACTATAAAGGTTTTCTGGAGGTCCTTCTCTTCAACTGATTTTTCAAAATTATCCATAATCAAAATTATATGAACTATTCTCGTAAAATCTTACTGATGTAATATTTTGATATACGTAAGATACGAAACGAAACCTTAAAAGATACGAAACCTTAAATGATTCCCAATTCTGTGTTCAGAGCTTTTGTTTCTCGACTAGGAAGACATTACGTTTAAGAATTGCTCTGGTATACTCATACTGTTTATTTTAGAAACCTCTCTTACAGTTACAGGCGATCGTTAGGTAAATGACAGTTGCAAATACGATTTTTTGTAGAACGGGTGGCTTGCGTCACGGTGATAAAATTAAAGAAATCAACGAAATATCTCTACAAGGCATGTCTCTGCATGACGCAAATACCATCCTTGAAGAAGCATTTCCTATAGTGCAATTGGCCATTGAACGCCGAAAGCAGGCGGTGCGGGAGTCACGTTATGCTGTAGGTACACCAGGCAGTTCGTCGCAGTTCCGCGCGGAGAAATCAAGTAGCTTGGATCGTGACAATAGCCTAAATGCCGCGCGGAAAATTTCTGGTAGTTTTAACAGGTCTCTGCCGCCATATATCAGAAGTGACAGTTTGAGAAGTGACAGTTCGGTGTCGTCATCGCCAAGGAAAATGTCGATTACGAATTCGCCAGTTTTAAAAAGACTTGATGTTGGGTATAACGGGAGAACGCGAAAGACAAGTAGTCAAGCGGAAAAGGTTTGAATTCCTCTATTTAATATGTACATGAGTTATGTCTTGAGATGACAAAAATATCATTTGATACAATCTTTTGCATGAAAATTTAAAACGGTGGCTGAGTATAAAATATCAAGTAGTCAACGTTATGTATCTAGAAAATAAAATTAAACTCTTTAAAGAGCAATATATCGATTTAGTGTTTATTTAAATATTTCAATAGTATTGCATGATAAAATTGTTTACGTAAGATTATGTTGCTGGTGACAAGAAAGCGTTAGGCATTACTTCGTCAGAAGGAGTGCGTGATGTAAATCTGTGAAACTGTCGTTATCATTGTAAATCGTGGCTTATTATCAGCGAAATTGATATAGCAAAAGCTAAACAAACCTAGCATTGATACACGTATCATCAGGAACCATTGAAGCGGGGGTCTGGTGGGGGTTAGCCCCAGCAAATAATTTCAAAAATGTGATGAAAACCATACAAAAGTTGCCTAACTCTTGGTTTTTAGCCTTTTATCACCCCTAAAAAACTTGCTCCTTCAGCACGTAATATGCTCCGTGGCCTTTGATACATATTGAATTTCTATTTGTATCTCACCAACTTGCATAAATAATTATGTAGTACTTATTCCTACATAATTAGTATAAATTGAAATAATTCAAAGCATGTAATCTTTTTCTGTCATAATTTACGTTTGTTGCCTGTTCCAGGGGGAAATCATTTTGGTGCAGTTAGAAAAGGGCCAAGTTGGTCTTGGCATGAGCCTTACCGGCAATAATGAAGTAGGGGACACAGATGGTGCATTTATTGCCAATTTGAACCCGGGCGGAGCAGCGCAAAAAAGTGGAAAGCTCAAGACAGGCGATAAGATCATTAGAGTAAGTTTGATTTTTTGTACGGAGAATAATTATCATGTAAATAGAGAATCTCTGTTGAAGGCACCATAAAGGCTTTATTGTTAAAAGTAAGAAGTTCTTATTTAAAGCATCAGCATGCCTATGAATTCTGTTCTGGCACATCTTAATTTCTAAGTTTTTTTTGACATTTTTAGCTACTTTTATTTCTCGTTAGTAACTGCCTTCCATCATTTTGAAGGTCAATGGTGAAAATGTTGAAAACAAACAGCAGAAAGATGTGGTTGCATTGCTTAGAAAAGCAAATGGAGTTGTGTCATTAGAGGTTTTCAGGTGAATTACGCAAAACGTTAACTGCTTCGCATAGCACGTAAACTTCTCTTCTTTTTCTTCTTCTTCTCTTCTTCTTCTTCTTCTTCTTCTTCTTCTTCCTCTTCTTCTTCCTCTTCTTCTTCTTCTTCTTCTTCTTCTTCTTCTTCTTCTTCTTCTTCTTCCTCTTCTTCTTCTTCTTCTTCTTCTCTTCTTCTTCTTCTTCTTCCTCCTCTTCTTCTTCTTCTTTTTCTTCTTCTTCTTCTTCCTCTTCTTCTTAATCTTCCTCTTCCTCTTCTTCTTCTTCTTCTTCTTCTTCTTCTACTTCTTCTACTTCTTCTTCCTCTTCTTCTTCTTCTTCTTCCTCTTCTTCTTCTTCTTCTTCCTCCTCTTCTTCTTCTTCTTTTTCTTCTTCTTCTTCTTCCTCTTCTTCTTAATCTTCCTCTTCCTCTTCTTCTTCTTCTTCTTCTTCTTCTTCTACTTCTTCTACTTCTTCTTCCTCTTCTTCTTCTTCTTCTTCCTCTTCTTCTTCTTCTTCTTCCTCCTCTTCTTCTTCTTCTTTTTCTTCTTCTTCTTCTTCCTCTTCTTCTTAATCTTCCTCTTCCTCTTCTTCTTCTTCTTCTTCTTCTTCTTCTACTTCTTCTACTTCTTCTTCCTCTTCTTCTTCTTCTTCTTCCTCTTCTTCTTCTTCCTCTTCTACTACTTCCTCTTCTTCTTCTTCCTCTTCTTCTTCTTCTTCTCTCTTTCCTACCTCTTCTGTTCTTCGTTTTCTCTTCTTCGACCGCCCGCCACTAATTTCTATTCATTGAGCTTCTTCCATTCAAATATGGTGTTGTCCGGTATCTCCACTTCCGTAGTTTCTCTAGCCGCTGAAATAGTTATTTTTCTTCAAAAACTGTAAAAGGCTTATCACATACTCTCTCCGTTTGTCAGGCATCCTGCAAGACCGCGTTTTGAAACAGGGACCTCAAGCATTGCAAGCTCCAGTCATAGCCAAGATAATGACGTCATTTTAGATTTCGATTTGACAGATAGTCACGGGCCTCCCGACGAGGCAGTGCTGTCTGACAAGTTGTTATCGATATTACCAGTATTGGATAAGGAGGATGAGGGATCGAGACAAGTTATGGCATTAGACGATTCCGATATACACCGTCATATGAACCGAGCAGTATCAGCTGAAGAGGAATTTATTGCTGGTGAAATAATGGAATCAATGAATGAGTATGTTAATGGTTCGGAAGAGCACCATGAGAATCTTATAGAAAATCAGGAGCCTGTCGTACCTTTTGATGACCGAAATCGTCCATTGAATGTCCGAAAAAATTCCGATGAAGCTAATCTATCTGTAGGTATAAGGAACGATTTGCCATACTTAGATGATAAGACCAGTGTAGAACCTTTTATGGAAGCTAGCAAAGAAAATAGTGTAAACAAAAGCATTCAAGATTTGTCCTGGAACGACTCTGAGCTTTCTGACGAAGAGCATTTGAATCCTGCAATCGAGAACCAAAACCTTGAAGCTATGACTTTAGAGAAATCAAGTATTTCGACAAACAGTGCGAAAAAGGAAAACATGCATTTGAATCTTAGAAGCGATAGTACCCCAAACGAGGTTTCGACTTCATTTTCGTCAACATTCGAAAAGGTTACGCCATCTTCGTCAATTGTAAGTTCGATGCTAGGCGAAATTTCGCCTGTAGATACGTCAGATGACGAAGACTCGGATTTTGACTTGTCTGCATCGTTAATTCCAGATTTGAGTTCCTTCAAGCCTGAAGATAAAGAGGCTTTTGAAAAATATTTTAATCAAAAACAGGATGTAAAGACTTTAGATATTGAAACGACCAATGAAGATGGTAATAGAAAAGAAAGAGAGACAAATATTTCAGCTTTTGATTACCAAATAGAACTTCAGGAAAGGGAAGATCAAAGTTTAGGCCAAGACCAGCCTGGGGAGCAGATTAGAACTGACCTCGAAAACGAAAAGGAATTGAAAAACCAGGAGTCTATCGACTCTGGGCACGTGACTCAAATTCGCGGAAGTTTCGATCGCAACAGTGAGAATTCGTGGAAAGACGAGGACAATGACGTGTCCCTGGATGATAATGATGCGCAGTCGGATTCTGTAGATATGGAAATGGCGTTAGAAGAATATGATATTCGAAGAAATGAGGAATTCAATGATACTTTAAAAGATCAAATTATGAACGATAGCTCGACTGTTTTGACAAACATTAATGACCAACCCCAGAAATTCGCTCCTGTAAAAAGCGGTGAAGGAAATAAACAGGAAAGTGATGCAGGCCCAGAAAAAAATTACACTGCTGAATCGAAGATACCTAGAATTGACCCAAAAAAGCTATCAACCACGTCTAGTCCGCCACGTAGGTCGCCGGGAAAGAGCGGTATTCCTATTTTCTCGCCTCCATTATCGCCTTCAAAGAATAGGGGCCTACTTGAAATGAAAGAAAAGGGCGATGTTAGAGAGACTCCAGGTGGAAATCCACTGCAGATGGAAACGACATTTTCAGTTGAAAAGTCAGCTGATCAATACAACCAAGGAGACATAGATGATTTGGATATTGGACTGCATACTGATAGCGAATCAAGTTATGATTCTGAAGATGATATTACAATCAATCTTACTGGTGATACACTGGCAAATGATGAGATAGACGCAAGTATTCTACACTACCAGACGATACTAGAATCAGAGCAACTTGATCGTGAATTCCAGGTATGTGATTGGCTTATTGCCTTGGTCGTTGCATTCATGTTATTTAGGCAAAACTCTAGACAGAAAGTTCCCTTGTTTTTGTTATCTTGACTATCCACAGAAAAAAGTCCATAGAAAAATGGAAGCAAGACGTGTTTGTATCTAACTATGCACGTTGTCGATCTGCATTGTTGAGCAAATTTTGTATTGAAGACTGATCTGTCTTTATACGCTAGGCTTCTGCGCTGTTTGAGGCTCTTCCCAAATAGCTAACAGCGTTTCAAACCCTCTTTTTGAGCTGTTGCAGTTTTATAGTTTTGCAATGTTGGTCCAAGGGCTTTTTGTGAGATATACGGTCTGAATACGATACCATACGATACCATACGATACCATACCATACGATACCATACCATACCGTACTATACCATACCATACCATACCATATAATACGATACGATAGGATACGATACGATACGATACGATACGATACGATACGATACGATACGATACGATACGATACGATACGATACGATACGATACGATACGATACGATACGATGCTGTATTTATCCATGCACAGAGAGGCACAGTTGCATGTACCCAACTGAATCAGATTTGTAAAAGAACTGATGGCCGATTTGATTCGATGGCTTTTCTTACAGGAAGTTAAAGATGTGAGGTCTGCAGATTCTTGTGATGTAGCCAGAAGATCTGTTAACAGGGAGAAGAATAGGTTTCGAAGTATATTGCCTTGTAAGTCAAACTTTGTAAAGACAAAAACTTTTATTGAAATGGATTATAATCTACGCTCTTAGATTAAGTCAGCATACAATTCTAATATACTATTACTTGTGAAGAATATTGAAAGAAGTTGCAGAAGGGTTATTTCTTTAAAGTAGAGACCTACAATAACTGTTTGGAAGCTTCTCACGCTTTAAGACTGCTTTTAAGTTGAAAAAACGATGGTATGGTAGGGAGACTGCTCACAGATTCCAAAAAGTTCCGAACTGTGTCGTCTAACAATGAATATATTGTTTTATTTATGTATTGTTAGTTGAACGGCCGTCTCAGCAAAGTAAAAATCTACATTTGCAAGTATTTTGCAGTATAGTAAAAATTTCAGCTAGAGAATGTTGAAAATATGTTGATTGCACAAATACTTTGCAATGACCAAGCACTACTAATTGAGGTTTTTTCTCACTAGTTGACAAAACGAGAGTCTGTCTGGCTGGTGGAGAAGAAAGCGACTACATTAATGCGAGTCATGTCAAGGTACCATGTTTTTTTTGTTACGTAGTAGGCCCCTTTGATAAGCTTTGATAAGAGTATATCTCTTTATCTCTTTCTCTCTCTTTTCGCTTTTTTCTGTTACCCATCTATCTTCCAAGAGTTTTACATCATTTCTAATCAATGCACAGATCTTCCCACGTTTTTGTACCAGCCCCGAATTTCTTCATGCCACCCTTTATCTGGTCCATATATTTAGCTTCGGGTGTCGCCCCTTTTAACCATATTTGTTTCATCACACAACTAACATTTGGTACGCACTGATAAACCATTATGTGTCCTACCCATTTCTTTTCTTCCTACAATTATAACTTTTCAATTCTTTATATACTTATTATTTCGTTGCGTAGTATCAAATTTTGTTATTTACTGTCTTTTGTAAAGCATTGCATGTATGATCAGGTGACTCTTGATTATGCCTATTAGCCCAAAGTAATTTATTCGAAATTTTTAATTTATGTTTCCCTTTCTATTGCTTCTGGTATTAAAAGTATTTTTTTAAAGCTTTTCAAAAATTTCGAGCAAATAGAGCGATCACAAATACTTTTAAAGATACACATTATGTTAATACGTTTTTGTAGCCCATAAATTTCTGAGAATGATCTTAACGGTTATTCCAGTGGTCATTTGTAATTCCTAATAAGAATAGCCTTTACAAGTGACGAGGTATCAACCAATGTTGGTTTGAGTGTTATGTTGAAATTTTATCACCTTCAGTGCCATAATGTTTTCAGTAACAAAGCAATAAAGCAATATTTTTCTTTAGGTTCAAGCAAATGGGAAACAGTTCTCTTACATTGCTGCGCAGGTGAGCAATCCCAGAATACATTGCAGTCAGTCACCTTACCGACAAGGAACCGAATTTCGTATCCCACCTTTCATTCATCCTGCTATTGCATAGAAAATTTTAATCTATATTCGAAAGGGTGACAGAATTTCCTAGGGCCTAAAATATTCAATTAGAGACATAGAAAGAAAATATTCAATGAGAGAAAATATTCAATAAGAGTTTTTGATAAAGTGTCACCGGAATAAGATTTATATTTGGAGGGGGATAGATTGCCCATTTGTTTGCTTCTTACTTCTTTCTCAGTTGTAATGAAAATAGCAAACAATTTTGCAATATTTTTGGGACAGCCTTCCTTCTGACTACCCGTGGTATGTTTGACAGAAGATTTCTTCTGGCGGTGTTGCAGGGAAAATATTCTTTCAAGTTCTGTAAGTCACCGCTTTAAAGAAATAGACATGAGAACCAAGATAGAGAATATTTTCCTCTTTGAAGAAACCAGTTAGCCTGGCTCTTTTCCAGATAGATCAGTTACATAAAATATTTCATACTTAACTCATCCATATTCGTTTTTCTGGGTATTCTCGTTTACTATGCAAAAGTATCCTTCAATTTAAGGATTTTTTTCACAAGAGAGTATCATGCAGAAAAGAGTTTCTAAAAGAACATATAAGAACATTTAGAAAAGTATTCTTACATAAAAAAAACTAGACAGCTTGATATACAAATTTGAGTTTCTAATAACTAGAGACTTACTGTATCATTCTGGCCATCTGCAATAGGGCTACCATTGGTAAATATACGTTTTTTGCAGGAAGCATATTTTAGAGTAAGCCTGGCGCAAGCCCAGTGTGTTTCGTCTCATATTCGTTCACAGCGATTAATGTTAATCTGTGCAGTGTATCTGTATTCTTAAACTTTTCATTTCCGGTCGCAGGGTCCACTCTCGAATACTGTAGATGATTTTTGGCGACTGATTTGGGAGCAGAGGGTTGAGACTGTCATAATGGTAACAAAGGATGTGGAAGGTGGAAAGGTACAAAGCCTTGCAAATACATGTAGATTGAATTTCGCTCCTTTTCAAAGACTTTTTCATGCAGGGTTCTTTGTTTAAAACTCTTCAGACTTGATACAGTGCTCCTTATCTCATGTTTTGAGAGCTCTTCCCACAGTTTTTTTAGAATATTGTGCCTTTTTTAATTAAGTTTCGTTTTCTTGAAAGTTCGGTTTCCCCTTTTTTTAAATTGTTCAGAAAGTGCTCTCAATTTCTCTGATTATTGACAGACCTGTGATACCTTTCTCTTTGAATCTGCAAGCCGTCGTTCCTTTTTTTAAGATTTGTGGGATGCCTTTGGTAATTACTTCAAATTTAAAGCCTGTTTTTAAAGGTTTTGTTGTAAAATTTGTATTTTTCATAATCTTCTTTCAGCCAATTTTTCATTTGTCTATATCTTAACAACACTTTCGTTGAGCGTTTTTATCGATTTCTTTATAACTTTATATCTTCCTTTCTTATGAAAAATCTTCTAGAAATTTACCAAGAATTAAGGTGACACTAGCCAACCAAATCCGAACATCCCTCGATGAAAATTCTGGTATTAAAACTCTCCTTACAAGTTTTTCTTCTATCAGATAATGGGACCCATTTTTCATGTCAGGTGAAATGTCATAGATATTGGCCGGATCTGCCTGGTCTCGTCATGAAAGCCTCCGATAGGTAAATTGCATTTAAATTTGTGTATGTAGTTGAGATGCTGGTAGCCTGAATTGTATCATGTAGTTTCAGCACTGTCTGATAGGTTTTCTGAATGAAGGGGGCGGGCAGTTGGTCACGTTGGTGCCAAAATTTCCAAGTAAAACATTAAAGGCATTTGACATGCATCAGTACAGCGAATCCAAAAATAACTTAGGCCAAATTGATCAGAGCACGCGCACAAGAAAAGTATTGAAAACCGCTTACGTGAAACCACTGCGCGCTGCTCTAGGATTTCACCGATTTGCAGAAAGACGGAAACTGTTCACGTGTTTATTATTGTGTGCAATTTGATTGGTCAATCGTTCGTGGTCGAGTGGCTGTAAGCCACGTTTACCTGTGTCAAATGCTTTTAAGTCGTCCCTAAAACACCAAATTTATTTGCATCTACACCAGCTAAAGCTTTTACACATCTGCACCATGTTTGTGTGTGTGCGTGTTTGTGTGTGTGCGTGTTTGCGTGCGTGCGTGCGTGCGTGCGTGCGTGCGTGCGTGCGTGCGTGCGTGCGTGCGTGCGTGCGTGCGTGCGATCTTCAAGAGTGCCAAGGGTATTTTGCAATTTCATCTGAAAGGCAGTCTGTTCCCTAGTGTGGTCAATTTTATTTTCATGGGATTGAAATTCACGCACCGTTAAGCTCGATCGATAAATAAACCAATCAGAGACAAGTTTGATTCCAGAGCTTTTGAATCAAATATTTTTAGCTGGGCAAAGAAAATACTAAAAGCATTTCTGACCTTATCAGACCTGTTTATGATTTTTTTAAGGAAATTATGCCTGTTCCATTTCTTTTATTTTTCAATCATAGTTATATATTTATTAAACTATACCTTTGTTACGGCCTTAATCATAATTCTGGATTTTAATATGGAGTGGATACATATGTCTGTCTAACTGTCAGTTTGTCTATCTGTGAGCCAGATTTTCCCAATTTTAGCATCAGATGTGGTTGATTTAGAAAAGGAACTGTTTACGGAAATGTGTTTAATCCCATATTTTTATGTATAGTATTAATAGGCTCTTTGCAGCTAGGCGTCACGTGCTTGGTTACCGCATAGAAACGCCTCACTGGAGAGCATGAGATCCAGCGGCCTATACGTAAACAATACGATCGCACGTTTTCTTCGTGAAAATTCTGAGTTTATTCGTAGATTTTGAAGATATGCCAGCATATTTTATCCTTTTTGAAATATAACATAGTCTTTTTAAGCTTTTTACTGCTTTTTTGGCGTTTTCCCGTTGGTTTTTGTCGTCACTTAGTAGTAATAGGTAAATCACCACAAGCTTCAATAGAAGGTTATGGAACAAACGGTAGGCCGATATTTTTGTATTTTATTTTCTTCCATTTCTCTAGCTTTGATGTAATGTCTTGGCTAATTTATTAAACAATTTTTGATTTACGCCAATAATGGTTTTTTACCAGAAGGTATACACAGTAGTGTAATTTGACCTTTAAGACTAAGGGGTACGGGGTCATCATGATGAAATTTACCGACGAAAACATTGATGAAGAGAATTTTAGGTGCTATTTCACCCACCGATAGCGATTTTACCGGGAAACGACGAAGATTTTTTGAACGAAATGAAGAATTGCCATACACTTGCTGACCTGGGTGTGACTCTCACTGCCAGGTAAGCTTGTACATGGAAGCTCGTAAGGAAGTGATGTTGGATCAAGTTGGCAATTCTTCTCGAGTTAGTCGGTAAATCTTCAGTTCGTCCACAGATCGTAACCCATCGCTATAGGTGGTTTAAATTTTATCATTGATCAGTGGCGTACCCAAGGAGTGGAAAAGGGGGGTCTGGACCCCCCCCCACTTTTCTAAAATATGGTCTGCAAGATTCGTCCAAAAAAGATGTAAAACTCATTGGGGGGTGTAGTGTACCGTATGCTTGTGTCAATAACAATTGTAAAGTACTTTGCTATTTACCGTAGCTTAAATGAATCAAATAATGAGGGGAAATTTTGCAAAAAGGGCGTTTCCCTGCATTTGCGAGTGGTTGAAGGGCGTGGTCAAAAAATTCTGGGGCTATGCCCCAGACCCAACCCCGCTGCTGCAGCCCTGGGTACGCCACTGTCATTGATGACCCCCGCATCCCCCTAGTCTTGAAGGTCAAATTACACTACTGTGCGTACCTACTGAAAAACAACTATTAATTATTGTAAATGAAATTAGTTTAATAAACTAACCAATACATTAAATCCAAGCTAGAGAAACGGAAGAAAATAAAATACATAAATATCGGCCTACCGTTTGTTCCATAACCTTCTATCGAAGCTTGTACTGATTTACCTATTACTCAGTGACGAAAAAAATCCAACAGGAAAACGCCAAACAAGCAGTAAAAAGCCTAAAAAACTATATTATATTTTAAAAAGGGTAAATTATGCTGGTATATCTTCAAAAACTGCGATTAAACTCTGAATATTCACGAAGAAAACGTGCGATCGTATTGTTTACGTATAGGCCGCTGGATCTCATGCTCTCCAGTGAGGCGTTTCTATGCGGTAGTCAAGCACGTGACGCCTAGCTGCAAAGAGCCTATTGTCATCCTTTTCGATTGAAACAACGTGTCTCATCCCCAGAGTCCCGTATAGATGGAATAGAGATATGGCTAACAAATATATGACAAAAATATGACAAAAATGCGCGCTTTTCTTTGTTCTCCTATATCTTTCTTTGTTATCCCAATGTTTTTAACCCAATGTTATCCCAATATTATCCCAATGTTTCTATCCCAATGCTTTCTTAATGTTATCCCAATGTTTCTATCCCAATGTTTCTAACCCAATGTTATCCCAATATTATCCCAATGTTTCTATCCCAATGCTTTCCTAATGTTATCCCAATGTTTCTCTCCTAATGTTATCCCAATGTTTCTATCCCAATGTTTCTATCCCAATGTTTCTATCCCAATGTTATCCCAATCTTTCTATCCCAACCTTTCTATCCTAATGTTATCCCAATGTTATACCAATGTATACTGTTTCTAACTGCTATTAGATATAACCTGGTAAGCAACTTAACGATGGTAATCTATAATCACTGTAATAAAATTGTTCCCGTGCTCTACAAATCTCTCTTCTTCACGCTCCCAGGTCTCTCTAACATATATGTCCTGAAACGTGATTAAGTCGCATGTCTACTACACTACACAATGTAGTTTCATTTTGTTGATTTATCAGCAAAGTAGAAAGAAATTATTGTTGTATCTAACTTCTACAATCTTTTATTTTTTACCAGATTCAAGATCGACTTGGTACATAGAAAGGAGTCTGGCAATTACATCGAGAGACAGTTTTCTATTTTAAACACTAAGGTGAGAGAATCTATTATCATGAAAGCCTTTGAGACTGAAAGTTTCACCGTCACCCCAAACACTCCATAGAAGGTTTTAGGGTCATACAGTTTCTTAAAGCTCTAAATTGAAAGGATCTCTATACTAAATTGATACCATCTGCAGATTTTTGAAGCCAGACGCTAAGCCGATTTGGGTCACCCTTATCTTGAACCCTGTGCTATACTCTACTAAATTTTTTCATGGGTGGCGTATTGTAGTGTAAGTATAGGGATCTGAAGTTGAATCAGTGTCATTTCACTTCAATAATATGAGATTATGTTAGCAATTTAACTGTAATAACTTTTTTTTTAATTCCGAGTTTTTTTATTTGAAAACTAGACATAAATGTTTACTGTAAAACAGCGTCAAATCGATAACAAGGCACACATTGGTAACAACGGATGTGACACATTGAGAACAGTGAGGTGTTTATCCTGTAAGATAATTCATATCATTGAGCAGCTGACTCTGAATTATGTCTTCTTCCGGAAACACTTCTGCACGTTGTTGCTGGGTGCAAAGTGTTTCCGGACCAAGGCCGCTAAAAATAGCGTAATAATCCCGCATTAAACTTTTTAGCCAGTTCCTTTAAAGATATAAATGTAGCTGCCTATTCGCAGATATACTAAGCTTTCTTTCTCCTTCTATCATAACTGGAGACCAGCTACGTCCTGGTTTACTTTTCAAAACCAAGTAAAACAGTCATTCAAAACCAGCTCTTTGTTTCAAGCTATCTGAAAAGATATCAAGCAAATTTGCTCAAAGGTGTTTTCAGCATTTAGAGTCTTCAAAAAGCTTTAGCAATAACATTTGATTTTATCTAATGTATATTAATACATTAAAAGCATATGCTTCATTAGAAGATACACCTGACTCTTTCAAGGTTGATCATATTTACCATTAATTTTGAAATTGAGCACCGAAACGCTCGTTTCCTGACTTTATTCATAAAAAATTTGAGCAAGAAGCGCATATATGTTTTTGCTTAGGGTATTAGAAGGAACCCTGGTAAGCTTTCAATCTACAAATCTACAACATTTTTTACTTACAAAATACCTTGAATATATTTCTTTTCAACTTTTAACTTTCCTTTTCTTCCTGTAATATTTGTTTTGGTCTTGACAAGTTCTTGTTTTGATGGCAGTTCCTTTTTTTACAGCTCAATAAATCAGTCACGGTGAACCATCTGCTATACACAGCATGGCCTGAAGGTGGAGTTCCAAAGGTTTGAAATGCTATATTTAGTACTTGAGATCGCGTTTGGTAGTGCCCTTATTTCTACCTAATGAAAGATGGATATATCTTTTAACATGACACAACTGTCATTTTTCTCACCAAATGCGTCTGCTCCATCAGACGTTTAGTCAATCGGCTTATAGAAAATGTCCCAATCGTTAACATTGGAACTTTTGGTGCAAATTTTCAGACAATATTCTAGTGACTCATGCTAATTGCAAACCTGGTTAACTGTACAAACCCAAAAAGACATTAAAAATCTACTTATCAATGTATGCGGCTTTAGTCGGGGAGATTTCTTAGAGACTTAAACTTGTAATGTGAGATACAGTAGACAAATAAATTCATTACTTTAGCTTAATTCAATAAAACTGTCTACTTTAGTTCACATATGTTTAATTTGACTTGAAAGAAAGTATAAGTGATGGAAAGCTGCAACCCTAAGCATATTTTCTATTGAGAGAAATGTCTATATACATGGTTCGTCGTATGCAAGTATTGTCCATATCAACCCCATTAAAGTTTGAGCGTGTGTTTCCTGATATCAGAGGTGACTACATTCAACTGGTAGATATTGAAAAATTTTGTCCCCTATCTGTCCAAAATTGTAACAAAAGCAAAACTGACGGATATCAGAGAATATTTAGAAGAAAAGTCAGCATTTCTATGGCTCAGTAGTTAGGGTTGGGGACTAATGATCCAGGGATCTGAGGCTCGAGTCACTGAGATTACGACACTTTCCCTTTGAGCTAGGGGAGTCGCCAGCTCTCTGTAATTCCAGGCGTAGGAATGACGAGTTGTGGTCACATCCTGAAGAAAGACCAGGACACTTCTTAATGAGCATAGCCTCTCGGTGTCCTAAAACTACCTTTAGGAGCGAGGAAGTGGCAAATACAACTACATTAAAGTTTAATACTGTTAGCCGATCTGCTGTATAGCGCTCCATGTTTTATAGACACGCGCCGATAGTTTATCGCTTTAAGCGGAGAACTCACAAATAAAGCGTCCTATATTTGAAAAATTGTCGCGGTTACTAGTTAAGGCATTGCTAAGCTAACATGGAGATCTGCAAATTGTAAATATTTATAAACTGGAAATTTTAGCTTTTTGTTGTTACAAAACATGCTTACTATGTCAAAAACCGGTTGGGAGTTCACGGTATCTGGAAACTGCAATCGAATTCGCAATTACTAGAATTTATGGAAAATTGCGTAATCATGCAAGTTTTGTGCTTATTCAACCCTGTCACTTCATACAGTTAGGTTACTATATTTCTTGATATGATGCAATTCTGCTTTCATAACATACGGGGGATCTTTTTCTTATATTTTCAAGTCCAATTAGCTTGCAGACACCGTTTAGTTCAATCTTTCCCTTGCCTGTTTGTTCCAGGAACCTTTGCCGTTTTTGATGTTTGTTAAATATGCCATGGAAGTACACACCACTGGGTCACTGCTAGTCCACTGCAGGTAATGAGTGCATGCACTTCTGAATTACTTGCCGTCATTTGCTCCTGCCATTGTTGCCTTTATTCTTATTCAAACAATTCTTTTATGCTCATCAAAATTTACACAACCCTGTGGCCATAAACAATTAACTCAAAGTCTATTCCAAAAATGATACTAGAGGAAGCGCCCAGGGGAATAAATATATGCCAGACGAGCCTCCAAAAACAGGTTGCATGTTTATATACACCCAGCTACTCAGCATGTTTATATACACCCAGCTAGCAAACAAGATTTAATAGCAGGTAACTAAATTTGATAGTCTTTCCCATTTTATTTACCGTTATCATCATTCTTAATGTCCTTCTTTTTATACTTAATATTAGGAATTTTTATAAATTCTTCAAAGCTGGTCAACGTTTTGAATCCATGTCCTAGACATCTTTCACAAACTAAATTCTTTGGTTATTTTCATATACTGCAAGAATTTTCCCAAAGCTTAGAACCAGGCTACGATGCCCTATGCTTTTTTTATCAGGCTCGTTGTTTTGCTATTGCTTTGGGGCTTTTTCTATCAATATTCCTAGTTTGGCAAACTCTTTTCTGAAAATTGAAGATGATGCAAAATCTTTCATCCTGTCTGTAAATTTGGTGGTTTATTTTCTAGTGCTGGGACAGGTAGAACAGGTTTATTTATCATCACAGATGTTCTGAACAAGCTTGTGTCCACGGATCAAAAGGTGAGTAATTTCCTTACAGAATGAGACTTGACTTTATTTATAAGGTCAAAAAATATATACTAAATCCAGTTAGAAGTAGATTTTATGCAGCTTCGATCCAGAACAGACATTGTTGAAACTTCCTACCCCCCTCCCCCAGGTCAATGTTATTATCAAATACATACGTCCCATCTTTTTGAAAAGGGGAGGGGGTATGCCGTTTGTGCATTATTTGCAATGAGTAGCGTTTGCCTCATCAGTTGTCCCCAGGTAAGGCTTGTAGGTATATTTATGGCTGATGCCGAAGTTATGAAAATACAAGTGCAAAGGGACGATGCCAGATAATGCCATGCTAAATTACTGCACTCTTTTACTTGATTATAAACGTGTTTAAGAATCGGGGACGGATTTACCGTGGGGTATGAGGGATGCAACCCCCCCCCCTAATATTGTTGTGTCCTTCGGTAAATTTTCCTCCTATTCGACAAAAAGCATTTTCTAATAGTAGTCAGTAGTAATAAAATGATGCCAAAAATTACTTGTTTGTCTTCTTATCCTCTTTACTTTAATTTTAAAAACTGGATTTTAGAAATGGGCGTTTCCTTTATTTTCCAGGCACCTGAAGGGTATTGCATCTAAAATTGTTTTCTAACACCCCTTACCAATTTTTGTCGCTAAAATCCTTCCCTGCCATTAGTTGTTACAATATTCATGGCGTCAATTATAGCGTTTGAGCGAGCTTGAACGCTGAAAACTTTAGGCCAATGTTGTTTCGTTAATCATACATGCTTTCAACATATGTTAATTTGATTTTAGTTCAATATATTGGACATGGTGAAAACATTGAAGCATCAGAGACAATCCTTAATACAAACAAAGGTATGTTTTTTGTTTCTTCGACTGATGTTCTTGTTACTGATATTTCATTGAAGAAGAGATCTTTTGACACCACTTTTAATTAACATTATTTTTGACACAAATTCTGGACATGGCCATGACCCCCTGATTATATCAACAACCCCCTCCCTTACTCCTGATCTAGAGTACATATATTGAAATGTCCATGTGCTGCGTCTAAGTACTTGTAGTTTTTCATCCTTAAAATCTTACTCTTTTAGCTAGTGAACTTTTCTTCTAAGATACACAAACTTTTCTCGGAGTTTTTGTTAAACAAAATTTGGGCTGACACTCGAAGTACAGGGTTTTGATTCTAAAAACGTTACAAAATTGTAGAAAATTTTCTATAGTTGATTTAAAGTTCACTTTAGTTCATGTTTAGATGTTTAACTGTGATTAAAGAGTAAAGAATGCAATATATGTATGTATGTATAGCCTTTATTTGTGAAAATAACTAACTTGATGATGGCAATTTTTCTCACAGGAACAATACACATTTTGTTATCGGATGGCTGTTGAAATCTTGCGAGAAGAGAAACACCTTACATATTGATTGCAAAAGCGTATGTGTTCAATGCAGAGCTTCCAGGTTGCTAATTGATTTGTTCCCCGCTGGTTTGTTTACCGGCAGATGTGACAGTTTATATGAGTGCCAAAGTGCACCAAAAGTGACAGAGTGCCAAAATGGAGCAGGTATCTATATTGTCTGAGTGTCCACATTCTGTATCTAATGCTTCCACCAAAGAAGGGGAACAGAATTGAGTAACCGGCAGTAAGAAGACTTGTGCCGAAAATGTTTTGGTAAATTCCGTTATAGCTACTGTATACTGTTACATTGCAGTTAAAGTTGGTACATTATCGTCAGTTCCATTTGCACAAGACTTAAGAACATACAGAAGAAGTTGTATTGTCTGATTAGCATGTAATATCGATCATTCTGAGAATAACAGTCAGCAACACAGGAGGCACTAAGCCGATCATGCGGCATCAAATTCAGGCATCAAGGCCTGATGCAGCCACGTACATAATTAGGTAGATAGCAAATCTCTGTGGAGGAGTGGCTATTTACAAATTGCATTCTGCATGTTTAAGCGATAATCATCAATGCCATTTGTTTACGCGATAATCAGACAACTGCGGTTGGATTCATTGGTAGCATAACATATTTAAGGATTTGATATCATTTGATCTAATTTTCCGGATTTCAGCAGCGAATCTGTGACAAACAAACATGCTAAGTTTAATCAACGAATAACCACAGCTCAAGATTGAGCAATTTTTTCAAAAGAGAAATACCGTTTCTTAACTTGTTTGTCAGCAGCTAGTTGTCGATCTGTCACAGTGCAGAAACCTTGCATGGTTTAGTATTGCCCATCGCCATTTTGTTACCACAGTTTTTAATATAACTTGGATAATAGACGTACCACAGAAAGATTGGGACAAGAAGCGAACTTCTCTTAATGGTCAGAGTAGGGGAGTTTTGAGGGAGGGGCCGTGATTAATAGAGACCTAGGATTTCTCCAAAAGAGAATTTTGATAAAGAAGTTTACCTTTCTCAACTGCATTTCCATCCAATTCCAAGAGCAAATTATAAGTTAATGCCAGTTATCCTTTAAACAGGAACCTACCCCTCCCTTCACCAACAGGGGTATTATTCCTCTCACAGAGGCTCGTCAACCAATGGGAGACCAACTTTTGATTGATCACTCTTGGTCCAAGGTAGTGTTTCATGCCGACTACTTATCATTTTTCATCCATTTAGCTTTTCAATTTGCTATTTTTATCTAGAAAAAAGTTTAGGCCTAAGATATCATGATATCATAGATGTGACAAAGTTTCCCTGTCTGAGCAGATTCAATGGTTATAGTTGTGTATCCTTGTATTTGGCTTGTATATATTGGCTAAAATGTCATGGCATAGATCCAAACTGGCGATAGGTACCTCGAAGACATGGCGAAGAGCTCAAGAGCATTCAGTGAAAACGCTTTTATCCATACCGAGTCAGGTATCCGAGTCCGGAATAACATGTTCCTTTATGGTTACTGGTCCGGATCCAGATGCTTTTTCATGCTAATCGATCCTGGTAGATTTTGCTTATTATGAAGTTAAGATTATTTAAACTAAATATTGGGTCCCTGCCTCGTTCCATTACAAATATTTTGTAAACTGCAAGTTTCTCCTTTTTCTGTGATTTTTACTAGAATTTTTAATCTTGCGAACAATTTTAATAGCATAAATGATAATGATAAATATTAATTTTAAACAAAATGGGTATATCGTGTTAGTGATTGATAGATTTTTGTAGATTTCTCTTCTTGTATATTTATTTAACAAATTATGTTGATCAGGTTTTCTTTAGAATTTTAGGGTGCGTAATAAACGCGTTGTACATATTTATATATATTTGCGATAGCGCTTGTTAGTGAACATTTGATAACAGATAAGAAAGATTTGAGTGAATTTATCAATGTTGCTCTTTGCTGTTGCATTCATTTGATGCCCGCCTTGAAGATTGTCGCACGAATCCTTTCATTTGAACGAAGCTTGCAAACGGAAGTTTCACATGCTTAGTTGATTTGACCTGGGTTAAAGGTTTCTTTTAGCAAAAAACGATAACAGATAAAAATTGCAAATGTTTTCAAACCTTTAAACGTCTTCGTTAATTTCGGAAAGGTTTCTCAAAAAATTATCGTCACAAAATCAAATGTCCACCCCACTTTTTTTAAAATCGACTTTCTAATTTTTCCAAAACTGGATTAAAAGCATTAGGGGGGGAGGGGTTGTTGGTTTTTTCTCTGAGATCGGAACTTTTTTCATTTTGATTGTCAGTACGGTTCTTTTCAGATCTTAGCTGACATAGATTAGGTGTGTTGGATCGTCAGTTCCGTAGATTAGCATCGGTCGAGGTATGGCAGATTAAATAGAGAAAGGAGTCTCGTTAATATGTTTAAAATCATTGCTAGCTAAAAATACCACTCTGAAATTAGCTTTGATTTGCCCATGGAATTTAACTCTTCTATTGAGGGTTTCAAAATATGTCAAACTTGGTTAACAATAACGAGCGCGATTTCTCTTGCGGTTTACCCAGACCCCTTTATCACCTCCACCCCTTCATTGCCCACCCCACTGTTTTGGGGCTGGCGCCGCCACTGATCGTTTGGCCGGGGTTTACAATGATGGAAAGGGTTTTATAATTCATTTATAGAAGACTGAAAAATGAACAGACCAGATACACATTCTTTCCATATTCGCTTGACGTCACCATAGGGAAACGGGGATAATGTGAATTCGTCTTCGTCGATCCCCTGTGGTGTATGTTTTCAAGATGACACCCCAAGGCCCAGAAGAGAAGACCTCGAGTGCAAAACGGAAATACTGTCTGCTGAAAGGTAACAATTTGTCTGCTCAAACCTACTTTCAAAAGTTTGTTTATTTGTCTTTTTGCGTCATTTTAGCTTTTCTTTAGTCCTGGAATTCGAAGCGATTCGAACAAACATTCCGCTACTACACAACCAGTTTGGAATCCATGTAGCTTACGCCAGAGATATCCGGCGTGAGATAACAATTTTCCATCGGTTTTCTATCGCTTATCGTCGTATATCCGGCGTGAGCTTTACATGGATACCATTCTGGCTACACAACTATGCTTAAAGGGTCAGCTCTTAAAAGGAACCAAGCTTTTTTCATATTTGAATGACCTTAACCCCATCAAGGGTGCAGTTTGGGGGTCAAATGTTGATAAGCCCCCCCCCCAAAGCTTAGCAAGTGAGTTTTTTAGAATGGCACCCCTGATAGTCAATATTGTATTGAACAGTTGTGCAGCTATAAATATTTTAAACATTTTTTAATTTATTTATATTGTACTCTTAATGCACAAGATCTATTGTTCTACCTAATTAGCACTCTTATTTCCATTGAACTCACTATTGTTCCTCCTTTTACCATGTGTGAGTCTCAAGCAGAATGTGTGTATACATATACAGGTTGCCAGCTTGAAACCTCATTCAACTTTATTTCTGGCCATCCTGAAGCCTTGTCGCAATGGAATATATTACTATTCCTTTTTTCAAAATTTAGTATCCAACATGTACAGATTTTCTGCTAAAGTGTTTCCAAATCAAAAATCTTCTGGTGTTCTATCTCCCAACATTGCTAAAAAAGACCCTTGTTGTCTTCTTGTGCCAATGCCCATGTTTAGTGGCTCATGTACTAACCTTTGATTAAAGATTGGAAAAAACATGAAAATTCGTATTTTCAAGCTCAGTCCAGTTCTGTTATGGTATTCTTCTTCATTTTCCATTATGCAAAATCTAAAAATTAGATACAGAAGTACAGCCTGAAAAGAATTAGTTATATTGATAAGGCTACAATTTGGTAGAAGTTCAAAAGGGCAGGAACAGCGAAATTTTAGACATTTTTAAACTGATTAATCAAAAACACCATTTCCTGTTAGCTGTGTCATCTATAGTTGCTTTGATGTGGATTATTCAAACTTGTCAGCTCACACTCTTGATGGTATTCAGGACCACAACACCCCCTTGAACTGTAAGGGTTTCCTTCAAATAGTTGAGACAAAGAGGTTCCCACAAAGCAAAGAGGCTCCTGTTATGCTTTGGCCATCTCAGGAACAGCTAAATCTTTTTATCAAACCAGTTACTTAAATTTAAATTTACAAACAAATGATGAGCTAAGCAAAAGTAAGGTGTTAATTCATTTAGTTATACTTGAAAATAAGGTGACCGGAACTATAATTATCTAATCCTAGGCTATTCCTGATACAGAGCACAATATCCAGTCAAGGCCTGGATTTTTTATTAAAATACCATTTCACCATTTCCTCATTAAAGAAAAGCTAAGAATGACATATTTTGTAAAAGCTATTAGCATGATCTTAATAATTTCAGAAAATAAACTCCTGGATTGCAAAAAAGCTAAATTTCTTTGTGGCATTTCTAGAAATGTTTTCTGCTTATAAACCTTTTATAAACACCAATAAACTGTTTCCATTTCACAAGAATTTTTTCGGTTTGAGGTTTCATGCAAGAACTAGTGCATGACATGAATTTGAGCACCCCTGGCCTATTTATACCTGCATCAGGGGTTTGTTTTGGCTTAAAAAAACAACTTGATGTTTTCTTTCCTGGAAGAATTAGTTTGAAACATGGTTTCTGTAATATTTTCAATTTTTCAGTGAAATTAGTTCAACTGTTTCAGTGAACCATTTTCAGCAAGCCTCAAGTAAATAAGTGAATCTGTACAGCCCTTCATCTGAAGAATAATTCTGCACTTGTGATGAGTCTGGTGTGCTATTGTAATGTTCAAACCGGTTCAGGTACCGTGGAGCAGGAGGGCTGGGAGACCCCCAACTTTTTTTCAAAAATGCAAATAATTTACCAATGAATCACCAGTCAAGCCTGTTTTTAGTCGCTTTTAGCCCCCACTTCATTTAGAACCCCAACTTTTCTCAATGTTCCACAGTGCCTGTTGTTCCATGGTGCGGTGTCACAGTGGCAGCACGATAGGGGAACTAGGGGACATACCCCAGTTCTCAGAAGGATTCGTCTTTTGAATCAAGTGAAGAATGAAATAATGAAAAGTAAAATCATTTTGTGATGTGACTCTTTAGGAACTGACACAATGTTGTCAAACACTTTGGTATGGTCTCTTCGTTAATGAATGCTTCCTTGCTTTGAAAAGGGCTTGAAACTTCCATTTCTTTCCCCCTACATACACACAAACAGTGGTGACTGGCAGGTCCACCCGGTGCCATTCAGAAATTTGATGAGCGGGCCCCTCTTAAGGAAAAACTTAATGCATCAATCTGTATCCATACGCGTAAGTTTTGCTGAACCGAAACAATGGCCATACCATCTAATTTCCCTGGGTCCCCTACCGAATGAACAGCTCTTCGCATTCAGTTATTAAAATCGTCTCAAGGAAAACTAGGCCATGCACATCATCGACGATATCAAAAATGACAAGAAGACTACTGAAAATTCTGATATTAAAACGAAGATTCAGAGGCAGCTGTACTTTAGAAAGATCAGGTTGCAGAATAGCGGTAAATCGAATAACATATCACTGGTTTGCATGTAAAGGGATAGCCCACATTACTAACCCTTTCACAGTCTTAACAATTTAGGCCCTTCTCTTTCAAGTCTTCAGTCTTATCACAGACTATAAAGCTCTGGGAACGGTTAATAGGGGAAAGGATTGAGAGTGAGACCGAAGTTTATGAAAACCAATTTGGATTCATTAAAGGAAGGCAGACATCTGACGCGATTTTTGCACTGAAACAAGTTTTAGAGAGATGCATTCATAGACCTCGAAAAGGCATATGATCGGGTCCCTAGGTCGGAAGTTTGGCGATGCATGAGAGAAAAGGAGTAAGTGAAAAGTATGTGCATCTGGTACAAGATATGCACGATGAGGTTACGTCATATGTTCTGTGTTGGCAACTCGGATGAGTTAATGATCAGGGTCGGACTGCATCAAGGCTCTGCTCTCAGCCCTTTTCTCTTCGATCTCATAATAGATGTCATTAGTGAAGGAGTTCGGAGTGAAGCCCCGTGGACCAAGCTGTTTGCTGATGATATTGTGACAGTTTGTGAAACTGAAGCGGAACTTCGAAGGCGACTATCAAGATGGAAGAGAGCTTTAGAAGAGAAAGGTTTTAAGATAAATAGAACGAAGACGGAATATCTTCAGTTTAATGACTTTGAAGATCTTGGCGACATGAGAATGGATGAGGAAATTATCAAGAAGATTGGGGACGCATGTGACTGAAGATGGGGAGCTCGACGTGGAGATAAACCATCTGATCCAATGCGAATGGAACTTTTGGAGGGAGCTCTTAGGTGTGCTGTGCGACAAGAAGCTGAATGTCAGGCTGAAAAGAATGGGTACAAAACAGCTGTACGCCCAGCAAACCTTTACACCAGTGAAACCTGGGCAGTAAAGAAGGCCCGGGAGAAGAAGATGAATGGTGCAGAGATGAGGATGTTACGCTGGGTGTGTGGAGTCACGAGAAGAGACAAAATCAGGAATGAGATGATACGAAGAACAGTGAAGGTAGCCGAAATAAGCTCGAAGACGCAAGAAAGAAGACTGAATTGGTCATGTGATGAGAAGAGAGGAGGAATATGTTGGAGGAAGAATGGTGGCAATGGTAATTCCAGGACAGAGAAAAAGAGGGCGACCTAAATTTAGATGGAAAGACAGACTAAAAGAAGACATGCGGGAAGATAACCTCAATGAACACCAGTGGACCTGCTCACGTCCTACGGGCCCTTTCAAAACCACAAAGCCACCCTAGAAGAAGTCCACTCCTGATGAGTGTGATATGACTGACTTTTCACAAGTTTTACACATTCAAGAATAGAAGATAATCAAAAATATGATGGAAGCTAAGAATCTAATAAAGTTGAACCAGGGGTATAGTGGCAAAGGGACAGGTCGACTA